CGATGTAGACCAGGGAGACCTGGATTCAAGTCTCTCCTCAGTCCCAGAGCACCCAGGGCCACCTTGGGCCAGCCTAACCTGCCTTGGAGGCTTGTACTGAGAATAAAGGGGGTGGAGGACAAGTCCATACAGTGGTACCTCAGGTTAAGAACTTAATTCATTCTTGAGGTCTGTTCTTAACCTGAAACTGTTCTTAGCCTGAAGCACCACTTTAGCTAAGGGGGCCTCCCGCTGCACTGCCGCTGCCGCGCGATTTCTGTTCTAATCCTGAAGCAAAGTTCTTAACCCGAGGTACTATTTCTGGGTTAGCGGAGTCTGTAACCTGAAGTGTATGTAACCCAAGGTACCACTGTATTTGGTTACAAGGAAGGAGATTCTAACTAAGCATGAGGAAGAACTTTCTGACAGCAAGAGCTGATAAATAGTAGAATATACTGCTTTGGGAGGAGGTGGACTCTCCTCCCTTGGAGGTTTTTAAGCAGAGGTTGGATGGCCATCTGTCAGGGATGCTTTAGTTGTGATTCCTGCATTCCTGGGGGTTGGGCTAGATGACTGTACAGTTCTACAATTCTGTGATTCTGTGGTGCCACAAGTCCTTTGGAGGAGCGCTAAAAGCAAATCTGATAAAGTAACAAAACACCCCTCTTCCAGAACTGTCTCCAGGGTCCAGTTCACAGCTGATGGGACAATCATTAAAGGAGAGGAACAGGCTGGTGATGATATTATTAATAATAATAATAGTAATAATAATAATAATAATAATAATAATAATAATAATAATAATAATTTATTATCTGTACCCTGCCCATCTGGCTAGGTTTCCCCAGCCACTGTGGGCGGCTTCCAACAAGGATTAAAAATACATCAAAATGTCACACATTAAAAACTTCCCTGAACAGGACTGCCTTCAGATGTCTTCTAAAAGTCCTATAGTTGTTTATTTCCTTGACATCTGATGGGAGGGCGTTCCACAGGGCGGGCGCCGCTACGGAGAAGGCCCTCTGCCTGGTTCCCTGTAGCTTTGCTTCTCGCAGTGAGGGAACCGCCGAAGGCCCTCGGCACTGGACCTCAGCGTCTGGGCAGAACGATGGGGGTGGAGACACTCCTTCAGCTATACTGGGCCAAGGCCGTTTAGGGCTTTAAAGGTCAACACCAACACTTTGAATTGTGCTCAGAGTCAGCGAGGGTGAAGTAGCATCAGGAGCGTGTTGGTGGGGGGCCGGATCGAGAGGGCGGGCTGGTTGGCTTAGGCCTGCTGGCTAGGGGTTCCCCGTGACTACTTCAGGAAAAGGAAACTTGCTGTTTTTGTTTCTGTAGCGCGGACGCCCATTTGTTCTGCCCCCGAGGCAATAACGCCGCTTCTCCTTCCACGCAGATGCCGCCCCCGAGTGCATCTGGCTGCCACCACGCCTTGGACAGGAGGACTCCCCGCCACCGCTGCCCCTTCCTCATCGTGTGCGCCAATCCAGACTGTGAGGAGCCGCTGCTGTTGTAAAGAAGGAGAAAACGGGACCATGCGGGGAGGCTGGAGAGAGGGGAGGAGAGGGAACGAACGAGCTCCCCCCAACCCAACCCACCCCTTCCTCCTAGCAGCAGTGGCTTGTGCTCTCTGGCAAACCTTCGAAGGACTCAAGCTGAGGAGGGGGCCCGTCCCCAAGTCTGCAGGGGCTGCGGGCCTCTGCCTCTGGTGTCTATTTATTGTTGTTGTCGTTCCAGGCAGGGGCATAAGAATGTGAAAGAAAATATACGCCCAGCCCTGCCCACCCCACTCCTCCACGGCAGTCTGAGCTTCTCCCTGTTCTGATTCCCAGTAGATCCAGGGGCATCTTGCATCGCCCTCCTGTTGCCACGGATCGGACCAACCAGCCCACCTGCCCTCCTTTTCCCTGCCCTCCTAAGGGTGCTAAACGTCCATTGGCACTTTTTTTTTTTTACTTTTGGGTTTTTTCCTGCATTGCTGCTACAAAGGTGTGCCTGGTTCCAGCTCGCGGCTGCCGGGAGGAGGTTGCTGCTCACGTTAACTCTCCTGCCCCTCTTCTCAACAAGAGCGGGGAGAACAGGGTGGAGGGTGAGTGGGTGGTGGCGCAGGTACGAGGGGGGCCTGGTTTCCCTCCCTCCGCTCCGGACTCTCCACGGGAAACGTGAAGAGAAGCGCTGGCGGATAAAGAGCCAGGGCCCACCCGCAACAGCTACTTGAATCGCAGAGCTCTGAGCTGGGGACGCTTGTATACTTTGCCGCTGCCTTTCCCCAGAAGCGGCTGCATCTTGGCCCAGGCGAATCCCCTTTTAAAAACAGCTTCCCTCTTTTTCTCGCCCGGCCACCAAGATGCAGCTCCCTTTCCCTCTGAAAGGAAGGGCCTGGGATTTTGATGTGAGATGGAGAGGGCGGTGGGACAACCCCCCCCCAAAAAAAACCCAACACCTATCCACACTATAATCCCGGCTCAGTGGTAGGACGAAACTGTATCCTGGCCAACGGTGGGCTCTTTTCTTTCTTTCTCTTAAGAGGAGCAGGGAGTCAGGATTTCAGGTTTGAGATGCTCAAACCGGAAGAGGGAGATCTCAGCCTGGGGTGGGCAATTGAACTCTGGACTTTTACAATATGGCACACAGACCCCCCCACCCCTCCCTCCAAGACTACTGTAATATAAGAGTTGTATTTTCTGTGTATATCTGTGCTGTGGAATCTTGTGTAAATTGAATTTCTTTTCGAACGCCGTTACAAGTTCTCTGTTAATTTAATAATGTGTCCTTCTCTCCCCCCCACCCCCTCCCCCCTGCACGCCCATAATTTTCATTTGATGTTTATATTTTCTGCCTTTTTTGTTTTTGTTTCGTTTTTGTTTTGTTTTTTTCCTGGGGAGGGTGTGCGGGGGTGAGGGGCAAACCAAAGGGGGTTGTTTTGCATGAAAGTGGGGAGGGTGGGGGAGAAGAAGAAAAAAAAATACAACCTTGACAAAAAATAATTAAAAAATAATTCTTATCAGGGAGATTGTGAGGGGCAAACAGGAAGCGGAGGTGGTGCAGAAGAGATCTTCTGCTCGCCTCAACTCCAGTTTACCTCAAGGTGAAGGGGAGAGGATGGCGGGGCCGCAGTGGAGCGAGTGATAGGAAATGTTTAAAAAAAGAAAAAGAAAAAAAAGTTTGAAAAGATTTTCTGGGATCTCCAGATTTTTGTTTAATTCGACAGCAAGCACTCTCTTCTGAACAACAAGGAACATTGCCTGAAGGATCTCTCTCTCTTACTGGGCAACACCCCCAAAATGTCGTTCTCTGTCACAGCCTTTATAAGCCCCCAAATCTTCTATATTCTAGCGAGACCAGCCAAAGTCTGAGGGAAATTACTACAATGCTGAGACTGCGAATCCTACTTGCCTGAGAGTCAGACCTGTTGAATTCAGGGCAGCCCTAACTATTTGTCTACTCGGAAGTAAGTCCTGGTAGCAACCACATTTGGTGTCCCTGCAATGCCGCTAATGTCGAGCCAGCGTTGTGATTTTTAACAGTGCGATCCTGACATTGGTGCAATATTGCCCTCGTTTGGGGGTATCCCGAATCCTGGCTACAACTTGCATTTGGTTGCCTAATGAACTTCGTTTGACTGGTATCCTACCTCCAGCTGCCATAACTGAACCACAGGATTGCATTATAACAAAAGAAAGAACCTGAGATGGGGTTTTGTGGCCAGGAGTTTGGTTCAGTTCTCAGCGGCTCCCATTGGAGTCTATAGGAATGAGTTCCATTTTAGGACACAGCTGAGGGTGCAAAAAACAACAACACCCAGGAAACTAGGAAACTGGGTTGAACTTTTCCTCACTGTGTTCCTGAACAAACACCTTTATTTCCTCCCCTGTTAATAAACAGCTGCTTTTCCTTTCCTATTTGGATTTAAACAAACAAAAATAAAATTGTGCCCTTGGAAACCGCATCACCACAGGAGCAGAAAATAGCCTCCACTGCCAAGGTACACAGATATGCTTTGCAAAAATAAAAAAAATCCGCCCCAGGCTTTTTGCACCTTAAAGGCCCCTCCCTCTGCAACCACTCCTCTGTCCATAAGGAAGTTGAGTGTTTTGCCAGGTTTTCTATAAAGAGAAGTTATTGGGTTGTGTCTGCCCAATCCATTGCAAGTCTTCTGGGTCCATGTGGCATCAAGGACGTGTGGTCTGCTTAGTTAGGGAGCATTTGCAGGATAATTGGGGCAACAACACATTGCAGCGTGTCTCCATCCCCCTGCCAGGGCCTTGCATGGATCCAAGATCCTATGGAGAACAAACAAGGGAAGGAGGGAGAGGGAGGTGACTTGAAGCCAAAATCAGCCCAGATTTTGAGACTTGCTCCTTCTGGGGAAACATCAGCACCTGGGAACCTATTTGAACTGACACAAGTCACAAAGGCGAATGAGCTCACATCCCACAGAACCTAAATTAAATTATTGAGAGGAAGGTGTGTTCACATTCGCCTCTTCAAACAGTGGTAGTTTACTCCTCTGTTAACTTCAGCGGTAAAGTACCTCACTTCTGTACTATTCACACTAAGGGGACTAAAGTACGGCACTTCCTGGGCTCATCCACACTTATCTTTTCCCTACGCTTCCTAGGCATCCCAGGCCACTTTTCAAAGCTCTTTGTCTGAGCACTTTCCCCACAAAACCCCCTCTCCTTAACCTCTGAATTGGAACAAACGGCAATTTGGGTTTCCCATGGATTGCGGTTTACTCTGATTCAGTGGTATAGAGCGAGTGGCCACAGGGAAAGCGCCAGGGCCAAATAAATACATAAATAAAAGTGCTCAGGCACAACTCTTTCAAGGGCAAACCCGTGCCTAGAAAGGCAACACAAGAGGAAGTCCGGATGAGCTCCCTGTCTGCTTTGCCCCCACCACATGAAGGAGAAAAGTTGAGGTTCTCCCAAATTCTCCTGCCTCGCTTGAGTGAAGAATTCGTCTTGCCTTCGAAAAAGACATTCGATTTGGCAATTTTTGTCGGTGGTGGGGCAGGAATGGTGCTGTTATTCCTGAATTCTTTGCCCTGCCTCTTTCAAACAGCAGTAAGTGAACCCACCAATGAATCTTGCAGTAGTCCATTTATTATCGAACTCCTGGTTAAGAGTGAGCCAGAGAGACAGCAGTTAGGATCGCACCCAGCAATTGACCCACCAGGAAAATACCAGTGGAGGGATTCTGTGTATCTCCAGTTTAAAAGGCTGACAATTTTTTTTACCATCTCCTGATTTTTTGTGGGGGGAGTGCAGACATTGGAATCAAGCCATTAAAAGAGGGAAGGGGGAGCTAGCGGAGGAAAGTATTTTGAGAACGCTTTAAATGTCCCAGTCAGCAAAGCACTGCCTACTATTGCCTTTGATGTGTGAATGAGAATATTGAGATTTTAACAAGGATACAGCATTGTATGTCTGGAACTCAGTGCTTTTTTTCTTAAAAAAATGTTTAGGGGTACTCTCACTTTCCTACTTATACTGATATACTGCCCCTCAGTGAGGCCAATCTTAGATTCACAAAATGTTTAGGGGTATGCATACCCAGAAAAAAAGCACGGCTGGAACTACAGTGGTATCTGGTTAAGAACTTAATTCGTTCTAGAGGTCCGTTCTTAACCTGAAACTTCTTAACCTGAGGTACCACTTTAGCTAATGGCGCCTCCCACTGCCGCTGCGCGATTTCTGTTCTAATCCTGAGGTAAAGTTCTTAACCCGAGGTACAGTGGTACCTCGAGTTACATACACTTCAGGTTACATGCACTTCAGGTTACAGACTCCACTAACCCAGAAATAGTACCTCAGGTTAAGAACTTTGCTTCAGGATGAGAACAGAAATTGTGCTCTGGTGGCACAGTGGCAGCAGGAGGCCCCATTAGCTAAAGTGGTACCTCAGGTTAAGAACAGTTTCAGGTTAAGAATGGACCTCTGGAACGAATTAAGTACTTAACCCGAGGTACCACTGTACTACTTCCGGGTTAGCAGAGTCTGTAACCTGAAGCGTTTGTAACCTGAGGTACCACTGTACAACTGCACCATTCCATTTAAGGCACTCTTGTACCACTTTGTCATGGCTTCCCCCAAAGAATTCTGGGAGTTGTAGTTTGTTTAGGGTGCTAGGCAACCCCCATTTCCCAGAGTGGTTTAGCAATGACTCCCTCTTCCCAGGGAATTGTAGGGTTTTTTGGTTTTGTTTTAGGGGGTTGGAGGGTCTCCTAGGGGTGCTCAGAACCCTTAACTTAAAGATCCTAGGATTCTTTAGGGAGAACGATGACAGGTAAAGTGGCATAAGAATGTGTTGAGTGCGTGGTGTTCAGAATTCCACTCCAGGCGGTTATGGGATAGCAGTGTCTGAACACTACTAAAATGCTCTAGGGTGGACAGGGTTCATGCTGGCAGATCTGGGGAAAAGAAGCAAAGAGATAAAAACTGGGGCAGGGAACATACGGAGGGAAAGAGCCAGGGGGAAATGGGTTAATTACAACCTTTCTAAAATCTGGAGAAATATCCTCCCATTCACCCCAATTTCTCACTAACATAGGTAGAGACTTTGGAGAAAACAGCAACTATGTCGGAAGCAAAAAAAGAAGACGTGTTTTTATTTTCCATGGAAACAAGACAAAGCAATGGCTATAAATTAAGAATAAAAAAGGCAGGTGAGGTGGAGTATCCGTGATAGGAGAGGAGGAGAGATGGGATTTTGGACTGAGCCAAAGCAGGATAGTCCCAAAATACGAAATCAGTGTTTTTCCACATGCAGTTTTGTCTTCAGGCTTCGTGTACACAGAGTTTGCTTCTTGGAAAAGTTACGCTGCCAGGTAGTATCCTGCTTGTACCTTTAGGGCACTTCCAGACTAACAAGTTCCAGGTGGGACTCAAGCACATAATGGCAAACTCAGGGGTTGCACAATTTCTACTGATCGGAAGGTATTGTGCAACAAACCTGCTTCCCCACAAAAAAACGGCCTTTTGTGATGAAGGGAAACCACAATGAAAGTGCTTCAAGGCGATGACATCACCTAACCTTCCCACAGACAAATCCGAGCGTATAAACACAAGAAACAGGTTGTCTGGAAAGTGCCCTGCATCCTTTTGCTTCTGAACTCCTAAAAGAAGCTGCCAAATGTGCATCTCTTGGCAGATTCTATTTGCGTTCCATCCTCCTCTTGCACAGCAATAACTACCCAGATTTCAGTTGGGATTTCCCATAATGGTTTAATAAGGTAAAAAGGTAAAGGACCCCTGGACGGTTAAGTCCAGTCAAAGGTGATTATGGGGTTGCAGCGCTTATCTCGCTTTCAGGCCAAGGGAGCCGGCATTTGTCCAGAGACAGCTTTCCGGATCATGTTGCCAGCATGACTAAATGGCTTCTGGCGCAACAGGACACTGTGACGGAAGCCAGAGCACACGGAAACGCCGGTTAGCTTCCTGCCGCAGTGGTACCTATTTATCTATTTGCGCTGGTGTGCTTTCAAACCGCTAGGTTGGCAGGAGCTGGGACAGAGCAACGGGAGCTCACCCCGTTGCAGGGATTCGAACCGCTGACCTTCTGATCGGCTAGTCCAAGAGGCTCCGTGATTTAGACCACAGCCCTAGTGTAAGCCAGCAGAGCTCCATCCAGAAGTTGCTGGACTCCCAACCCCCCAAATCCCTGACTGTTGGCCATGTTGGTCAGATGAGAGAGCTGGGGGGGAGGCCTTCACGTTGGCTTATTCTGCCCTCGGAGAAGATTGGCAAAATGTTCTGCATCTGTACAAAACTGCAGATTCGAAAGCAGAGAACGTTTCTGTATCTCTAGCAGTTTGTGCGGGTGAAGGGAATTCGCCAGGCACAGCTTGACGTGCAAGGAGAAAAGGGGCCAGTACAGAATAGAACCAGAGAATTGTATAGTTTTGAAGGGACCCCATGGGTCAACTAGTCCAACCCCTCGTCATGCTGGAATCTCAACTAAAGCATTCAAGACAGATGGCCAAGACAGCAGGGATGGGAAGATGCGGCACTCCAGATATCGAGGGACTACAACTCCCATTCTCTTTGATCATTGGCTATGCTGGCTGGGACCGATGGAAGCCAAAATCCAACAACATTCAAAAGGCAGCAGGTTCGCCATTTCTGCTGTGAAGGGCAATTTATCATACGCCTGTTAAAAATTCCCTGCTTTAGAGAACTTATTTGATACACAGGAGCCCTTAACATCATTTTAAAAAACCAGCTTTTGGGTTTTTTAAACCAGTGTAGCCTGAGCCACAGGATGGCTTATCACATGAATCGGGAACCTTTGGCCCTCCAGATGGGGCTGAACTCCATCTCCCATCAGCCCTGGCAAGCATGGCCAATGGCCAAGGATGATGGGAATTGTAGTTGAGTAACACTGGGGAAGGGACACGGGTGGCGCTGTGGGTTAAACCACAGAGCCTAGGACTTGCCAATCAAAAGGTCAGCGGTTCGAATCCACGTGACGGGGTGAGCTCCCATTGCTCAGTCCCTGCTCCTGCCAACCTAGCAGTTCGAAAGCACGTCAAAGTGCAAGTAGATAAATAGGTACCGCTCCGGCGGGAAGGTAAACGGTGTTTCCGTGCGCTGCTCTGGTTCGCCAGAAGCAGCTTAGTCATGCTGGCCACATGACCCGGAAACTGTACGCCGGCTCCCTCGGCCAATAAAGCGAGATGAGCGCCGCAACCCCAAAGTTGGCCATGACTGGACCTAATGGTCAGGGGTCCCTTTACCTTTTACCTAACAGGGGGCCAAAGGTTTCCCACCCGTGGTTTATCAGAAAGGGACTGTGGTAATGCTATGGAGACAATGCGACGCTCGACAGACTCTTTGACATCTTTGACATAAAAACCACAATGCCCAGAATTCCTTGGGGAGAAAATGGCAGTGAAGTGAGTGATGAGGCCGTTGTAAAGGCGTTTAGAAGCTGGTTCACCCGGTTGCGTTTATTCCTTGATGACTCAAGTTATCAACACCAGACTCTCCAAGTGCCCCTGTTTTCCAGGGACAGTCCCGGGTTTACAGAAGCTGTCCCAGTTTCTGAGTTGATCCTGGAATGCCCTGCTTTTCCTTAGGACATCCCTGTTTTCATCGGAGAAATGTTGGAGGGTATGGAGTTAAATGATCCCTGAGCCGAGGAGATAAGTAACTATACAACCTTTAGAAGATATCTGAACCCTGTATGGGGAAGTTTTAAAATGTTTTCTTATGCTTTTTATATATGTTGGAAGCCACCCAGAATGGCTGGGGCAACCCAGTCAGATGGGTAGGGTATAAATAATGAAATTATTATTATTATTATTATTATTATTATTATTATTATTATTTAGGACACCCCTGTTTTCATCAAAGAAATATTGCAGGATATGCAACAGCCATCTGTGAACAAGCAATGCCACACCATCTCCACAGATCAAGCTTTCAAAAGGTTTCGGGCACAAACATTTCCGAAGAGACATTTCAAAGGAAAACATCTGGAAGCTGGTCGGTGTGCAGTTCTGCAGCAAGTAGCCCAAAGGTTCAAAATTGCACGGTGTGAGTTGCCCCATTGCCTGTTTAGTTGAGGCTGCAGCTGCCCCACTGTTGCTGGACTCCAGTTGCCTTCAACGCCAAGCCAGCAGAGCCAATATGAGGGATCATGGGAGTTGGAGTCCAATAACATCCAGATAACCACAGATTCCCTGCCTAGGGGCTGAGGCATGAACAGGAAACCTATTGCTCAGGAGAGCTATTGCTCAAACTTATTCAAAGGCTGGGGAAACGTACATCACTGAGGTGTTAGTAATCCCTTGCCCCAGGGTGGATTTGCTCAGTAAATGCGGGTCACCCTTCTTGCTCATCAGGCCACAGCCTACCTGGGATGGCCTCCCGGCTAATTATAAAAGCCAGACTACACAAGACTGCCAGTTCTGAAATGGTGTGTCTTCCAACAGCTGCTTTTTTAAGAATGAAAAATCCTGGGGGAGGCAGAAGTTGGAAGTAGGGGGTTGGGTAAAGTCCCGCTGCTTAACCCTCTCCCTTCTTGCCATCGGGTATCCTCTCAAAACCAACTCCCAGCAGATTTTCCAGATGTGGGGGATAAATAGGACCCCATGGGAGAAAAACAACAGGGGTACGTTTTTGAGAGGACAATGATGGGCGGGGAAACAACCTCCGGAAGAAAGAATCGTGGAATCTTCCATCACACAAAGTTTGGCTCAAAAAATAAATAAATCAAGGGTCACCTGGTTCCCCCTCCCCCTCCTAACTTTGGTTTCTCCACCAGGGGGCGCTTCAATGCTCCTGCTGCTCAAAGATGGTGGCAAATGTCCTGAAAGAAAAAGAGAAGAAAGGGTTTAAATTAGGGTCTTTCATTACAATCCTTTTGCTTATTTCTGGTCAACAGTCATCTATCCTGCACTTTCTCCAAGGGGCCACAGCTGCCTACATGGAATGAGCAGGCAGTCTCCTTTCCAAACAGATGCCTGTCCTAGATCTGAATGCCTTGAGACAGAGAGACCTCATATTGTTCCCATTTCACAGACGAAGAAAACTGAGGGCTGAAAGAAAAGAGTTTCCCCAGCTTTATGTGGCAAGCCGAGACAAGACTGGAGGTTAAAGCTGCAGGATCTCTGCTGGATCCTGGCTGTCCTCTCTCCAGGGGTAGAGTCTGCAACACAAGGAAAGGGGAGGAAGTAGATTTTGGAGCTCAGCTGCTGCCTCTCGTTAGGATTCGAATGGGATCCAGGGCTGTTACTTACTGAAATAAGGCTCCAGATAATTCATCCACGATGCTCCCTGCAAAACACAACAGAACAAATCAGGATTTTGCTGTTCCTAGGGCACTTACCATCTGCTCATCTTGAGCTTACATCTCCCCATTAAAAAAGCTTTATGAAGTTGTTTATTGCTGTGTTTATTGCTTATTTCTTGGCAGCCATTCTTCAAGGAGGGACATAGACCGTTCAGCCTATTTTCTCACAATCATTCTGGGGGTGGAAAATGGCTGAGTGGAATAAGTGGTGACGTGGTGGCTTGGCCAAGACAACACAGTGAGCTAGATGGCTCAGCTGAGATTTGAACCCAGGTCCTTCCTAGCCACTGCCACCCGCACCCCCAACCACCGAGTCCAAGTCTGACACTCAATCCGCTAACCCAGGGGTGGTCAGACAGCAGGCTTCCGGGATCTACTTCAATTTTTACTCAAAAAGCCACAACCCACAAACTGGAGCCAGGTGCAAACATACCCTTAGGCTCAGTACACACCATACATTTAGAGCACATTTAAATTAAAGAATTCTAGGTTTACAGAGCTACAGTTTCCAGCACCCTTCACAAACAACCGTTTCCATTACTCTTGGGGGGTGTACTTTAAATGTACGGTGTGCATGTAGCCTAAAATTAAGGAACAGGGTGCCTCTGAGCATATCCTTAGCCACGGATAGGCAAACTAAGGCCCGGGGCTGGATCCGGCCCAACCCCCTTCTAAATCCGGCCTGTGGATGGTCCGGGAATCAGTGTGTTTTTACATGAGTAGAATGTACCCTTTTATTTAAAATGCATCTCTGGGCTATTTGTGGGGCATAGGAATTCGTTCATTCCGCCCCCCCCCAAAAAAAAATATAGTCCGGCCCCCCACAAGGTCTGAGGGACAGTGAGGGACACTGAAAAAGTTTGCTGTCCCCTGCTCTGTATTGTATATAAAACTAAAAAAAATGTTAAAGGAATCATCGACGTTAGTAAAGAAACAGCGATTTGGGTGTGCTATAAACATGCAACACCAGATGGCGCCAGAGGGCAGGAAATTTTAAAACACACCTTTCCATAGGGATTTCTTTATTTTGTTATAACAATCCAGTGGTGGTACGCAGGGGTACGCAGGGATACGTGTACCCCTAAACATAGGAATTCATTCATTTTTTGAACGTCCCCTTCAAAATATAGTCCGACCCCCCACAAGTTCTGAGGGACAGTGGACCGGCCCCCTGCTGAAAAAGTTTGCTGACCCCTGTCCTTAGCCAAGGACTTTGTTTTGTGTACTGGCCGCTGACTTACCATACAAAAATCCACTCCTGCTTCCTCCCCACCCACATATTTCTTCACCTCAGCAGCCGAACTTAGAAAAGAGGCTTTCCCTCACTGCTAACTTGCAGGGTCTCCTACAAATCACGCAAGAGGTCTGCCGGTAGATCCCACCTGCCTATGCCAACGCTAAAGCCGCAAAGGGGAAAATCAACTCACCGGGTGCACAGGCCGTCTCGCACACAGGGCAAACGTAACAGAAATGGCAATACTGCAGAGAGAGATAAAAGGAGTTACCGCCGGCAGGGCACTGCTGTGGTTAAGGTTCACGAAACCAGAGCAGCAAGTCTGGGGCAAAGGGAGGGGTGGGGAGGAGGGAGGGGCAAGTTTGCGGCACCGACCTGGCAGCTTGCGCAGTATTCGCTGCTGTCTCCTTCTTTGCAGGGGCACTTGTCACACTTGTCGCAATCCTGGGGGTGGAAATTCAGGAAAACTTAGCTGGGTCTGTTTGGGTGGCAAGTCCTCAGCACAGCTCTCCTTGTCTTGCGTGCCACAACCAAACCACTCTGCCCATGTGATGCCTTCAGAATGGTGGATTTCTTGTTTGTTTTTTGCAGGTGTATTTGGCAATCTGTCAAAGGACCTGTTGATGGCATTTTACCATTGTACTGTGGAGAGTGTATTAACTTATGGTCTGTGTGTGTGGTTTGGGAGCTGCACGGCCAGGGGAAAAACAATGCTGTCCAGGGTTGTAAAGACTGCAGAGAGAATAATTGGGTGCACTTTTCCCACCTTAGATCAAATCTATGCTTCCAGGTGCCATAAGAAAGCTGCAGAGATAGCGCAGGATAGTACGCACCCCGGAAATGATCTCTTTCAGCTTCTGCCTTCTGGAAGAAGGTATAGGGTTATAAAGACCAGGACTAGCCGCCTGAGAAACAGTTTCTACGCAAATGCAATTCTGGTTCTAAACGCAGTATAAGGAGTCTCTATAGTATATTGTATTTTAAAATGGAGTTTCAGAGTTTTTAGGGGTTTTTGACGGTTTTACGTAGATTTTCAATTTCATTGTTCTGTATGGGACAATGACAATAAAGATATCGTATATCGTATATCCTTGCGGTTGCAATACTAGTGCATTAGTGGTAAATTCATACAACATTTCCCTTTATTAGTTGTTCCGTGATGCTTCCCTGACATTCTTGCATTCTTGCCATCTGGAAGGGCAACCTTGCACTATAGACAGTGCTTTTTTTCTAAAAGGGTGTTTAGGGGTACTCTCATTTTGATGCAAGAAAACCACCATTTTATAGTTCAAATTGAGAAAAATAAATACAGTAAATGGGCAAAAGTACAAAGATTCACCAAATGTTTAGGGGTATGCCTCCCCGTGTCCCCCCCAGACAAAGCACTGACAATAGCACAACAAAAAAGGGCCAAAAACAACAACTACAGCCACCCCAAACAAGAACATTTGCAGTATGAAAAGTTGCAGGGTTGCAGCAGGAAGTTACAGGGCATGCACTGGTTGGAAATGAAGCAGTATCTTTACATATATATTTTATGGTATTTAGAACACAGCCTTAGTTTGGACAAAAAAGGAGAGGAAAAGATATTTGATATTACGTTTTGTATATTTCTTGATAAACCCTAATAAAGTTGATGCCATAAAAAAGGGGGATTCAATGAAGCAGTATCATACCCTCCAACATGTTGAATCCCCAAACCGAGATGCGCATCTTCGTGGCTGTGCATGAATCATGTGACTCGTGCGAGATCACAGAGCCCAAAATATGCATTCCCTCCAAAATGCACATTTTGGGGCTCTGCGCAAGATTTGTGGCCCCGAAAAAGCACTTTTCTTGCGGCAAGATCTCGGTGCCCAAAATGGCCCTCATGCACTTGCATGAAAAAATGGGATGTCCCAGTTTTCCCAGGACATTTGTGGGGTATGCAGTATAAACACTCCAAAACTTTTGCAGAAGTAAACAGTATTGAAGGCGGGGTCACGTGTAACTGCCCCGATATCATAATGGGCACAACTAATCGTGAATGCACAATAACCCTGGAGGGTCCCAATAGAAACACAGAGAGCTGTTGGTCCATTTTGACTGGTATGGTCTACCCTGACTGGCAGTGACTCTTCTGAGCATCAGGCAGGGGTCTTTGCCAACCCTACTGGGAGACTGAACCATCTGCATGCCAAGAAGTTCTGCCGCAATTCCCCGATTCATCCTGGTCCCTCAACACTATAGTTATCCTTCTCATCACCACATAGGAAACCACCATCACCAGAACCCCACTGGAAATATTATTTTGCAGTTCATTCTATATTTCAGTTTCTGGATTCTGAGCCTGTTTGTCCCTGCAAAAAAGATCTGAAATTGCCAAATCGCGGGTTCCTCGGCTGCTTTCAGCTGGCTGCTCAATCAAAACAGCTTGCTTTCCTGTACTAAGTTCTGCATCCATCCTTTTTTCTTCTCCCTCTCTATGGGATAACTTCTGGGCCGCCAGGTGTTGCTGAACTACAACTCCCATCAGCCCTGCCCACTGGCCCTGTTTGCTGGGTCTGGTGGGAGTTGAAGTTCATCAGCGTCAGGAGGGCATAGACTTGTACTGTATGTAAAACTCCTGCAGTCACATGAAGTTCCAGGAGAAAGTGACACGCAATTCTAATTTTTTTAAAGAGACAGGCTATGATTCACAAAACGTACTCTCCCTTTCCTAGTTCTTCCCTGTGCCCCAACTGCCTAGTCCTCAAGATACAGCTGGCACCTTCCCCATCGCCCACCAAGGCTCCTGTGTCTTTAATAGGCGCAACAAAGCAGAAATCCCGTGGGTGAAGTTCCTTTCCGTCGCCTTGTCAACAGGCTATGAAACTATTTTACAGCAGTACATACGAAACTGTCAGACCACTGGCCCAAAAGCCATGCTTGCGCAGGTTTTTGAGTTCATTGACCCCTTGGTGAGCAAATAAACTGACATCGACCCGAAGCCAAACTCGGAGGGATGCAAATAGAGTCAAGAAATATTGATATATAATCAGCATTTGTTAATCATGCATCCACCAATACCAGGAATCATAAAATGTTTCCTCCACACACACAAAGGAATACTGTTCACAGAGGTCCAAGGGAGGTGCACTCTGCACATGCCCTTTATTCTGGAGGCTCATAGTTCCTGGTTAAATTTTCCATACTGTAGCTCGTAAACTTCTTTTCCAACTTCTTTTCTATCCCTCTGTGGGACGGCTGAATATTCCTGCATTGTAGGGGGGGTTGGACTAGAATGATTCCCTTCCCACTCTACAATTCTATGGTTCTATCTTAACATGGTGGGGAAGACCCAGGTTAGCTGTACTAACTAGGTAAAGGTAAAGGGACCCCTGACCTTTAGGTCCAGTCATGACCGACTCTGGGGTTGCGGCTCTCATCTCGCTTTATTGGCCGAGGGAGCTGGCGTTTGTCCGCAAACAGCTTCTGGGTCATGTGGCCAGCATGACTAAGCTGCTTCTGGCGAACCAGAGCAGTGCACAGAAACGCCGTTTACCTTCCCGCCGGAGTGGTACCTATTTATTTACTTGCACTTTGATGTGCTTTTGAACTGCTAGGTTGGCAGGAGCAGGGACCAAGCAACGGGAGCTCAGCCCGTCGCAGGGATTCAAACCGCCGACCTTCTGACCGGCAAGTCCTAGGCTCTGTGGTTTAACCCACAGCGCCACCCGCGTATCTAGCTGATACGCGTATCTACCAATGGGGAATTCCAAGGCCCTGTAGCTCTGTATCTTTAAAACGGACCTGGACCACGTAGCCCTTCAAACAGAGGACACCTTCAAGTAGAAGACTGTAATGTAGAAGATGGGGCCTCTCCAAATCATGGATCTCTATCTCATGTATAGTTTTGGCACCGTATCCATAAATCTGGGGAGGAAGAGGGGGTTGCAGGCAGGGGCCAAGCAAAGAAGAACACAGGAACAACAACCCATCTCTGAGCCAGACCTTCAGAACGAGCATGCATGTAATAGGTTGTGCCAAAATAAGGCAGACTCTCATCAAAGACATAATGGCAAACAAGGACAGGAAGAGGGAGAAGCCATGGCAGAGCTAAGCCCAGGCTGCTTCTATGGAGAGATGAAGGCAAGAGTTCCTTCCACCTTCTCCTCCAGGGATCCAAAGGAAAAGTGTGAAGACTTATTGTAAAATCCACACACTGGCCAATAGGGTGTCTCATCAGAAGGCAATGAGAAGCAAAATTATGCCTGCTTCAGGGGTAGCAGGGAAAGCAGTCATGTTGCAGATTAATAGGCGACCGGACTAAAGTAGGAATGGGCAAAGATGTGAGGCATGCAGGAAGACCCTTAAGGCTCGACCACAGATGGTTTGGGCGGTCAAATCCCACCCTGGAGAGCTGAGCAGGTATGCGGGCGAAGGCTTCTCCTTCGTTACCTTGCAGAAGGCACAGTAGTGGCACAGAGAGCCTGCCTCGTACTCTTCCTCGTCCTCGTCGTCCTCGTCGTCTTCCTCTTCTTCAATGGAAAAGAAAGACATAGATACAGATGCCCAGAAGGGTCCCTCCCGGTGGGGGAGGGAGGAGGTTCTAGAGGGCAGCTGGGAGCCCCCAGGTGGTTCTGGGGGCCCAGCATGTTGGTGCTAGAGGGGAGAAAGTTGGGCTAAGCAAAGAGGGACGCCAAGTGTGTGGGGAAAGCCAAGAGCTTCTCTGTGCGGCCTAGCTGGCAAAAAGCACGGGGTCCTTCGAGGGAAAGGGAGGGCAGCCACAATTTATGGGCCCTTGGGTGAAAGCCAGGGGCCGGTTACCCCTAAAGAAAGCCAACATGGCCTCATCCCACCCCACCCACTAAGCTTCTCTCACCTTCTCCCTCTTTGTGGTGCTTCTTGGCCTTGTCATGGCCTTCGTGCCTGGGGCGCTTGTGTTTGTGCCCTTCATCCTCATCTTCTTCCTTGGACGTTGTTTCATCAGACTCGTCTTCCTCATCACCATGGTGATGGTGATGGTGGTGGTGCTCTTTGCCCTCGTCAGCTTCCTTATGGTGATGGTGCCCGTGGGCCTCTTCCTGGTCATCGTCATCATGGTGATGGTGATGGTGATGACTGGCATGCTCTTCTTCTTCTTCTTCACTGTCGTCGTCATCATCCTCATGGTGATGGTGGTGAGCATGATGTTCATGATGATGGTGTTCCTCTTCCTCACTGTCGTCATCGTCATCATCGTCATCATCGTCATCATCATGGTGGTGGTGGCTACCATGATGTTTCTGATGGTGGTGGTCGTGTTCATCATCATCATCGTCATCATCTTCATCATGCTCGTGATGGTGGTGATGGTCACCATGATGTTCGTGATGGTGGTGATGTTTGCCATGGTGGTCATCGTCATCGTCGTCATCATTACCATCATCATCATGGTGATGGTGGTCACCATGGTGTTCATGGTGATGTTTGCCATGGTGGTCATCGTCGTCATCATCATCATCGTCATCATCATCATCATGGTGATGGTTACCATGGTGTTCATGGTGATGATGATGCTTTCCATGATGGTCATGGTGGTCATCATCATCATCGTCATCATCATCATCGTCATGGTGATGGTTACCATGGTGTTCATGGTGATGATGATGCTTGCCATGGTGGTCATGGTGGTTGTCATCATCGTCATCATCATCATCATCGTCATGATGGTGGTGATGGTCACCATGATGTTCATGGTGCTGATGATGCTTGCCATGGTGGTGGTCATCATCATCGTCGTCGTCATCATCATCGTGGTGGGAACTGTGGTGATGATGGTGCTCTGCATGGTGATGTCCAGTGTGGTGATGATGGTGTTCCTCATCATCGTCATCACCATCATCATCATGGTGAGGATGGTGGCCTCCTTGGTGATGCCCTGCTTCATGAAGGTGGCTGGCATGGTGATACTGATCGTCGTCATCGTCATCAGCATCATGCTGTCCATGGTGGTGATGGTGTTCGCCCTCATGCTGGCTTCCGTGGTGGTGGTGGTGGTGGTGCTGTTCCTCTCCCAGGGCTCTAGGGAGCCTGAATGAGCAGAGCAGGACCAGAAGGAGGCCCATTGTCAGGGCCTTCCAGGAAGCCATGGCAGAAGGGGGTGGGTGGAAGCAACACACTCAGAAGTCTCAGAGGCAAGCAACTCGGAAAGGCCGTCAGCCCGCAAGGAGAGCTAAGGGGTAGGAATATACAGTTTCCAGCCCACCGTTTGTATGAGCGACGTCTACAGCTGGCCTAGATTAGCCCTTCAGCCAACAGCCAATGGCTGCCCAGCCCAGCCTCCAAGATAGATGAGAGCACCAAGCCATGGGCCCTGCCGTGCCCTTATATGAAGTGGCTGGGCTGGAGGGGGTGGGGAGGAAAGGAGAGGTATCTAAGCTGCTTGCCATAGTGCAAGGCTATTCTTAGCCGTTCGGAGCAACTGTGCCTCACTCCCTCAATGTGACAGGGAAGCCAGCAGGGTTTCAGTTCAGAGGAGGCAGAAATAAGAGCCAGGACTCCTGGGTTCTCTGAGAGAGAGGGCATATATGCATGTGTGCATGCGTGGTTTAGTGCGCTAGAGAAACTGGAAGCTCAGAATCTTGGTTTATCTGGCACCTAGGAGCTAAAGCAAGAGGCCTAAGACCCTGTTTCCTGAAAGGAGAGGAAGGCCTGATGTGTTTACAGTTGATATCCGGATATTATTGAATCAGGAGAACAGCAGGGGGAGGACAGAAAATGCCCCTTTTAATCCACGTGGTTTATTATTTGCTGGTGGAAATTGTTCTTGTTCGTTTGTTTGTTTCGTTCAGTCTAAACTCTGGGAAGTGAGCGATTTTATCTTGTGCCTACACTGAAACAAATCAGCATAGATGATAGATAGATAGATGATAGATAGATATAGATAGATAGATGATAGATAGATAGATGATAGATAGATATAGATAGATAGATGATAGATAGATAGATGATAGATAGATAGATAGATAGATAGATAGATAGATAGATAGATGATATAGATAGATAGATAGATAGATAGATAATAGATAAATAATAGAGATAGATAGATAGATAGATAGATAGATAGATAGATAGATAGATAGATAGATGATAGATAGATAGATATAGATAGATGATAGATAGATAGATAGATAGATAGATAGATAGATGATAGATAGATAGATAGATAGATAGATATAGATGATAGATAGATATAGGTAGGTAGGTAGGTAGATAGATGATAGATATAGATAGATATAGATAGATAGATAGATAGAGATAGATAGATAGATAAAGATGATAGATAGATAGATAGATAGATAGACAGACAGTCTATCATCTATCCCCTCCGATTTTGGATGGTTAAAGTGGTTAGGCCGAACTCCCTACCACCACGAAAGATGCCATCTCTGGGTTTTACGAAAGGCAGCAGCCCTATCAATTTTTAAAGGAAGCCCAAGGATATAGCGATAGGAGGAGGCTTACGGGGAGGTAAGACGAACCCCTGCTTTTCAGAGAGGAAAAGAAGCGACTCAGGAGCCAAGGTGATGCTCCAGAGCATTTTATTTTTTTGAGAGGCAGCGTTCCTTGCAGCGTCAGGAATGTGCTGATGGGTCCCCGCGGTTGAAACCGAATCCACAGAGCTGGCCGAGATCTATAAATACCTGCGCAGCCCTGCAGTGACCTGGATCATTCCTGCTGGTGTCCTGTTCTCCAGATGACAGTGCAAGAACTGCCCCTGAACAGGTCACAATCCCCTCAGGAGGAGGATGGGGGTGAGACCTGGTTTTGTCCAACTTTTAATGTGAACCTATCTAATCCATGTGTCCAGAAACATAATGCACTCCCAAACCAGAAATCTGCACTTTTCCAACTGCGTGCACAAAAAAAATATGTATGAATATTAGGGGAAAGTGTGTCTAAAGACGCATATACTGTATTTTCCCGTGTATAAAACACCCCCATGTATAAGACACCCCCTCTTTGGGGGGACTAAAAATTGAGAAAATGGGGGGAGATTGCCCAGTGTATAAGACGAGCCCAAATTTTTAGCATAACTTTTTAATTTAAAAAAACCCTAGTTTATACACGGGAAAATACGGTATATTTGGGGTGGGCATGTACTAAACGGAGTTATATTAGGGAACATGGCTTGCAAAAATGTGCACGAGGCAAAATTACACACACACACACACTCTAGGGAGAAATGAGTGCTAAAATGCTGACAATTTTTTGAGAGGCTTTTTCTTCCCCCTTTAATGCAATCTGATGCACAAATGTGGGTAACTGAAGACTGATATAGAAGAGAACCACAATTGACAGATTTGTCCATCGCGATCGCCGCAAACAATCAGGCTGAACCGAATGGGACTCTTGGAAGCACCTAGAACCAAGCTTGTCCAAGTCAGGTTTTGGGAACTGTTCAGTCAGGGATGGTGCACTCACACAACCACAATATTGAGAGACTCAGCCAGAAGTGTGTGAGGGAACGAAGGAGGGTGATAAGGAGTTGGAGACCTTGCAAAGGCCCTCCTCTTTCCCTTCACACCAAGAAGCCACCAGGAAATGATGTCCCCACATGGGGGCAAAGGAAAACCAGAATGCCCAGAACTCTCAGATTGGTCTTACCTCCCCAACCCCCTGGATTGGCCTTGGGTGAAGAGCAGGGAGGTGGAGGGTCCCCTCAGCATTCAGAGGGCCCCCCGTGTCGCATTGGGACATTGCACAACATTGCGCATGGGCTCCCTCAATCTTCTGGAGAAGATGGCGCCTCTCGTCTCAGGCATCATACAGGCCATGCTGCCCGAACTTGCAGCCGTGTGTGTAAAACATAAACGTAAAAATAATAAATAAGTGTAAAGGGTTGAGGGAAATGATATACAATGAAATGAAAAGGACGTTTAAAAGAACATTCGTAAAAAAAACCCAGAAGCTTTCCTCTTGGGAATTATAGGGACAGTACTAGCTAAATTGTATAGAAATTTATTCATGTATGCAACTGCAGCGGCAAGAATGTTACTTGCCCAAAGATGGAAAGAAGAAGAAGAGGAAGAGGAAGAGGAAGAGGAAGAAGAAGAAGAAGAAGAAGAAGAAGAAGAAGAAGAAGAAGTTGTTCCAGCAAAGGAAGAATGAATACAAAAACCTATGGAATATGCAGAAATAGTGAAACTTACCAGAAGAATAAGAAATCAAGATAACAAACTTTTTACAAAAGAATGGAAATAGTTTGTTGAATATTTACAGATAAATTATAAATAATAACCTGCAGTTACATAAGAGTATATATTTAAAGAAGATAAATAAATGAGTAGGTGAATTTGTATATGCAGAAGATATTGAAAATAAATTTAAGGAACCGCAGAAAGAGGGGGAAGGAAGTCAAGTTTTTAAATGTCAAAACGATTGTGAAATCAGTGAAATGTCTATATCTGAAAAGTATAAATAAAATTTTATATATATATATTTTTTTGTGTCTGTGTGTGTGTGTGTGTGTGTGTGGTTGAGGGGAAAAGTGGGAGTTGCAACTTTATTTACACCTCTGTATGATCTCAAATGGCAACGCTTTCCAACAGAATCAGATTGCACCTTTATCTGGGAGACACCCAGCAGTCCTCAGGCGTGAAAGAGGGACAAGCTCCTGCACCTTTCATAGTTGTGCAGAAGAGGGAATTTCAGCAGGTGTTATCTTGCGTGACTGGCTAAATCCCCTCGAAAAACCCTATTGTATGATGAGGAATCAAGCGATACAAGGAAAGGAAACAGAGCTTAGGAAGTGAAGGCAGAGACAAAGGTTACCCACTGTTACGTGTTTGTGGGTGCACAGGACACCCTAAATTCCGGATCAAGCTAGTGTTAGAATTTAATTAATTAGAGCTTAGAGTGTTAGAACTGTGCTAGACCCAAATGTTTTATTTGAACTGTGTGCTAAACGCTTCTAGGAAGTGAAGGCTGTGATGTTGCACAATGAAGCAGAAGTCGCGTACCTTTCTCATTGTCAAAATGGCAAAATGTAAATGAACTCTCACATTTCACTCATTCACCACCACCACATACACACACTCAGTGCCGGATTTACGTATTAGCTAAACAAGCGATAGCTTAGGGTCCAACTCTCTTGAGGGCCCCCCAAAATTTCAATGGGAAAAAAACTGTATTAATTGTATTTCAGTTCAACAATTACTTTGATAAAATACATATTTTATTATGTGCAAATGGCTTTAGATACCTATTAGGTAAAGGTAAAGAGACCCCTGACCATTAGGCCCAGTTGTGGACGACTCTGGGGTTGTGCACTCATCTCGCTTTCAGGCCGAGGGAGCCGATGTTTGTCTGCAGACAGTTTCCAGGTCATGTGGCCAGCATGACTAAGCCGTTTCTTGCAAACCAGAGCAGCGCACGGAAATGCTGTTTACCTTCCCACCAGAGCGGTACCTATTTATCTACTTGTACTTTGACATGCTTTCGAACTGCTAGGTGGGCATGAGCAGGGACCGAGCAATGGGAGCTCACCCCGTCGCGGGGATTCGAACCGCCGACCTTCTGATCGGCAAGCCCAAGAGGCTCAGTGGTTTAGACCACAGCGCCACCCATGTCCCTTAGATACCTATTAGGTCCATAAATTACCATATAGCATATATTCAACACACACAAAACAGCGACAATTTGTTGTTAACAAAGGACAGCTGGACATACAAAGGGCGCCATTACCTTCAGTGGCTTAGGGCCTCATCAGACCTAAATCTGGCCCTGCAGATTCTCAAGCATACATGCAGGTCCACAGCGTTCTGCCCTTCCGCACACCTGGCCTTACAAATTCACACCAATCTTACAGACCCCACGTTGATCCCTAGAGTGCTTATTTGATAGGAGACCCGCGCTACAATGAGGACAGCGGCTAGTGGGCTACCAAAAAGGATAGCACCTACAGACACCTACCTGGGAGCAAGAGCTATGGAGTTAATGGCCAAGGCTCCAGAATAGGCCCTAGTTACTCCTCCCTGTACAGTAGTACCTCGGGTTACATACGCTTCAGGTTACATACACATTCAGGTTACAGACTCCACTAACCCAGAAACAGTACCTCGGGTTAAGAACTTTGCTTCAGCATGAGAACAGAAATTGCGCGGCGGCGCAACAACAACGGGAGGCCCCATTAGCTAAAGTGGTACCTCAGGTTAAGAACAGTTTCAGGTTAAGAACGGACCTCCGGGACTAATTAAGTGCGTAACCAGAGGTACCACTGTATAGGATTGCACTGTGAGTCTTTTTTTCAAGAGAGGAGCGTTATTGCTGGTTTTCGAAAGAAGCTCAGGGCATCCTGCGCAGCAGAAGGAAGCAACCATTTAATTGAAACGAATTGCTCCCATGAATTTTAAAGGTACCCCAGCACTGGCTGCTGCCTGGCCTCAGTGGTTTGTCGCTCTTGAAAACAGTAAAGGCGGAAACGTACTCTGCCCAGAACACTTTACTATACCAATACAACGCCTTTGAATGTGGGAGGCGACATGCAAGTCAATGACTCGGTTAATCTTTTAAAGGCCTTTTGACGGAGCAAAAGCAGGTCCTTGATGCTTCAGGCAGATTAAAAAACAACGAGGGATTTTTAAAAAGGAAGAGACATGCTCCTTTTTCTCTTCACACAGGAAGCATTGTCTCACCTACAATGATGGCTTTTTTAAAATGCACGTGCATATTTATGCAGGTTTAATGGATCAATCAACTAAAACTTGTATGATTCATCCACTAAGACCCAGTCCACGCATGTAACAAGTAGGGAAATGGACTGCACCACTTCAGACTTGCAGGCAGAAGATATGTTTGTTTTTTTAATGTTCCCCCCGGAAGAGCTGCCTGCAAGTAGAAAACGAGCCCATCAAGGAGAATGGTCTTGCTCTAGCCTTCTCTACATTTTTATTTAAGCTTCTAATGTAGGGGGAGCATTAAAAAAATGCAGTTTGCCAACGTGCAATCTGATGTGGTGCAGTCTAGTTCGCCTCATTCCCACTTCATTCTGCAAGCAGGCGTTGACTTGGCTGTGCAGATTTCTTTAGCTGTGCTCTGAAGTTTAATTGATCAGCCTTTTTGAGTGGGCAATGTTATGTACTGAAGTTCTCACCCTGGGCCAGCAGGCGGATACTGTAGATAGTTTTTACTCAGGTCCACATATGCAAATAAGGGATCGAAAGTGATGTTCAGTGATTGGATAGTTTCAGAAAGTTGTTACAGTTACGTTGTACTGGAGCTCTATATAGGCAGGCTGACTGAACCCTTCAGTTCAGTTCTGTCCTGGCCTGTGAATAAACAAGAGCTGTTTGAAGAATCGCTGTGTCATCTGATATGTTCACCCACAACTTAACAGGCAATATGCTGAAAGGATGTTTGTGACCAAGTCAATGTATTTTCTTAGCAGCCTCTCTGGTAATTTACATCCAGGTCAGGTTTCCATTTGCTTTTTTTGGGGGGGGGGGGAGTTGTATTTGATCCCAACTACTTTGAGACACAAGCAAGCTTCTTTTAAACTAAGCACCTACCAGCCTGGCTTTATCTCCTGGAGGAGACTGGTATTTTTTTAATTACTTCTTACAATTATAAGTGATGTCGCCAGACCTCAAAATTAGGAGGCCCATATGTCAATCTATCAGGTTCACAAATGCCCAAATGTTTGCTGTGCCTGGTTTTCTATCTAGCAAATGTTATTATTCTTGCACTTCAAACCAAGATTTATTATGAGTTAAGCAGGAGAATATAACCCTGTGTGGTGTTTTTTCACAAGAGGAGGCACTGAACCTGCAGCGCAGCAGATCAGACAGGAAGGAGAGCTGCAATATTGGGCCTACCTTCTAGGAAGATGCAACAGCTGGTCAGGTAAGTCTTTTTGTGTGTTTTTCTTGCTCTGCCCTTCCTTCCTTCCTCCCCCGCCCCCCGACAGCCATGGATCTCTCTGGGCCAATCAAACCAGACTCACATCAGTTTGTGGCTGTGTGTACCCAACTCATCCAAGGCCCAAGGCCTTCCAAATGTGCTCAGTTTGGCTTGGGGCTTGTTTGAATCTTTACTTCTCACCTTCTACCTTCTCTTTGCTTCTTTGAACGACTTGAAATGTGTGAGAAGGTAAAGTGAAGGTGGAAGAAGTTATAGGGCTGCCATACATCCGGAATTTCCCAGACAATGCCAGGATTTGGCTGCCGAAAGTCTGGACAGAATCACCATGTGATCTGCAAGCAATCAAGTCCTCTGAATGCTTCTTGGCTTCCTCTTCTAAAAACAGTCCATTTTAGAGCCAAATCTCCAGCTAGCCTCACTTAGATTTGCTTTTACTGAGCTGTGTTTTCAAGCTATGCCTTCCACTGTTCTAGACGGACGATATAACAGGGCGCTGTACGAAGACAGACTCTGTATATGTGGGCAACCGCAGGTGGAAGACTTTTTGCACTTTTTACTATATTGCACAATATACACTGGACCCAGGAGGCAATTTCTCACCTTGCCGTCTATGGCTTCTCAGCAATGTAAGCATTTCAGTGACTCATAAAGCTGCCCTTTTTTACTTTGGTGGCCAAAAAGATCTGAAAGAAGACGCTGGGCAATATAGCAGTGAACTGTAATAGGGACGCAGATAAATAGAGACCATTATTTGTGGAGCGACACCCGTTTTGCTTGTGTTTATTTTTGATTCAAATTTGTCATGGCCAATGACTAGTACAATAAAGTTCTTTGGATTGGCTGCTAAGAGTCACGACCAGTAATATCCAAGGCAACACGATGACCAAGTACAACAATGCTTTGTCAATATAAACTCTTTATATAATCTATACAGAACACTGAACAGTATGAAATATATGAATTATGTACTCTCTGCAAAACAAAAATTTTCAGAGATTTATAAGATTTCTGATAATTACTGATAATTGTTTGCAACACAGGGGTTTAATTGTTTGGTTAAGAGTCACGTCCAGGCAGAATTTTTGTCAGCTGATTTAAATGTCCGGCAACCCATTGTGGAAGTTGGGTTTTATGCTGAAAATGTTTAAAAATGGCTCAACAACTTTGGGGGGATGGAGATCGTGCAAAAAAGCTCGTTTTTTGGGGGGGGGACTCAACAACTTTGGCCCCTAAAAAGGGGGGGGGGGAGCTCAACAACTTTTGATTTCTACTTCCTGAAATATGGCAACCCTAAGTTATCAGCAGAGTGGAAAAGGCAACAGGCACATAGCTGATGACAGAGGATTGTGAAAGAAGGCGAGACAAGGGACTGCTTTACACCATCTGCATAGCTTTCCCCAAAGAATCCTGGTAACTGTAGTTTGTTAAGTGTGCTGGGAATTGTAGCTCTCATTCCCAGGATTATTTGGGAGAAATCATGTGCTTCAAATGTATGGCGTAGTTGTGAATACAGTGCAAAAGGAAAAAGGATTGGGGAGGGAAGAGGAAAGCGAGCTGTTCCTTATTTAGCCAATGGATGGGGCTAGCCTCGTCTTTACCATGCCATTACAGTGGTACCTCGTGTTAAGTACTTAATTCGTTCCGGAGGTCCGTTCTTAACCTGAAACTGTTCTTAACCTGAAGCACCACTTTAGCTAATGGGGCCTCCTGCTGCCGCCGCACCGCCGGAGCCCGATTTCTGTTCTTATCCTGAAGCAAAGTTCTTAACCTAAAGCACTATTTCTGGGTTAGCAGAGTGTGTAACCTGAAGCGTATGTAACCTGAAGCGTATGTAACCCAAGGTACCACTGTATATTCTTCCTGGTGGGAAGAGGTGTAGCCTCCCAGCGGCCAGAGGCTTTGAGATATATTCAAAGAATTAGAAACTTGGCCACTTCTCAGCACAACGCTCCTCGTCCAATTAAAGCAAATTGTGGGGTTTGGTGGTGGAAAAGTAGGAAAGTGAACATCAAACTTAATTATGAAAGAACGCCAGCTCACACATAATTACTTATCTCCATTTTTCAAAACTTGGCTGAATGAGTTGAACCGAACATGGCTGGCGGGAAGGGAAGTGTGATTGTGATGAAAACAAAGAGGACTAAAGGAGTGGCTTTCCCTGGAAGCACACAGACGCACCCCAATAATTCAAGCATTGCTGTGAAAGTAACTGTGATCAAAATCTGCCCCGGTGAACTCTATACTTCTCTCTGAAGCGTTTTTCCGGTCAGGCAAGTTCCAAGGTAGGGTGGGGTTCTGCCGCCGCCTGTGGGTGGGATCTGAAGCTGTCTCTACCTTGCTCGGTCTTTCAATTACTCATTCCGGGTGAGACACCAGAGAAAGTGCCTGGAGAAACGCCGGCTGCAATCTGGCAGCGGCTGTGCCCCATTCTTCCGCTCCATGGCCAATTCTATCAAGAAAGACCAGGTACAGATCCCTGACGGTTTTGTGGGCGATCCAAGTCATGGGCCTGGGCTGTTGGTTTTCTAGGACTGTTGTGTCCATAACTCCCGATTTCTCCGTAGGCATGGATCCCCAAACTGTTCAAGAAGAAAGTCTGCACCACATTTATCGAGCAACCGGGGGAACTTGGGTGAGTGAAGCCTGGTTTTATCGCCCTCGTCAAGATTCAGAATAGGCAACGGTGTGAAACCCCAACTTCCAGATCCTAGGGGTTGTGTTATCATAACCCTCCCCTTCTCCTGTGCCTCTGCTATGGGTGGGAGAGGGATCTGACTCTGTTCTCTTTTAAATGGCAAACTTAGCTGGTTCGCACTTTCTGAAACAATATAAAAACCACAGCACAGCTGTTCTTTGGAATTTTCACTTCTCTGAATTTTGCAATGTAGTTCTCAGGCACGTACAAAATGTGTGTGTGTGTGTACACACATACACACACATGCTAACAGGTGAATCCCTATGTTAGTGAAAATGACATACTAAAAAATTAGGAGGAACTGCTTTGCAAAAATGAGTACTTAGGGGAAATTGCATGGAAGCATGTGTAGCTTGGGAGAAAGTTGCACTAAAATTCTGATGAATTGAATATTTGCTCTAAAATGCCGAAAAGGACTTTTTAAAACTGATGTGGAAACTTTTAAAAACTTCTTTCCCCCACAAACTGATGTGCAAACCTAAGACTGGAAAGATGTGAAACTGAAACAGGCATATTTCCCTACTCCTTGGTCACTCCTATATTGCACTCCTAGCTTATTTTCTGCTTCCTCCCAGCACTGTCAGATATTAGCTGCATCTCTATGATTCCTCGTGTTCGCATCCTGTTCCCAATCCATTGCGTTTTCTGCCTAACACCTCTCGGCATCAGTTTCCTCCAGTGGTTTCTCTGTGTTAGGATGACCACTTACACATCGCCAGACAACAACAACCAGAGAGAAAATGCATCTAAAGAGGACACAAATCAGCATTAAATTGGCACATAATTTGTGTATGCTGGTTTTTTAGGTTTAGATGCAAATTTAGAAATAATTGCTACAATTTAAATACAAATGCAGGGCATTTTGTGGGATGGGGAAGGGGAATGGGGCCAGGTGACCTGAGTGCTTGCTTGCTGCACTATCTAGATCAGCCTTTCTCACCTGTGGGTCCCCAGATGTTGTTGGACTACAACTCCCATCATCCCTGAGCTCTGGCCTTGCTAGCTAGGGGTGATGGGAGTTGTAGTTCAACAACATTTGGGGACCCACAGATTGAGAAAGGCTGATCTAGGTGCTGCTAAGTACCGTATTTTTCGCTCTATAAGACGCACCAGACCACAAGATGCACCTAGTTTTTGGAGGAGGAAAACAAGAAAAAACGTATTCTGAATCTCAGAAGCCAGAACAGCAAGAGGGATCGCTGCGCAGTGAAAGCAGCAATCCCTCTTGCTGTTCTGGCTTCTGTGATAGCTGCGCAGCCTGCATACGCTCCATAAGACACACACACATTTCCCCATACTTTTTAGGAGAGAAAAGGTGAGTCTTATAGAGCAAATAATATGGTAATGATGGTTAGCTTCAAGGCCCTTGCTGTCCCTTTGTATAGTTCTTTGTTTTTAATTCAGACTACGATCAGGTAGCCTTTCCAAGAGAGGACTGCTTCCTGTAAAGTGGGACACATGGCAACCCCACTGTATACATATGTGTGTGTATATGTATGTTGTTGTTGTTTAGTCGTTTAGTTGTGTCCAACTCTTCGTGACCCCATGGACCAGTGTATACGTATGCATGCACCGATTTCCACCATCTCTCCCCTTTACACACACACACACACACACACACACACACACACATTGCACCTCTTCCTACATTTTACAAACGAAAACTGGGAAACTCGTCTATTCTTGCAATGCTGCAACTCTCATATCATGGAACTGTGGCTGTGCTGCACACCGTTATCACACACAGCCCGTTAACAGCTTGCTTAAAAATGTAGCCTCCTCTGCAATCGTGCTGGTATTGATTCCCGAAGAAGGGCGTGTGTTAGTAAACGGATTAGTAGACTCCTTGGTGCCACCAGAGCAGGACTTTGGAGCAGGAGGCCAGGAGGTGACATTACCTTCGAAAGGTTGTGATGAGTGCCTAGAGTCACACCCACATTGCACATTTAAAGCATTCTTAATGTCATTTTAGCTGTCATGGCTCTCACACACAGCTGCCTAATAATGATGATGATGATGATGATGATGGGAAATGCAGTTTGTTAAGCCTGCTGGGAATCGTAGTTCCGTGTAATTTTTTTGTTGGCATCTATCTGTCTCGAGAGAGGGACGCGGGTGGCGCTGTGGGTTAAACCACAGAGCCTAGGGCTTGCTGATCAGAAGGTCGGCGGTTCGAATCCCCGCAACAGGGTAAGCTCCTGTTGCTCGGTCCCTGCTCCTGCCAACCTAGCAGTTCGAAAGCACATCAAAGTGCAAGTAGATAAATAGGTCCTGCTCCGGCGGGAAGGTAAACGGCATTTCCGTGCGCTGCTCTGGTTTGCCAGAAGCGGCTTAGTCATGCTGGCCACATGACCCGGAAGCTGTACGCCGGCTCCCTTGGCCAGTAAAGCAAGATGAGCACCGCAACCCCAGAGTCGGCCACGACTGGACCTAATGTTCAGGGGTCCCTTTACCTTTTACCTATCTGTCTCGAGAGACAATGGAGTCCGCCTCCGGGGGTGAAGTCAAACAGCTGCATGAGCAGGACCCAAGTGACCTCCCTGGGACGTGTGTCTGGAGGTCCTGGGCTGCCCAGACGACAAGACCCCCCTCTCAGCCTCGCTGATATGGTCCAAAGGAAAGCAACACAATACGTTTGGCACCAGCTTAGTTGCAGGCGTTGCGGGAAGGAGGCGTACAAGGCGCCATCCAACCATCTTAGGAACTCCACTTTAGATTTGGGTCGTTTACTCCTTAGCCTTTTCTTCTCCAAATGATTATCCTGCAAGGAAGTGAAGGTTTAGGATCAGAGTATTCCTTCTCCTCAATGGGGTACCTTCCTAGGTGGACGAGCTCCATCTGCCCCTCACTTTCCTCTGCCACACGTCTCCTAATAACCCTCAGCATACTACAGTTCCCAGGATTCTTGGCAGAGGGAGCCATGGCTGTTAAAGTGGGCATCAGAGAGCTTTAAATATATGCTGCAGACGTGACCTAATGCTATTAAATCCAGAGTCTAAAATGACCGACTTGCACTAGTGGTGCAAGTAATTTGATCGCAAGAATTTCCTTTTTTCATAAGTTATGTTGTTGGCTCTGTTTGTGTCCACTGCAGAACTGTATCAACTCAAAACACATTTTTCTATGTTCAGTGTCTCAGTACGCTATGAGCTGGCTTGAGGGGAAGTGGTACAGGTGAGCACCGTGCATTTAAGCTAGGAAATAATTTGCCTAGGCACACAGCCTAGATCTGATACTATTTTCATGTTCAAATATATAAAAGGATGTCACATAGAGGAGGGAGAAAGGTTGTTTTCTGCTGCTCCAGAGAAGCGGACACGGAGCAATGGATCCAAACTACAAGAAAGAAGATTCCACCTAAACATTAGGAAGAGCTTCCTGACAGTGGGAGCTGTTCGACAGTGGAATTTGCTGCCAAGGAGTGTGGTGGAGTCCCCTTCTTTGGAGGTCTTTAAGCAGAGGCTTGACAACCATATGTCAGGAGTGCTCTGATGGTGTTTCCTGCTTGGCAGGGGGTTGGACTCGATGGCCCTTGTGGTCTCTTCCAACTCTATGATTCTATGATTCTATTTGCACTCAAAAGCATTAAACAAGCAAACTTCTCCTACAATGTTGTTATAGCTAACAGTTAAAGGTAGGTATCTGTGTTGGTCTGCCGTAGTTGAAACAATTTTTTTTTTAATCCTTCCAGTAGCACCTTAGAGACCAGCTAAGTTTGTTATTGGTATGAGCTTTCATGTGCATGCACACTTCCTTAGATACACTGAAACAGAAGTCACCAGACCATAGCTGTCAACTTTTCCCTTTTCTTGCGAGTAATCCTATTCGGAATAAGGGAATTTCCATTTAAAAAAGGGAACCGTTGACAGCTATGCACCAGACCCTTATATATAGTGAGAGGGTGGGGAGGGGTATTACTCAGAAGGGTGGTGGGAATGGGTGATTGGCTGATAGGTGTGGTAAACCTGTTGATGACTGTTAACGACCGCAATTGATCTTACAGGAAAAAGCAAGGGGTGAGATAGCTAAAAATAGCTTTATCATGTATAATGAGATAAGAATCCAATGTCTCTATTTAGACCAGGTCTCTCCATGGTTTTAAGTTTGGTAATAAGTTGCAATTCAGCAACTTCTCTTTCCAGTCTATTTCTGAAATTCTTTTGTAATAAGACAGCTACTTTGAGATCTTGCATAGAATGTCCTGGGAGATTGAAGTGTTCTTCTACTGGTTTCTCTGTCTTGTGATTCCTGATATCAGATTTATGTCCATTTATCCTTTGGCGTAGGGTTTGTAGGCCTCTTTGTCCAATACAGAGAGCTGAAGGGCACTGTTGGCATTTGATGTCATACACAGTGTTAGAAGATGAGCAATTAAATAGGCCTGAGATGGTATGTTTGATGTTGTTGTGAAGGGACAGGATACCCAAATCCTGTCTGTGAAATCACCCCAGGCCTCAAAACTGTCAAGAATTCCTTTTGTCTTCTAAAAATCCAAAACAGCTTTTCTCTGCTCTCCTCTGCTCTATCACAAGATGCTGTGCATAGGCAAAATGTTACTTTTAAAAGCAAATGAATAGCCTCTGTCAATGCCAAGAATACTCAGGCCTGAGAAACGAATCTTATCTCATTCAGTTGCAACACCTTTGGACATGCTGAACTACTCTCATCCCCCCTTTCCTGGGAAGGGCGCCAAGAGTCCCAAAAGAGTCCCAAAGCAGGAGCTTTCTGTTCATGCTCAGAGGAACCTCAACATGGGGCAGGACTCCTGAGGGAGGAGAAAGGAGGAGGGAACTGGAAAGGGGTATATATGCTTGTGCACATGATTGTGAACTCGTGCATGCTTTTGTGGACTATCACACTTGCTCCTTCTACCAGTTCATGGATGGTAGAAATAAAACCTTTTTTTCCGAAACTATTCCTTGAGTGTCTGCTGACTCCCACTTCCCTTTCCCAGGCGCAATATTTTTCCCACCCGAGGGCAAAGCCTCATAAGGCTACAGTTGGGTCCAGTGATGGTGTTGTCTGGGTGTATGTGGCAGCAAAGTTGGCATCTGGGTTTATTGCAGGCTCTGGTGCCAGCGTCCACGCTAAGTATTATTGTCCGTGCTTGCTGTATTACTGGTCTATAAGGGGCTACCGGAAGGAATTTTTAAAAATTTTGTTTCGGTTATAGCTAACAGTTCAATGTGAATCTCGCCAATGGGTGAGAATCAAAGGCTGCACATGACTGGAGAGTACATACTTAGTGTTCGTGTACATGAAAATGCATGTGTGCGCGAAAGACAAGATATATCAGGTCCCCACACAAGATACCTAAGTCCTAAAGGCATTTCCTTGGTAGTGGATGAGAGCCAATAAACTGAAGCTCAAGCCAGATAAGATGGGAGACACTGTTAGTGGGTGGTTCCCTAGATCAGATGAATAGGAAGGTTGCCTGCTATTGATGGAGTTACCATACTTTCCCTCTAAAGGAGCAGGTATGCAACTTGGGGTACTTCTCAATCCATTGCTGTCCAGAAAGCCTTGGTCATGGGTAGGCAAACTAAGGCCCGGGGGCCGGATCCAGCCCAATCGCCTTCTAAATCCGGCCTGCGGACGGTCCGGGAATCAGCATGTTTTTACATGAGTAGAAGGTGTGCTTTTATTTAAAATGCATCTCTGGGTTATTTGTGGGGCCTGCCTGGTGTTTTTACATGAGTAGAATGTGTGCTTTTATTTAAAATGCACCTCTGGGTTATTTGTGGGGCCTGCCTGGTGTTTTTGCATGAGTAGACTGTGTCCTTTTTTTAAAAATGCATCTCTGGGTTATTTGTGGGGCTTGCCTGGTGTTTTTGCATGAGTAGAATGTGTTATTTTATTTAAAATGCATCTCTGGGTTATTTGTGGGGCCTGCCTGGTGTTTTTACATGAGTAGAATGTGTGCTTTTATTTAAAACGCATCTCTGGGTTATTTGTGGGGCCTGCCTGGTGTTTTTGCATGAGTAGAATGTATTATTTCATTTAAAATGCATCTCTGAGTTATTTGTGGGGCATAGGGAATTCGTTCATTATTATTTTTTTCAAAATATAGTCCGGCCCCCCACAAGGTCTGAGGGACATTGGAGCAGCCCCCTGCTGAAAAAGTTTGCTGACCCCTGGCCTTGGTGGTGCGAGGTGCCTTTCGTCAACATTGGCTGGTGGCCCAGCTGCACCCCTATCTGGACTGGAATAGCCTAACTTCTGACATCTATGCTCTGATAACCTCTAGACCAAATACTGCACCACATTATACGTGGGGCTGCCTCTGAAGACAGTGTGGAAACTTAAGTTGATAGAATACAGTGGTACCTTGGTTCTTGAATGGCTGGGCTTCCAAACAAATCAGCTCCTGAACGCCGCAAACTCAGAAGTGAGTGTTCCGATTTGTGAACGCCAGTCAGAAGCCAAATGTCGGAAACGGCTTCTGTGGCTTCCGATTGAGTGCAGGAAGCTCCTGCAGCCAATCGGAAGCTGCGCCTTGGTTTTCGAACCGTTTCGAGAGTCGAACGGACTCCCGAAATGGATTAAGTTCGAGAACAGTACCACTGTATTCACAACTTGCAGACTTAACCTATAGAATAAGAGAACAAGAAGAGCATACGTTTAAAGAAGATTGGAAAACGTTTATTGAGTATATAGGAAATAATTGTGTACAGCTGGAAACACTGACAGCTTTAAGATAAATTCAACAGTGTAAATAAATTTTGATGGATGCAATAATGAATACAATGGTACCTCTGGTTAAGTACTTAATTAATTCCGGAGGTCCGTTCTTAACCTGAAAATGTTCTTACCCTGAAGCACCACTTTAGCAAATGGGGCCTCCTGCCGCCGCCACGCCGCCGGAGCATGATTTCTGTTCTCATCCTGAAGCAAAGTTCTTAACCCGAAGTACTATTTCTGGGTTAGCAGAGTCTGTAACTTGAAGCATCTGTAACCTGAAGCATATGTAACCCAAGGTACCACTGTACTAAATGGTATAGTTTTTGTAAAATATGCAGGGATTTTTGATATGTAAAATGAACAATGGAAAGAGAAAAAGGGAAGTCATTGATATCTTAAGAACTTCAGTTGGTGCAGAATTCAGAGGCAACCTGTGAGCAGGGCCTTCTCTGCAGTGGCTTCCCACTTACGGAATGCTCTCCTCAGGGGGGCTCACCTGGCACCTTTTCTTACATAATTTTAGGCGCCAGGCAAAAACATTCCTCTTCCCTCAGGCCTTTGGCTAATTAAACATTCTACGGCCTGTAACTGGGAGGGTATTGTTTTTGTTTGTTACTATGGTACATGTTTTTGTGTTTTGATTTTGTAAACCGCCCTGCGGCCCTCAGATTTTGCACAAAACTTGGAAAAGTGTGAATTTTGAAGGATGGCTGTGTTATTTTGTTTTTAGTTCTCTTAGTGTTTCGGAAACTGCAAATTCGATAGATTTGCATTTAAATGCAAACGGAGTTGCTCCACCATTCCTAACTCCACACGTACATTTTTTATATATATACTTTTTTCTCAGCTGCCAGGGGCCCTTCTTGACCCAAGGTGTGGACCCAAAGGAGAACAGGCTTTTGTCTATGCCCCCCCCGAAAAAACTTAGGGGTACACCCTTTTTCAGATCTCTCCTTTGTGCTATCCCATTCCGCAGGGGTCCTTGCTTGTGCCAGTGCGGGAGCCCTCGCAGCAAGCACATCGCTGTAGCCACAGAAGACGCCTTTGGAGCAGCCATTGTCAGCAAATGGGACTCGGCCCAACACACAACAGAGGGGCCTACCGATGCCTATGGCGAGGTGAAGTTTGTGGGCACCGGCCGCAGACCCAGCAAGGTAAGGTTTTTCCTGGAAGGGGATAGATTACGGAGGTGGCAGAGTTATGGGCGAAGATAATAATAATAATAATAATAATAATAATAATAATAATAATTTATTTATACCCCGCCCATCTGGCTGGGTTTCCCCAGCCATTCTGGGCAGCTTTCAACAATAGTCTATTAAACATTAAAAGCTTCCCTAAACAGGGTTGCCTTCAGATGTCTTCTAAAAGTCTGGTAGTTGTTTTTCGCTTTGACATCTGGTGGGAGAGCGTTCCACAGGGCGGGTGCCACTACCGAGAAGGCCCTCTGCCTGGTTCCCAGTAACTTGGCTTCTCGCAGCGAGGGAACCGCCAGAAGGCCCTCGGAGCTGGACCTCAGTGCCTGGGCAGAACGATGGGAGTGGAGATCTTGAGGCTGACATTCTCACTCCTCTTCCCACTGCAGTTCATACGCCTGTCAGACACGTCTGACCCTGCTGCTGCTTACGGCCTGGTAATGCACCACTGGAAAATCCCGCGCCCCAACCTGGTGGTGTCAGTGGTAGGGGGCGAAGGCGAGGTACGGGTGAGGGCCTGGCTTAAGGATGTGCTGAGAAAAGGGCTCGTCAAAGCCGCCCAGAGCACAGGTAAGGACCACCCTGTGGCCTGTTTTCATTCCACATTTTTGCGCGTTCATCGCTGGTGTTTCAGACTCATGTGATCAAAACACTGCACTGGCGCCAGTGTGATTCCTGGTCCTGCTGATACTCTGTACCATGAGTAGGCAAACTATGGCCCGGGGGCCGGATCCGGCCCAATCCCCTTCTAAATCTGGCCTGCGGATGGACCAGGAATCAGCTTGTTTTTACATGAATAGAATGTTTCCTTTTATTTAAAATGCATCTCTGGGTTCTTTGTGGGGCCTGCCTGGTGTTTTTACATGAGCAGAATGTGTGCTTTTATTTAAAATGGGTTATTTGTGGGGCATAGGAATTCGTTCATCCCCCCCCACTCAAAAATATAGTCTGTCCCCCCACAAGGTCTGAGGGACAGTGGACCAGCCCCCTGCTGAAAAAGTTTGCTGACCCCTGCTAAGTACTGTATATAAAACTAAAAAAAAGTTAGGGGAATTTTCGACGTTAGTAAAGAAACAGCAATTTGGATGCGCTATAAGCACGCAACACCAGATGGCGCCAGAGGGCAGGAAATTTTAAAACACACTTTTCCATAGGGATTTCTTTCTTTTGTGATAACAATCCAGTGCAGGAATGCAGGGGTACGCATACCCCTAAACATTTTTGTTGACATTCTTTCTGCCAAGAAGCAAAGCTGCTTTCAGCTGCAGGAGCAGGCTTCTTAGGACCCGGTGCGCTCGTCTATGCCATTTCCGTTGCCTCCTCCAGCAGTAACAACAAAGGCGGGGGGGGGAGCGCAGCCCGGGCTTCCTTGCCGCTACGGGAACCAATCACAAAGCAGAGCCTTCCTAGCCGCACGCCGCTAGCTCCTGCCCCCTTCCCTCAAGGCCCGTTCATGCTTGGAAAACTCTGTGGGGCTGTCCTGGAAGCACCGTGTAGCTGCACCTATAGACGTATTTTTAAAAGATAGCTTGAAAGATGCAGCGCCAGTTTCCCGCATAGTTTTCCCCTCCCGCGCACACAACAAAACGTCGTAGCAAAAGGCAAGGCGCTTGTGCTGTTTTTGCACGTGGGTCTTTAATAAGAGTTTTGACAGCTGCGGCCCTGCGTGCGTTATATGTGAGCTGTTTGCTGTGTATATGAGGTAATGCATGTCCTTTGTACTTTTCTCCATTTGCTGTATTTATTTTCCCCGATTTGAACTATAAAATGGTGATTTTCTTGAGTCAAAATGAGAGTACCCCCAAACATTTTTATTATTATTTTTTTAAAGCACTGTAACAATTTAATTTCTGACTTATTTATAGTGGGTTCCCCTCCCTCTACCTATGTCTAGATCCAGCCTAGATCAGGCTGCAAAGCTTACTTTTTATATAAAGTAATTGTTGGGGAGGGGCAAAAGGAAAGGGAAAGTTACCATATATTTCGCTCTATAGGACGCACCCGACCATAGGACGCACCTTGTTTTAGAGGGGGAGAACAAGAAAAAAAAATCTCTCCCTCTCTGCTCAGCGCCCCTTCAGTGAAGTGGCAGGAGAAACGGAGCCCCTTCCATTTCTCCTCCCGCTTCGCTGAAGGGGCACTGTGCAGAGCCTCTCCAGCAAAGCGAAGCCAGGAGAGCAAGAGGGATTGGTGCGTACCGACCCCTCTTGCTCTCCAGGCTTCAGCGAAAGCAACGTTAAGCCTCCGGAGCGCAGCAGGAGTGCCCGCTGCGCTCTGGAGGCTTCAGGCGGCTATCCCTGAAGCCTAGAGAGCTAGAGGGGTCGGTGCACACCAACCCCTTGCGATCTCCAGGCTTCAGCAAAAGCAACGTGAAGCCTCCGGAGCGCAGCAGGAGCGCCCACTGCGCTCCGGAGGCTTCACATTGCTATCGCTGAAGCCAAGGAGCCTGCATTCGCTCCGTAAGATGCACACACATTTCCCCTTAATTTTTGGAGGGGAAAAAGTGCGCCTTATAGAGCGAAAAATACGGTACTTACTGTGCTGGTGGGTTTTAGGGTGTGAGGATGCATACTCTCCAGCCATCCCTATTCTCCCGGGATATTCCCAAAATTACAGAATTACACCCTGGCTTCTGATTTGATCCCGGAATGTCCTGGGGATGATCTGGAGCTTGCAATGGTGCCGCTCTTTTGTGCAAGACAGCTGACTTGTGCATCACCAGAAGACACACGTCCCAATTTTCATCAGGGGAATGTTGGGCGGTATGGATATATGATTTCCAAGGTAAAATGATATTAGCAACTTTTGTAGAGACGCACCTTTGGATGTTTGCTGCAGCATCTTACTGTGGGCTGCTCTTAGAATCATAGAATCTTAGAGCTGGAAGGAACCCAATGGTCATCTAGTCCAACCCCCTGCAATGCCCTCTTACTCAGTGTTTTTTGTCCTGCACTGTAGTAGTATTAGTAGTAGTAGTAGTAGTAGTAGTAGTAGTAATTTATTATTTATACCCCATCCATCTGGCTGGGTTTCCCCAGCCACTCTGGGTGGCTCCCAACAGAACATTAAAAACTCGATAAAACATCAAACATTAAAAACTTCCATAAACAGGGTTGCCTTCAGGTGTCTTCTGAAAGTCAGAGAGTTGTTTATTTCCTTGACATCTGATGGGAGGGCGTTCCACAGGGTGGGAGCCACTACCAAGAAGGCCCTCTGTCTGGTTTCCCTGTAATCTCACTTCTCGCAGTGAGGGAACCACCAGAAGGCCCTCGGCGCTGGACCTCAGTGTCCAGGCTGAACGATGGGGGTGGAGATGCTCCTTCAGTAGCTGTTGAGTTAGGGATCAAAAACTGATCGGCCTTGCTGGGGGGCAGGCAAGTAGGGTTTTGTGGGGGTTATTGCTCAGATTTGACCTAGGGGAAATGGTAAGAATTATACAAGTAAACTTCGTTCCGTGGCTATTACACTGTGTAGCTGTAACACAAAAAACCCAAAATAATTTAAAAAAAAACAACTGATGGGCTGTGGGACAAATCCTGTCCTCTGATTCCCTCACCCATTCTGTAAACAACAACAACAACAACAACAACCTCACTGAGCTGTACATCAGCAAAACAATTAAAACAATGAAACAACTATTACAGCAATAAACATGTAAAACAGCAGAGGTGGCAGTAAATGCATATATAAGCCTCCGAAGGGCAGAATGACAGTTGATGCTTGAAAAAACCTGGACAAGTACACGGAAATAAAAGTTTATTTGTCAATAAAAAGCAATTTGACAGCAGGCTGGGATTGGGGGTTGGGGGAAGACTTCTAGGGAAAATAGGTGACTGACCAAGGTACTAAGGCTACAACTGCCACTCTCTTGGTGCTATCACTTGAAATATTTACAGTAATTGAAACTCGCTAAAATGAAAGCTGTTGCTAGATAATTCTGCAATGATCCCATGTAGTTCTGCAATAATTCCATGTAATTCTGCAATAATTCTAATGAGGCTGCCCTTCAAAACGAGAAAATAAGCTGTTCTTTCCTCCTGTGTGATTAATTATTCCCACCCTGTGCATCTCTACTTGGCTTTAGTGCATTCCTTTTGCTCTGGATTTCTTTTAATGTCCTCTGGTTGCAGTATAAACGAAAAGGGGAAGGCAAAGGCAGGAACAGGAGAGGCAACAGAGGAGGAGGCTGTTGCCTGCCAGCTACTGTTTGGATTATTTTTGTAGAAGAATTAATACAATAGGGACATTCTACTCTAAAACAAGAGAACGTCTCTCTTTTCGTGCAAAACGTTGGAGCGTGTGATCGAATCTTTGTGTGCCACTGGATATAAAATCTTTTTCATAGTTCTGTTTGGTACAGTGGTACCTTGGTTCTCAAACTTAATCCGTTCCGGAAGGCCGTTCCAAAACCAAAGCGTTCCAAAACCAAGGCACACTTTCTCATAGAAAGTAATGCAAAAAAATGGATTAATCCATTCCAGACTTGAAAAAACAACCCCTAAAACAGCAATTTAACATGAATTTTACTATCTAACAAGACCATTGATCCGTAAAATGAAAGCAATAAACAATGTACGTGCCTTGGGTTACGGACTTAATTCGTTCTGGAGGTCCGTTCTTAACCCGAAACCATTCTTAACTTGAGGCACACTTTTTCTAAGGGGGCCTCCTGCTGCCGTTGCACCACCAGTGCGCAATTTCTGTTCTCATTCTGGGGCAAAGTTCTTAACCCGAGGTACTACTTCCGGGTTAGCGGAGTTTGCAACCCGAAGTGTTTGTAATCCAAAGCGTTTGTAACCTGAGGTACTACAGTAGCGAAAACAGACACACCTCAGCATAACGGCTCAAAACAGAACTGTGGCACTCAAAACAGAAGTGTGGCACTCAGACTGGAAGCATAACACTCAAAACGGAGCACATTCGGCTTCCGATAAAAGTTCGCAAACCGGAACACTTACTTCTGGGTTTGCAGTGTTTGGGTTCCAAGTTGTTTGAGTACCAAGGTGTTTGAGGACCAAGGTTCCACTGTACTTGGGGTGTACAGTCATACCTCTTGTTCAGGTTACGTTCTTTCAGGATACGTCCTGCTGCGACCCGGCAGTAATGGAACAGGTTACTTCTGGGTTTTGCCGCTCGAGCATGCGCAGACGCTCAAAATGACGTCATGCGCAGAAGCGGCGAATCGCGACTCGTGCAGACGCAGGTTGCGTTCTGCTCATGTTGCTAACAGGGCTCCAGAACAGATCCCGTTCGCAACCAGAGGTACCACTGTACTTTGGAGGCAGTATGTGTTTCTGCGGCTGCAGAAGTGCGCTCAAACAGGAGGTTGCTTTTGTACATTTCACAAGGAGGAGAGACCTGCCTGCATTGTGGAAGGCAAAGAAAGCTTGCGTGCATGACTGAAGGAGAAGGAAGCGACAGCTGCTGCTTCCAGAAGGGTGTTTTGTGTGCTTTTCTTACTCTTATTCCTGTCAGTGTTTATGTTTGAGAAGGAGTGCTGTTTTGGGGTGTGTTTATGGCAGCAGTTGTGAGCCTTTTGCTGGGGCGTGGGTTATTGAGAGAGAGGGAGAGAGGGCCTGGGTACACAGCGGGACATTCCCAGCCTGGCTTGTGTGCGTGTAATTTGTGAGATAGTCAGGTTATGTATGGGTCACGGGGTTGATCCTTGTCCAATAGGTGTGTCTCAAGTGAATGATTGGCATCCTCTGTCTTGTGTGGTCATTTGTCAAATATAACAACAGGTTACACCTATTAGCAAGGGGGTGGCCTAGGGGCAGGCAGCGTGACAGCTGCTTTCAACAGTCCCAGACAAGCACACCACCTTTCAATATTTAAATAAATATTGATGAAATGTGTAATGAATATTGAAAAAATATATTTTAATAATAACAATATGCACAGAGATGGAAAGAAAATGTAGCTGCAACCAAGGAAGAGTGGCAGACAAAACTGATGGAGTATGCAGAAATGGCGACACTTGCCAGAAAAATAAGAAACTAAGAAGAGATAATATTATTTATTCATTCATTCATTCATTCATTCCCCACCCATCTGGCTTGGCTTCCCCAGCCACTCTGGGCAGCTCCCAACAGAATATTAAAAATACAATAAAACATCAAACATTAAAAACTTCCCTAAACGGGGCTGCCATCAGATGTCTTCTAAAAGTCAGATAGTTCTTTGTTTCCTTTACATCTGGTGGGAGGGTGTTCCACAGGGCGGGTGTCACTACTGAGAAGGCCCTCTGCCTGGTTCCCTGTAACCTCACTTCTTGCAGTGAGGGAACCGCCAGAAGTTCCTCGGAGCTGGACCTCAGTGTCCAAGCTGGGCAATGGGGGGAATTTTGTGGGCTGTTTGAGGAACTATTGTAAATCGTTAGCTGTCAGGGACTGGGCAGAGGAGGAGGAAAGGTGGAGACCCCTTCCCCTCCTGACCCAGGGAGGAGGTAGAGGAAGACAGTATAGATTTACAACAGGGGTTTGCGGGAGGTTGCAGCTCAGAGGCAGATGAGGGGAAAAGCTGGGGGAAATCATGGGAGAGCCGGAACAACACCCGGCTGACATGTTGTCATTAGAAAGCATTCCAGACTCCCCATCTCCCAGAATCAGGCGAGCTTTAAAAGTAGGAGAGCAAAGAGCTCAAAGGCAGAGGGCGTGTTGCAGCACCCATAGAAGGTGATGGATTAGTAAGTGAGAGAGACGGGGCAGAGATTGACTTGGGACAACGCCATTATCCAAGAGCAGGCATAGGCAAGCTCCAGCCCTCCAGATGTTTTGGGACTACAATTCCCATCATCCCTGACCACTGGTCCTGTTAGCTAGGGATGATGGGAATTGTAGTCCCAAATATCTGGCGGGCCGGAGTTTGCCTATGCCGGTCCAAGAGGCTCTGTTCTATAACCTCTCTCTGTAAAGTTTGAAATTAAAAAAAGGAATGTTAGAAACTTTTCCTTGTCTTTATACTTTCCTGGGCAACCAGCCAGGAGCTGCTGACATTAGCAGGATTAATATAAAAATGTGCCGTAAGAATTAATTTAAGGGGAATATCAATAATTAAATTCATCTGGATATGCAGTAATAAAGGATAAAACATAAGTAAGCAAAGAAGGGGGGAGGGGAGCCGATTTAAGGATTTGTTTATTTTTATTGGATATATGATTTTTTAAAAATTGTTTATTTATTTATTTATACTTTTCAAGTTTGTGCATTTCACTAATTTTGTACATTTCACTAATTTTACAATCATTTTGACATTTCAGAACTTGACTTCCTTCCCCCTCTTTCTGCGGTTCCTTAAATTTGTCTTTAATATCTTCTGCACATCCAAATTAACCCAATTTACTAATTTATTCATCTTCCCTAACTATATACTCTTATAAAACTGCAGGTTATTACAATAATCCTGCCGATGTTTTTATCTGTTTATAATTTATCTGTAAATACTCAACAAACCATTTCCATTCTTTTGTTAAAAAATTATAATTGTATCTTGATTTCTTATTCTTCCGGTAAGTTTCTCTGTTTCTGCATATTCCATAAGTTTTTGTATCCATTCTTCCTTTGCTGGGACTTCTGCTTCTTTCCATGTTGGGGCAAGTAACATTCTTGCCGCTGTAGTAGCATACATGAATAAGTTCCTATACATTTTAGGTAGTTCTGTCCCTATAATTCCCAAATTATAGGGACAGATATGCAATTTTGGATATGTAATTTTGTGTAAAATTATTTGTAAAATGGCAAAATGAAAAATAATTGATGATGATGATGATGATGATGATGATAATGTTTTATTTCCAAGACCATACTTTATTTTTATTTTTTGGTAACACATGCCACTTTAGTAATGCACACACGCTTTGCCGCTCCTACGCAGGTGCCTGGATTATGACTGGTGGGCTCCAGGCTGGCGTCGGACGCCATGTTGGGGAAGCTGTGAGGGACCACACGACCGCTAGTTCTAACCCCAGCACCCATGTGGTGGCGATGGGCATTGCTCCGTGGGGCATCGTCGAGCAGCGCCAATGTCTTGTGAACCCCAAGGTATCGGAGAGGGGGGTGACAGAGAAGACCGCAAATGGGTACAGAGGTGATGGGATGGGCATGGAAGACGCAGCAGGTTATTTCGGTCCATCTGTCAGGGCGCGGGGGGGGTCAAGAGCAGGTCAGCAATAACTCACATGGTGTCAGTGAACTCTCTTCATTCAAAGAAACGAAATCAGCGCAGGAGGATAGGTCTTGTAAGCACAGCAACTCTTCCCAGTCAATCTTGCCCAAATGAGGCAAGTACCGTATTTTTCGCTCTATTAGCATAGCTGTCAACCGTCCCTTATTTGGCGGGAAACTCCCTTATCCCAGCGCTGTGTCCTGCGCACCGATCCCTCTTGCTCTCCTGGCTTCAGCGAAAGCTGCACAGCCTGCATTCGCTCCATAAGACGCACACACATTTCCCCTTACTTTTTAGGAGGGGAAAAGTGCGTGTTATAGAGCAAAAAATACGGTAGTCAGGAGTGAAGGTCACCACCTTCCCACAGGTGCCCAAGTCTCCTCCCTTCCTGGGTCCCTTCAGAGCAATCTGAGACTACCATGCCGTGTCTGTCTTTGCTCTGTCCTCTTCACACCTCTTTGGGTTCTGGGATGCCAGCAAGGAGGGGAGCTGGGCTGGGACTCCCTGGCTTCTTCACAAGCTGGTCGCTTCTCTGCATCTTGGCCAGCCTCTGCTTCTGCTTCTGGACTGCTCTCTGCCACAGGCTCTCCCTGCTCACTAAACCCTGTTACCTCTTCAGCTTATGAAACCTCTCCTGCTCGCAGTCTTCTCCCTCTTCTTCCTCTGACCACACATCATCACACCCCAGGCTCTGGGCCTTCTTCCCTTGGGGGTTCCCCAGCTGGTGCCTCCCACTTCTCCTCTGCATCCAACTAATATATTAATAAGAATTTATTATTTATACCCCACCCATCTGGCTGGGTCTTTCCAGCCGCTCTGGGCGGCTCCCAACAGAATATTAAAAACACGATACATCAGACATTAAAAACTTCCCTAAACAGGGCTGCCTTCAAATGTCTTCTAAAAGTCAGATAGTTGTTTATTTCCTTGACATCTGGCGGGAGGGCGTTCCACAGGCAGGCACCACCACTGAGAAGGCCCTCTGCCTGGTTCCTTGTAACCTCACTTCTCGCAGTGAGGGAACCGCCAGAAGGCCCTCGGAGCTGGACCTCAGTGTCTGAGCTGAACGATGGGGGTGGAGACGCTACTTCAGGTATACTGGTCCGAGGCTGTTTAGGGCAGGCATAGGAAAACTTGGCCCTTCAGATGTTTTGGGACTACAACTCCCATCATCCCTAGCTAACAGGACCAGTGGTCAGGGATGGTGGGAGTTGTAGTCTCAAAATAACCGGAGAGCCAAGTTTGCCTATGGTTGCTTGAAAGGTCAGCACCAACACTTTGAATTGTTCCTGGAAATGTACCGGGAGCCAGTGTAGGTCTTTCAGGCCTGGTGTTATGTGTTCTTGGCGGCCACTCCCAGTCACCAGTCTAGCTGCCACATTCTGGATTAAAAGTCCCTGGCACCTTCCTTCATTTGCTCCCTGTTTTTCCCTCCTTCTGCAGGGTTTGTTCCCAGCACTTTACCCCAGGACAGTCCCTTCTGCCCCTTACTGCCCTCTGGATGCCAACCACTCTGCCTTCTTCTTGGTGGACAACGGGACGCAGGGCAGGGTGGGCGGCGAGGCCTCCTTCCGTGCCCGCCTGGAACGCTACATTGCCCAGCAGAAAGTGGGAGCTGGCGGTAAGACACTTCCACCCATACGCAAGGATTGCATTTCCTTGGCTTACCTTGGGGTGGGTGGCAACTTCCACAGCCTCAAAAGAGGAATTGCATCAGGATGTGGGGGGAGAGGCCAAGTTTATTTCTTTCCAAAAAAAGGAAGTTAACGTTTACATATGATGCTGTATTTGTACAGTTGCAGATTTAGAGGTGATTTCTGTAATTTAAATTCATAGAGAGTCTATCTGAAAAAAAACACCAAGAATTGAATTTGTATCAAAATGGGAGGCCTTCAGAACATATCTTAAACACAATTATATCATGTTAAAATCTGTAGTAGCTTTTGAGTGATCCCAGCAGTTTTTATTCATTGCTTATATAAATATAAACATTTATAAATTGTGAAAATATTAACATAAAGAATGGTATTTCGATATGGCTGTAAATTTATGTAAAAAGAATTATGGAATAAATGGGAAGTCGGGTATAAAAGATAATGAGATTTTTTTACTTTTATTGTAGCATGAAATTGTAATCGTAAATTGTTGTCAAAATTTTTATCTTAATAACAGATTGTGTAAATTTCATTTTCTTTCCTTTCCCCTCCCCTCTTAAGTTGTACCCCCTTTTCAGTATTGTTCCCTTTTTTTTGTATGTAATAAGCATGGAAATAAGATAAAATTTTAAAAAGCAAAAAAAACAAAACAAATTTAAATTCAAATACAATACATTGGGATGTGTGCGATGCTGGTCCTACTCAGAGTAGACCAATTGAAATTCTGTTTAATAATAATTTATTATTTATACCCCACCCATCTGGCTGGGTTCTCCAAGCCACTCTGGGCAGCTTCCAACAGAAGATTAAAAATACATTAAAACACCAGTCATTAAAAACTTCCCTAAACAGGGCTGCCTTCAGATGTCTTCTAAACGTCAGATAGTGTATGTAGGTTCCTGCCCCAGGTGTCCTCAGTTGCAACGCTTTTTACTGCTGCTTCTGTTTTATGTTAGCCTAGCGACAACAGCAGTAAGCTTCCTCAGACACATGGTCCTTTGCAGAGGGAAAGCCCTCGTATCACTTAAATGAGCCAAGCGGTGCCAGACCTGGTGGTGGGAGGGTTTGGGTCAGTGCCCCCTTAGGAAAAAGGCCTGTCTCCCACATCCCTGGGGGTGAGGCCTGATTTTTCTCCCACTTGGCAAACCTGTTCTGTATTCCTTCAGCCCATAAATGACGGAATGTTTTCTTGAGCAAACTACTTTGTCAGCTCAGGAGAAGGCTGAAGATTAGGAGGACCTTACTCTCTAACGTCAAAGTTTCTACACAGAGGATGTTGTTGTTATTTGTATTGGAGGAATATTCAGTTTGTGCTCCCCCCCCCCATCTGTTGTTTGAAATAGCAGCGTTCAGGCACCTTAGCGAGGCCAGAGTTTGCTGCCTCATTAACTAATACAGTGGTACCTCGGTTGTCGAACATAATCCATTCCAGAAGACTGTTCGACTTCCGAAATGTTGGACAACCGAGGCGCAATAGGCTGCTGGCAAAGGGAATGGAGAAAATTGAGAAACGCGCCTCAGAAGCCGTTCAGCTTCCGAGGCACGTTTGAAAACGGAAACATTCACTTCCGGGTTTTTGGCGTTCAAAAACCAAAACGTTTGGCTTCTGAAACGCTCAAAAACCAAGGTACCACTGTATGCATTTACAGTGGACACTCGGGTTGCGAACATAATCCGTGTGGGATGCACATTCGCAACCCGCAGCGTTCGCAACCCACATCTGCGCATGCGCGGGTTGTGATTTAGTGCTTCTGCGCATGTGCGACCGCCAAAACCCGGAAGTAACCCGTTCCAGTACTTCTGGGTTTTGGCGGGTCCGTAACCCAAAAAAACACAACCTGAAGCGTCTGTAACCTGAGGTATGACTGTACCCAGAATTCTGTGGCTGCTACACTTCCAGACCCCTGGGCAGCTTCCCCCGTGAGAGATTTCTGTCCTGGTATCCCAAAATATTGGTCCTTTGTTTTGCCCTTCATCATTAGGTTTCTCTTGTGTAATTTCCTTATCTCACTGCTGCTGCCCGCAGGTGCTGGGAGTATTGAGATTCCTGTGTTGCTGCTGCTCATCAGTGGGGACTCGGCTATGTTCAAGGTAATGGGCGTGAGAGCTTGTGAAGGGAAGTGGGACGGGGGGGAGGGTTGCATACCCCTCAACTGTCCTGGGGAAAGCAGGACACCCTGCTTTTTTGCATGAGAGCACGGCAGCCATTTTGGGTGCTGCGATATTGCATTGAGGGGGGGGAACCTTTTGGGAAGGACTGCAATTTCACACGGGATCACGTGACTCACCCGGGAGCATGGCCGCAAGCTGCATCCTGGCTATTGGCCTGGACCTTTTGGAGGGTATGGGCTTATGGGAGACACCCAGTCCTGAAAGAACGAGCTGTTGGGAAGGAGAGACGCAAATGAAGTGGTCGCTGTGAACGTGGTAAAAGGGGCAGTAGGAAGTGAGGTGGACAGACTCGAGGTTTGCCAGATCTACAGTGGAAACTCGGTTGTCGAACGTAATCCGTTCCGGAAGACCGTTCGGCTTCCGAAATGTTCGACAACCGAGGCACAAAGGGAGAATGTCAATTTCAATGGTGAAAATGGAAAAACATGCCACGGAGGCCGTTTGACTTCCGAGGCACGTTAAAAAACAAATTCAATTACTTCCGGGTTTTTGGCGTTCGAAAACCGAAACGTTCAGCTTCCGAGATGCTTGAAAACTGAGGTTCCATTGTATTTTTAATTTTTTTTTACTAGAACCTCAGAATCTACAAACCAGGAGCCAGGAGAAAAAGACATAGCTGAAATTTAAAAACAAACCAACCAGGGTGCCTCTGAGCACATTCTGACCTTAAGAATTTGATTTCTGTGCAATGACTGAACTGAGCTCACAATCCTTTCACGTCAAAGTCCGCTTCCAGTTAGCTTTTTCCGGCTGCAAACATTTAAAGCTCATTCTAAAGCACACACCTCTTTGTGGAATCCTGGGGGGGGGGGGGGCACGCGTTGCATTGCTGGCGACCTTTCCCCTTTCTCACTCTGTCTCCCTTTCCGGCCTTGGGGGAGAGGACGGGGTGTTCAATAAATCTGCCGTCCAGTGCATTTCCCCTGCGCCAAACCTCTGTGGAAAATGACCTAGGCAGAGTAGCAGAGTAGCAGCGGTTGCCTTCCGTGTGAGAAGGAGAAGTAAAGAGTCCAGACACTGTCTCTTCTATCTCTAATAGCGTTTATTTACAAGCAGTAAATCCATCAGAACTTGGAGACATTCTGTGCCGGAGCTTCTTCCTGAGGCAACTTCTGAACATCCTCAAAGGATTCAGGTTCACACCTAGCCGCGCCAACCCACACATGGGGGGAACTATGCGCGGGGCAGGCCCCACTTTGCCGCACTCCTGGTGCTATTTGCCCCACGCTCCTGGCTGCATACCGTAAGGATATAAACCGCACTTTAACTTTTGGAATTTGTGGGGGGGAAAGTGTGGCTTATATTCAGGCCAGAACGGTAATGAAAACAAAACAAGAACAGAGAAAAGGAAAAACAGAGAGAACCTGAAATATCCCTAGTGCCCACTGGCCCAAACCATTTCGCGGCCCCTGGCTTTGTAGGTTTCTGAGGGGCTCATCTTCTGTCTTGTTCTTCCCCTCAGCGCGTCTCTGATGCGGTCCATGCCTCCATCCCTTGCCTGCTCTTGGCAGGAACTGGAGGAGCAGCTGACTGCTTAGCTGGGTTGCTGCAGGAGACACAGCCTGGAGAGCCCATGAAGGCCCTGGCGATGAAGAAGATGCAGGGGAAGTTCCCCGCTGATGAACTGGAGGACTTGGCAGAGGAGGTAGGATCCAGAACTGCAACTCCCTGACCCCCTTCACAAATTCTTCTTTCTCCATGGCCTTCCCAGAGCTCACATTCATTCCTGTGGGGCTTTGAGACTTCCCATTACTAGTCCTTAGGGTCATGGGCACTTGAAAATCTCTCTCTGGGGAAGGGAATATCGTTTTCTCTCACAGATCTCCAAGACAATGCTTCTTTTTTCCCTCAGGTGGAGCAAATTGGGGCTCTAAGGGAACTGGTCACCGTCTATTCAGACCAGGAGGGTCTCGAGGAGTTTGAGACTGTCCTTCTTCAAGCGCTGGTGAAAGGTGTGTACCCTACCACAGATATCTCTGGCTGAGCTGTGGCTTTGGGGTTTACCTCCCCAATCAACCTCTTATTGCGTTGGATATTTCCTAAATATAAAAGTGGGCTGTAGAAGTTTTATACAAACTCCTTTCCAGTCAATGGTTCCTACTAACCTTCAGTCCTGAGCTCTGAAAAATAACCCAGTCATGGAAGTTAGCGAACATTCCAGAAAGTCCTTCGTTCAGTGGTTAAGGGAAATTCTGGGGTGGCACCAACATCATAAAGAAGGAACCTCCAGATGTGGTGCCTGTCTGGCCTTTGCAATATTTTAAAAGTTAACATGGGCTGGATATGAACCACAAAAGGAAGTCAACCAGGACTGAGATTTGCCAAACATTTCCAACTTGCATTTAATTGTTTGAGGGTTGTATCCATCTAAGTTCTACTTAGATTTAGCCCACTGAAATTAATGAACCTAAGTTGACCATGTCCAGAAGCTGCAATAGGTTTACCCTGAGTTGGACTAGCATTGATGACACGCCAACCCTAAATGTTGCTTTCAATATAGAAATCAAATAATTAAAATAGGTTGACGCATTGTAAGCAACATATTGGCATGGTATCAATTATTATATCAATGTAAGCCACAAAAGTACCCAAAATGTCCCATAAACATTTTTGTCAAGGCTGCCTCAAGTCTCAGCTCACAAAAGACCAACGCCTATGTCTTCTTATATACAAAAGTGTTTATTGCAGTTCATTGTTTGCTTGACATCCTAGGCGCGCAGCCTTACGTCTGCTACGCTTAGACCGCTGAAGTCCCCTCTGAATCCGTCCCTCCTCTGCACCAATTTAAGAGGCTTGCGCTGCTCCACCTCTTTCTCTCTTTCCTTTTCCGCAGGGTCCTTCTGCCCTCTGGGGTTTCGCCCCTCCTGGATTCCTCTGACGCGGAATCAGACTGCTCTTCCCCCCTCCTGCGGGCTTTGGGACCTGGCCCCTCCTCCGGGCTCCCTGTACTTCCGCGCGCCTCTACATGTGAACTTGGCGCGCGCGCCAAACCTCTAACTTTCCGTTTGACAGTTACACTACTCCCTTCACGGCTCCCCTCCCCTTCCGGGAGGGCGGCTTGCTCGGACCTCCCTCCCTTCTCTGCGGCCGGAGCCGCGTCCCTGACACACTGGAAACTCCACCCCCTTCGCTGCACTCTGGTGGGGAGGCTGGTCCTGACGCCCAGCTGCCACTTTGGGATCCTCCGCTGGCCCCCTGCTCCTGACACGTCCCCCTGGGGCTCCTGGCCTTGACCACCGGCGCCCCTTCTGGGAATCCTCTGATTCGCTGGAAAGACTCATGGAATCTCTTGAGTCATTGTCATCCTCTTCCTCGCTGGCTTGGGATTCATCCCCATCGCTCTCCATCTCCTGCCTACCCTGTGCCTCTCTCCTTGAACCCCTGACAATTTTGATCAAATCTGTTAAAACAGTTTAAGAATCCATCCCAGTTCTTTTTTTAAAAAAAGGTTTCTACCCTATCGTCTTGTTTCATATTATATAGTTTGGGGTTCAATTTCTGTAGCTAATCCAAGCAAAGTAACCCTGGTGTTTCATTTCAAAACTAAGTCTTTCCCATAGACATCTCCTCCTTGCAAAGATCTCATTTCCCTTTTCTGAAAATTTATCCTCTCCCTTACAAGGATTCCCTTCTCCTCACACCCACCATCCTCTCCCCATTTACGGTGCTGCAGAGGGAGACAGGGGAAGCCAAGGCTAAGGAGGTCTCTGCTTCTCCCCTCATTTCAGCCTGTAAACAATCGCGCGAGGCCACCTGCTACCTGGATGAGCTGCACCTGGCTGTGGCCTGGAACCGTGTGGACATTGCTAGCACCGAGCTGTTCCGTGGGGATGTTGACTGGGAGGTGAGTCAGCAGGGAAAGAGGGGACAGGATGAAAGCAAAGGCAGAGAAGGCATGGAGGAAGGGACTTTTGCAGGGCTGGGTGCAGACTAGGGCTGGGTGATATATCAATCTGTTATAAGAAAAATATTGCTCCCTTTCCCTTATGGGGTGTCTAAGAGCCCATACAGAGTCCTTAAGGAGGTTCTCTATCGGTAGGAGAAAATAACAGAGGCCAACCAGAGAATATTGAGAAGCAAAGCAGCTAGTAAGCCTGATCTTTATTAAACTGTTGCAACAGGGTCCCCCGCTCACCCCACGCAGGGAGGGAGGAGAGGAACCCAGAACATTGGTGTACAAGCTGTTATATAGACTTTTGAAATTGCCTACCCTGTAGCTCAAGACCACCCCCCAAAACATCATACATACATCACAGAAAGAGGTGGTCCCCAGCAGAAATTTGAGTGTGTTGCTTCTCTCCTGTCTGCCAGGATACCTGATAATGCCTTATCTGATTGCCTTTTCTGGGTAGCCTGGCCATTCCTTTGAGGTGGTAAATACTTAGTTCCTGAATCTCTTAGTGTGCTCAGCTTAACAGATACTTGCCAGACTGTATTTACAGGGAGGTGTAAGCCCCTACAGTCAAAAAGACAATTGGAAAGCTTTTCTCATTTCCTTCCTCCTTGCAGAGAAACATTTTAGGTCAATTTGGGAGAGTCAAAATGGCTTCAGGATTGCTCTCCTGTACTATTTCAGACACGTGGTTTATATTCTTATGTATGTGTTTGCATTGTACATTTATGAACATTTATTTTTTATATATAAGACCCTAGAGTTCCTATAACAATTATATAATCCAAAACCAGTTTGAAGTCCATATCAAGATATCTGGTTGCGTAATTTTTGACCTGGCAATATATTGTGAATTATGCTGTGTAAAAGGTAAAGGTAAAGGACGCGGGTGGCGCTGTGGTCTAAACCACTGAGCCTAGGGCTAGCAGATCAGAAGGTTGGTGGTTTGAAGCCCCACGACGGGGTGAGTTCCTGTTGTTCGGTCCCAGTTCCTGCCAACCTAGCAGTTTGAAAGCACGTCAAAGTGCAAGTAGATAAATAGGCACCACTCTGGCGGGAAGGTAAATGGCATTTCCGTGCACTGCTCTGGTTTTGCCAGAAGCGGCTTAGTCGTGCTGGCCACATGACCCGGAAAAACTGTCTGCGGACAAATGCCAGCTCCCTCGGCCAGTAAAGGGAGATGAGCACTGCAACCCCAGAGTCGTTCGCGACTGGACTTAACTGTCGGGGTCCTTTACCTTTACCTTTAAAGGCAAATGGCAATGTGCAAGAGATATTCACACACACACACACACACACACACACACACACACACAGTGGTACCTTGAGTTACAAGCGCTTCAGCTTACAGACTCTGGTAACCCAGAAGTAGTACCTCAGGTTAAGAACTTTACCTCAGAATGAGAACAGAAATCGCATGCCGGCGGCAGCGGGAGGCCCCATTAGCTAAAGTGGTACTTCAGGTTAAAAATGGACCTCTGGAACAAATTAAGTTTGTAACCAGAGGTACCAGTATGTGTGTGTATGTGTGTATGAATAGCAGGTTGCACAAGAGCAACAGGAGTATCTCATCCATTATTCTCATGGGGTTTATCCTCCCATCCCCTTTTACCTCCACCCCTTCTCTCTTCTACAGCCTAGCCTTCTGATGGACCCGATGCACGACGCATTGGTGGGCGACCGTCCCGCCTTGGTGCGCCTCTTTGTGGAGAACGGACTGGACATTGGGCAGTTCCTGACGTGGGGGAAGCTGGAGCAGCTCTACGCGGGGACCCCGAGCGGCACGCTTCTACATCAGCTGCTGGAGCGGCGCCAAGTCGCAGGCCCTGAGCCCACCTCACCTGCTGAATACTTGCTGCTGGATCGGTCCCTGCCTGAGTACCAGCTGCCCCAGGTGGCTCACATCCTCCATGACCTGCTGGGGGATGTCTGTGCTCCCTTTTATGACGGATTGCACCCTGCCAGAACGACAGGGGTAGGTGAACCAGGTCAAAGGCTCATCTTGCAGTGAAGTGCCCCTTCTAATGTGCACGTTTTGCAAACTGATATATATATATTTGAATGCTGTTTTTCCTAATGTGTGCATGCTTTCCCTTAATATAGTGATACACGCCATCCCAGTCTCCAGGTTGCCAGGTGCGCTTATCAGGGTCTGCCTTTCCCTTTGGAACAAAGAGGCACAGTGGAGAATGTGGGATCTTTATAGGGTTGCCACCTTTGTTCTGGCAACATATAAGGCAGGGCAGGGCAGGGCTGGGGTTTTTGTTTTTTCCCCATCTTGTGTTGAAGTGACTTCAAAGCAATCCATTACAATCTATTGCAGCCTAACAGAATATCCCTCTTGAATTTGTCACACACACACAAATTTGTAAATATGTCTATGCTTGGCTATCCAGAGCCAAATACATGATTTTTCACAACCCCTTTCAAGCATATGTATTTGGAGAGGATCCCTAACTTGGAACACCCACACCCACACCCACACCCACACATACATGAGAGAGAGAGAGAGAGAGAGAAAGAGAGAGAGAGAGAGAGAGAGAGAGAAGAACAGAAGAAGAGTTTGGATTTGATATCCCGCTTTATCACTACCCTAAGGAGTCTCAAAGCAGCTAACAATCTCCTTTTCCCTTCCTCCCCAACAACAAACACTTGGTGAGGTGAGTGGGGCTGAGAGACTTCAGAGAAGTGTGACTGGCCCAAGGTCACCCAGCAGCTGCATGTGGAGGAGCGGAGACGCGAACCCGGTTCACCAGATTACGAGTCTACCACCCTTAACCACCACACCACACTGGTGTAGGGTAGAAAGAGAGAGAGAACTGTATCCATACAGGACGTAGCATTTTACACTGAAATGCAGGACAATCCTGTTTCATACAGGACAGGTGGCAACCCTATTATCTTTATGATATGTAGTTTATTTACACATATATACAACCTGAGCTGAGATGGAGAGAGTCCACAGCATTCACAACCCAAGAGGGTTCTGTTCCTTCCATTGCTGCGCCCTCAGATTCCAAGAGACCCCGGGCAAAATGTCTGACCATCTATGCAGCATAAAACAAACCATCCGCCTCGTTCTCTGCCCCCACCTTCCAGCTTGCAAAGGGAACACTTTTTTCCTGTTCGCTTACCTCATCGCCCTCTACAGTTCTGCCCCACCCTCCTGAAACTCTGGCCTTTTTTGGTCTCTGCTAACTATCCCTCACCCCAGGCAGTGGTTCCCCCCATTTTCTGGCCCTGAGAGTCTCTGTAGTGGGGTAGGAAAGCTGGGGGTGAGGGGAGTTCACATCTGGCAACTGATAACACCCCTTTGGTTTCAGATAAGACACGGGTAGATGAATCTAAAAAACATGGGGCACAAATTTTCACAGCCCTCTAGCAGCTACAGTGTCTCATTTACCAGAAACAACATGTACACATTAAGGCAACTTGCTCCTGATCACCGAAATAATTTGTTTCGGATTTTCGTGTCCTCGGTAAAATTTTGGAAAGTTGCTGAGGTTAAAGTTGGGGGGTGATAGATTCTGGGCAGCTGTTGAATATCAACTGAAGATCTAAGCTAAGTGTGAGCATTTTCTGTCTCTTGCTAATCGTGCCTCTCTCTCCTCTCCCAAGAGCAAAGGATCATTACTCAACGGAGACCCCATGTACCGCTCCAAACTTTCGCCAAACCCTTGGACTGACCTCTTCATATGGGCTGTGTTGCTGAACCGCAGAGAGATGGCCATGTATTTCTGGGAAATGGTGTGTATGATGACTGTTCTTAATATAGTTAACACTAAGGTCCAGCTCTGAGGGCCTTCGGGCGGTTCCCTCACTGCGAGAAGTGAAGCTACAGGGAACCAGGCAGAGGGCCTTCTCGGTGGTGGCGTCCGCCCTGTGGAACTCCCTCCCACCAGATATCAAGGAAATAAACAACTATCTGACTTTTAGAAGACATCTGAAGGCAGCCCTGTTTAGGGAAGTTTTTAATGTTTTATCGTGTTTATAAAATTCTGTTGAGGGACACAGGTGGCGCTGTGGTTTAAACCACAGAGCCTAGGACTTGCCGATCAGAAGGTCGGCGGTTCGAATCCTTGCAACGGGGTGAGCTCCCGTTGCTTGGTCCCAGCTCCTGCCCACTTAGCAGTTCGAAAGCACATCAAAGTGCAAGTAGATAAATAGGTACCACTCTGGCGGGAAGGTAAACGGCATTTCCGTGCGCTGCTCTGGTTCGCCAGAAGCATCTTAGTCATGCTGGCCACATGACCCCGAAGCTGTACACCGGCTCCCTCGGCCAATAAAGCGAGATGAGTGCCGCAACCCCAGAGTCGGCCACAACTGGACCTAATGTTCAGGGGTCCCTTTACCTTTAATATTCTGTTGGGAGCCACCCAGAGTAGCTGGGGAAACCCAACCAGATGGGTGGGGTATAAATTAATAAAAAATATCATTTTTATTATTGTATTATAATGTGACAGAGCTAACAAACGAATAGATAGGCTCCTGTATGGGGTTCATAATGGGAGAAACCAAGGAGCCAGAGTTGAAATAATAAGGTACCGGCTGGAAATGGCAGGGCAACCAGGCAGTGCTTTTGCCACATCTGGATACGATGAGAGTATTTCCCCCTCCTGGCTCTCAGCTGCCTGTAGCTTTTTTGGAGGGCTGTTTCCTTGCCTCTGTCTCCATTGATGGCCACCCTTTCTTCTCCCCCTTAGGCCCCCGACGCTGTGGCTGGGGCTTTGGCAGCAGCACGGATCCTCCGAGAGCTTTCGCACCTGGAGCAGGAGGCTGAGGAAGAGGCAGCCATGAAGGACCTCGCCATGCGCTTTGAGAACTTGGCCATTGGTGCGGACATGAGGACATGGAGGCTGGGGTGGGAAAGAGGGACCTGAGAGGAACGGTCAGGAAGGGAAGGCTAGCTGTTTGCAGTCAACGACTGAGAAGCTGCCTCAATTCTTTCCGGTTCGGACTCCAGGGAAACTTGATTTCTAAAGAGCGTTTAGGTTGCTCCCTGTTTCGAACCAAGGAACCCGTCGCCCTCCAGGTACTGATGAACTGCAGCTCCCATCATCCCTCGCCGTTTGCCATGCTTGCTGTGGCTGATGGGAGTTGTAGTTCAGCAACATCTGGCGGGCCAAAGGCTGTCCACACTTGAACGTCGCCATTGGATAGCAGAGGGGATGGAGGAAAGCATTTTTGCACTGTCACAAGAGTGATATGCCAGTATTAAGTCTACTGCAACAATAACAGCTATTATAAACGAGCGTGGTTTGTGGGATGTGTTGGAAATTCCTTGACATTGTAAGTAAGCCTCTCCTCCTCACTTTCTTCTCTCTCACCCCTCATCCCAACTCCAGGTGTATTTGGGGAATGTTACCGAAATGGGGAGCCCCGAGCCTACAAACTGCTGGTGCGCCGCTCCGAACTCTGGGGAGGAGCCACTGTCCTCCAGCTCGCTCACCAGGCTGACGCCCGCCTGTTTTTTGCACATGATGGTGTGCAGGTATGGTTGTGTCCAGCACACTGGATCGCTGCAAGGATGTTTCTTTCTCGAGCGTCTGCTACCACGCTGCTGAATCTTCTTTCCATTTAAGAGTTTTGTGAAGCAGCTAACGTTTAGCACAGGCCTAGGCAAACTTGGCCCTCCGGATGTTTTGGGACTACAACTCCCATGATCCCCAGCCAACAGGACCAGTGGTCAGGGATGATGGGAATTATAGTCCCAAAACATCTGGAGGGCCGAGTTTGCCTATGCTCAGTTTAGCAGGATCAACAGCAACCCCTATAGCAGCAGCCCCTAAATGCGAGACGGGTGTTTTGTGGCACCTGTAGCTGTGTCAGTTCTGCCAGTCAAAGCCGAGTGGGCCCATGTAGGGTACGATGATCTCGTAGGTAAACTGGCCCCGCATTGTTAGGGCTTGGGAGGTTGAGGGGTCCCAACCCCTGCTAATTCTCTTCCGTGCTCTTCCCGCAGTCCCTGCTCACCCAGAATTGGTGGGGAGAGATGGACCGAGGCACCGCTGTGTGGAAGCTACTCCTGACTTTCTTCTGCCCCCCTCTCATCTTTACCGACCTCATCAAGTACAGGTGGGTGAACCCTGTCTGAAACTAAAATGGTTGCCAAAAGACTGTTGTGGTTGTTGCAGGCCACCCCAATCATTGAGCAGTGCGAGATTCTCGGGGTTCCAGCCTATTACTCAGGGCTCGGTTTCCTCTGGAATGAGGGACAGCAGAGACTGTGGTGTCTTTATGATATATGGTTTATTTACACATAAAGTCATACCTCTTGTTACGTTTGCTTCAGGTTAAATCTTGTCAGGTTGTGCCCCACGGCGACCCGGAAGTACCGGAAAGGGTTACTTCCGGGTTTCGCCGCTCACACATGCGCAGACGCTCAAAATGACGTCATGCGGAGAAGCGGCGAATCGTGGCACGCGCAGACGCGGGTTGCATTCTGCTCATGTTGTGAACGGGCCTCCGGAACGGATCCTGTTCGCAACCAGAGGCACCACTATATATACAACGTGAGCCTACGATGGAGGAGCTCACAGCATTAACACCCTAGAAGGCCTCACTTCTCTGGTTGCCGCAGACTTGGATTCAGGCAGAAGTCAGGACCATGACTTGATGCTAACCCTGCTTGCTCCGAACCTGAGCATGGCTTCCTCTTTCAACAGAGCCATGGATGAGGACCTGCGCCAAGCTGAGGTGGACAGCCTTGACACGGATGTGAAAAGTACCATCGGAGACATGCTGTTTGAGTAGGGGGAACGGACATGTCCTTGGGAAGGTGTGGGTAGCGGGGAGGGGAGACCCTAACTTTCAGCGCTGCTGCCACAAAGGAGCCTGAAGGCTGGATTCCTTGCATAACCTGCGGCCCTCCATATGCTGTTGGTCTATAGGTTTCCTCAGGCCCTGCCAGCATCATCTGTGGTCAGGGATGTTAAGAGGGTTCCCCATCTCTGATTTAGCGATATTCCAGGTCCCCTCTTTGAGTGTCCAGCATAGTCTGCCATAGCCAAAGGATTTCTCTGGGGCTTGGTGCATTTTAAAATTATTATTGCTTTTTAGCACACACTGACCCGGGGCTTTTAATCACAGCTGCAGGCATGCCAGAAGGATAGAAGCTTTTATCTCTCTGTTCCTGAAGAAAGGGTCAGAAGGAGAGACATTCCAGATTGGGGTGCATGGGTGAATATATGAATTGGTTAGAAGAAGAAGAAGAGTTTGGATTTGATATCCCGCTTTTCACTCCCCTTAAGGAGTCTCAAAGCGGCTAACATTCTCCTTTCCCTTCCTCCCCCACAACAAACACTCTGTGAGGTGAGTGGGGCTGAGAGACTTCAGAGAAGTGTGACTGGCCCAAGGTCACCCAGCAGCTGCATGTGGAGGAGCGGAGACGCGAACCCGGTTCGCCAGATTACGAGTCCACCTCTCTTAACCACTACACCATAATCAGTTTAAAATATATTACAGTGGAACCTCGGTTTTCAAACATAATCCGGAAGTCCATTCGACTTCCAAAATGTTTGAAAACTGAGGATCAAAGGGCTGTCTGCAAAGCCAAAGGGTAAAAATGAAAAACACGCCTTGGAAGCAGTTCGAGGTGCGTTCATAAACGGAAGCATTCATTTCTGTGTTTTTGGCGTTCGGCTTCCAAATCATTCGGCAGCCGAGACGTTTGAAAACCGAGGTTTGACTATACCTAGCTTGCTGAATTAGGCAATGTGGATGTTTTGTGTGTGTGTGTGTGTGTGTGTGTGCGCGCGCGCATATGTGAGCGTGTGTAAAACAGGTACACATAAAAACTGCAGGTGGTAAACACCACCTTAAGAGGCTTTCTCCCTTTTCTCAAGCAGAGGAAGGAATCACATCTGTACTCTACATTTAAAGCATTCCTATACCAACGTTAACTGCCATGGCTTTCCTCAAAGAATCCTGGGAATTGTAGTTCGTTACGAGTGCTAATTGGAGACTGCCCACAGAACTACAGTTCCCAGCACAGTCCTTTGGGGGGCTGCCATGACTGTTAAAAGTGACATAAGACGACTTTGAATTATTGAACCTGAGCATGGCTTCACATATGGGACATATGTGCATATAATAAAAGCAGTATGTTTTTTATTGCTTCTCATTTCAAGATTAGTGGCTAGGGGAAACCCAACCAGATGGGCGGGGTATAAATAATAAAATTATTATAATCATTAGTGGTGGTAGTAGTAGTAGTAGTAATAGTAGTTTTTTTCCATCTGCAAGCTTAATTGATAGATTAGTTGACCGGAACCCATATGGTGAATCAACTAAGATTCCTTTACAGTCAAACCTTGGTTCCCAAATGGCTTAGTTGCCGAACAAATGCCACAAGCCCAGAAGTAAGTGTTCTGGTTTGTGAATGTTTTTCAGAAGCCGAATGTCCGATGTGGCTTCCGCTTGAGCACAGCTGTCAACTTTTCCCTTTTCTTGCGAGGAATCCTATTTGGAATAAGGGAATTTCCCTTTAAAAAAGGGAAACGTTGGCAGCTATGCGCTTGAGGGAGTCAGACGGGCTCCCAGAACGGATTAAATTTGAGAACCACTGGATTTGGGTGGCAGCCCTAATTCGATTCTGTCCCACTCATTACCTCTTCTCGTCCTTTCCACTCCTTGCCCTCTCCTAGCAATCCCGATCCTCCCTTCCCTCTTTCCACTCGCCCGTCCTGGCTACGACGGTGGCGTCAGTTCTGGGTGGCTCCGGTGACGGCCTTCCTGGGCAACGTCGTGATGTACCTGCTCTTCCTCTTCCTCTTCTCCTACGTCTTGCTTCTGGATTTCGACCCCCCGCCTCCCAAAGGCCCTTCCGGCACAGAGATCGCTTTGTACATCTGGGTCTTCACGCTGGTCTGCGAGGAGGTGCGCCAAGGCTGTTTCGTGGGCTCGCTCCCCCTGCCGCTGAGGGTACGGCGGTACTTCCAGGACACTTGGAACCAGCTCGACATCACGGCTCTGTTACTCTTCATGCTGGGGCTCGTCTGCAGGTCAGAGGAATTTCTGCACTGGGCAGAAATTATTATATATACACATAATTTTTTAATTAAATTTTCTAATTTACATTTCAAAATACAGTCGTACCTTGGTTAACGAACGCCTTGCAAGTCAAACGTTTTGGCTCCCGAACGCCACAAACCCGGAAGTGAATGTTCCGGTTTGCAAATGTTCTTTTGGAACCCAAATGTTCAACGCAGCTTCCGTGGCTTCCTATTGGCTGCAGGAGCTTCCTGCAGCCAATCGGACGCTGCGCCTTGGTTATCGAACATTTGGGAAGTCGAAGAGACTTCCGGAACAGCTTCCATTCAGCTTCCAAGGTATGACTGTATTCATTTAAACAACCTTAAATCAATGACTTCCCTTCTTTTCTTTCTGTGGTTCATTTTGCATGCCATACATCCCCTCATATTTTACATGAACTAAACCAATCAGTAATCCATTGTTACATCCATCTAAACTTATTTACACTGCTGAATTTATCTTAATGTTAATGCTACCAGCGTTTTTAAATAATGAACACAATTTTCACCCATATATTCAGTAAACATTTTCCAGTCTTCTTTAAACGTACTTTCTTCTTTTTTCTCTTATTCTATATGTTAAATCTGCAAGCTGTGTGTATTCCATCAGTTTAAGTTGCCATTCTTCTTTGGTTGGGACCTTGCTCGTTTTCCACTTTGGGGCTAACAAAAGACAGGCCACAGTAGTAACATACATAAACAGTCTTTTTTGACACCTGGGAATTTCCTTCTGAATTATCCCCAATAAAAAGGACTCTGTTTTTTGGTGGAAGGTGCTTTTAAACATATTTTTCTATTCATTATATATCATTCCCCAATACTCCTAGAATTAAACAGAAATGATGATGATGATCATCATCATCATCATCACAATTGGTTTATTCATTGCCTTCTCTCTTTTTGGCTTGTCAATTATTTTTATTGATTTTCTGTAACTTTTAACAAATTGTCGCCAAATTAATACAAATGGAATATAAATTTAAAAGCTGACTTCCCACATATTTATACTTGCAATAATATTCCTTCCATTCGCCCTGCACATCAGCTGTATGAGTACCAATTTCTGCTAAGACTGTTATATTTTATTGTAGCCTATCCACAAAATAATCAGGTAGAGTAAACCTTTTTATACATTCTGTTAATCGACTTCTGAACAACCGTCTCAAGGCGGTTTGTACTGAAGATCATTAAAAACCGTGGGGGTGTAAATATGTACAATTTTTCTGGCAAAGGATGTTTAAGGAGATAACAGAAATCACTGGGTTAAAGCTGACCGAAAGTCCAGAGGTAGCATTATTATCAATTTACGATGGGGTGGAAGGTTCACAGGCTAGGAAGGGCTTGCTCACAAATTTATTGACAGCTGTACGAATTATGATAGGTAGGAAGTGGAACGGGGCAAGCAGAATATAAAATGGAAGAATGGTATAAAGAGGTGTGGGGTTATAGCTATTCATTATAAATTAACATGTGGCATTAAGGTAAGACGGGGAATATGCAGGAGAAATGATTCTGAGGAGATATGGAAGATGTTTGTATAATTTGTACTGTTAAAACAGAAAGGGGGTCAATCCATCGCAAGAGGTGTTGAAACTTTAGGGAAGTTGGATAGTTACAATGGAATGGTCTTGGTGATGGGGTGCACATTTTTATTTTTATTTATGTATGATTACTACTTTGTCAAAATAAAATAATATAATAATAACAACCGTTAAAAACCCTAAAAACCCCAAACATATTTAAAGCAATGCAAAAACTATACAAAGTAGACACTCGCTGTGAAGACCCGTTTATCCAGCCGAAAAAGCCTGTCAGAACAATAATATTTTCAGTTGTTTCTAGAAAGGGCAGATAGTGGTGTTTTTTCCTTTTGAAATTTTGTACACCCCCCCCAATTGCACCTGGGGCAACTGCCCCTATGGTTCTACCACTGCTACATCACCGATTGTGAGGTTGGGAATTGACTGGCTCTGGCGAAGGGAAAAGGGATTGTCTGCAGAGAAGGAAACATTCTTTTCATCAGTTTCTTACCCCACTGTATGTCTCTCAGGCTGTTTCCAAAGTCATATGAATCTGGACGCACCATTCTCTGCCTGGACTTCATGGTATTCACCCTTCGTCTCATCCACATCTTTGCTGTCAACAAGCAGCTAGGGCCCAAGATGATCATCGTCGGCAAGATGGTGAGCAGACGCATGTGCGATTTGTGTGAGATGTTGCAAACAGCAGGCCTTTCAAGTGTGCAAGAGCAGCTGCCCCAAGTTGGGATATGAGGATCAGTGCTGGATTTACGTATAAACTAAACAAGCTATAGCTTACGGCCCCACTCTCTTGGGGGCCCCCCAAAAATTTAAAGGAAAAGAAACCTGGGTGTACATTTCCAAAATATAAGATAAAAAACAAAACAAATAAAACCTACATACAGCAACAGTGTTTTGTGTTGTGTAGGCTCCTATTTGTTATGTGCAAATAGCTTTAGGCAAAGGTAAAGGTAAAGGGACCCCTGACCATTAGGTCCAGTCGTGACCGACTCTGGGGTTGCGGCGCTCATCTCGCTTTATTGGCTGAGGGAGCCGGCATACTGCTTCCGGGTCATGTGGCCAGCATGATTAAGCCACTTCTGGCGAACCAGAGCAGCGCACGGAAACGCCGTTTACCTTCCCGCCGGAGTGGTACCTATTTATCTACTTGCACTTTGACATGCTTTTGAACTGCTAGTTTGGCAGGAGCAGGGACCGAGCAACGGGAGCTCACCCCGTTGTGGGGATTCAAACCGCCAACCTTCTGATCAGCAAGTCCTAGGCTCTGTGGTTTAACCCACAGTGCCACCCGCATCCTATTAATACCTATTAGGTCTGTAAATTACCATATAGCATATATTCAACACAAAAAACAGCAGCAATTTGTTGTTGACAAAGGACAGCTGGACATATTAAGGGCCTTATTACCTTCAATAGCTTAGGGCCTCATCAAACCTAAATCCGGCCCTGATTCGGATGCAACGCAGATGAATGTGCAAAGGATTCTGGGCTTAGCTGTGAATGTAATAGGCAAAAGGCAGTGAGTGTGCAAAGGACGAGAAAGTTGAAAGGAGGAGCAAGAGAGATAAATCTGAGGTTCTTTGGAGATGCGTTTTGTTTTACGCACATTTGTGTGTTGCAAAGGTTGCTTCCCCCGGCAGCTTCCTTTTCCCTGTACACTTCACCATGTAGGCACATTGGTTTCCTTTGATTAACAGAGTGCATTGTAAATACAGATGAGAAATTAAACTTGATTCGAGTTAGCAGATTTTATTTTAACCAACCCCCTCATTTCTTTCATCTCTTCCGTCAGAACGGTAATTTTTGCTCTCCCCTTCGTCTCTCTTTAGATGAAGGATGTCTTCCTCTTCCTGTTCTTCCTTGCCGTGTGGCTAGTGGCCTACGGGGTCACCACCGAGGGGCTGCTTCTCCCCCACGACCGACGTCTCCCCTGGATCTTCCGCCGTGTCTTCTACCGTCCTTACTTGCAAATCTTTGGGCAGATCCCACTGGATGAGATTGACGGTGGGTGTCCTAGGGGGTTCTTGCTTCCATTCTAGACTGGCACCCCACCTTTGCCAACTCAGAAGGGATAGGGAAGCAATAGAGTAAACACAGGAGGGCTCAACCAAAATAATCAAGGAGTCAGAGAGCTTTCCCCTACGACTGCCGAGGCTTTGGGCTCATCCAGATTCACTTTTCGTTCCATGCTTTCTAGGCGCAAGTCCAAGCTCTGTATCCAAGAGCTTTTTCCTTCTTTGCCCCGCTGCTTTCTCCAAGAAAACGTGCTCTTTAAAGCTAAATCGGAACAGCAATTTGGGTCTCCCGTACCTTGTCATTTGTTCTGATTCAGCTGCAAAGAGTAGGCGTTTGCAGGGAAAGCACAGGCTGCAAAGAAAAAAAGAGTGCTTGGACAATGAGCTTTAAGAGTGCTTGGACAATTAAACCCCCCCTTGCCCTCCCCACACTATGCCCCTGCTTTTAGGGGCTGCAGAGAGCTGTGCTCTATAAGGAACTCCCACCTCGTTCTTCCCTTCCATCTCCAGCTGCCCTGATCAGAGCGTCAAACTGCACCTACGATCCCTTGGCCATCTTGATGGAAAACGCGGAGCCTTGCACCAACACCTATGCCAATTGGCTGGTGCTCATTCTCCTCGTGATCTTCCTGCTGGTAGCCAATATTCTGCTTCTCAACTTGCTCATCGCTATGTTCAGGTACCTATCGCGGTCGCCGGCACCTGTCGTGAATCGGCGCATACAGAGCAGGCAGACGAGGTTCAAAAGCGAATCCCCTCAAATACGAAATATGCATAAGCATATTCCTAGGGGTTTCTCTCAGTAAAGACCTTACTTGGAAACTAAATGCAACCGAGGTGGTTAAGAAAGCCCAACAGAGACTCCATCTCCTCAGAGTATTGCGGAAGAACGATGTCAATCAACATCTGATGATCTCCTTCTACCGGTCAACAATAGAAAGTGTCCTTTCATACTGCATCACGGTGTGGTACGCTGGTTTGACATCATCTGATAGGAAGTGCCTACAGAGGGTGGTGAATACAAGAACAAGATATTATGGGCTGTTCCGGAAATCCGCTGGATGAAATAGCGGAAGAATGTTGCCTCAGGAGAGTGAGGAGGAGAATCTCAGGGATGATTCACACCCTGGCCAGCACTTTCAATATCTCCTGCCCTCAGACAGAAGATATAGAAGCATGATTAGTCGCACCAACAGGGTAAAGAACAGCTTCTATCCGTGGGCTGTTAGGCTCCTGAATGAAAAGATAACAACAGGGCAACTGACTTTCGGGTTGGGTGGGTGTGCGTCAGTAAACGAGGGGAATTAAGACTAAGAGAGCTGAGTGGGGGGTGCTTGTGTAATCTCACTGCATACAAGTTGTACAAGTGACAATAAAGTATTTCAATAAGCGGCAGATATTGGGGAAATGCCTGTATACCAAGTCAGATTAGTGGTCCATCCAGTCCAACATTGCCTCCTCTACTGGATTTCAGGCAGGGGGAAGCTGAGGTTTGTCTGTTTGTGGGTTACAATTTCACCTATGATATTTCTATCCCTCCTGCACCCCGCCCCCCTCAACAACAGCTACACGTTCTCCAAAGTGCAAGGCAACAGCGACATTTATTGGAAATCCCAGCGCTACAACCTGATCCTGGAGTATCACAGCCGCCCTGCCCTGGCCCCGCCGTTCATCCTGATCAGCCACCTGCACCTCTTCTTCAAGCGACACGTCCGTAAAGTGCAGTCGGCAAAGGGGAAACACTTCTGTGAGTGCTGGGATGGGAGGCGGGGGAATGGGGAATGTAGAAGGGACATTCTTGTCCAGAATCAAAGAGCGCACAGCTGCCCTTTCCCTTGTTCCCACTCTCACACCTTCTGGTATGTCTCTTTTGCACTCCCACAAAAATCACGCCATGTTCATGCCGCTGGCTAAAAAGCCTCAGCTGCTTAAGCCTATTATTATTATTATTATTATTATTATTATTATTATTATTATTATTTGCATACCGCCCTATACTCATAGATCTCAGCGCAGTCCACAACATAAAATTACAATACAGTGGTACCTCAGGTTAAGTACTTAATTCGTTCTGGAGGTCCGTACTTAACTTGAAACTGCTCTTAACCTGAAGCACAACTTTAGCTAATGGGGCCTCCCGCTGCCGCCGGGTTTCTGTTCTCATCCTGAAGCAAAGTTCTTAACCTGAGGTAATATTTCTGGGTTAGGGGAGTCTGTAACCTGAAGTGTATGTAACCTGATGTGTATGTAACCCGAGGTACCACTGTACAGTTGTACCTTGGTTTTTGGACGGCTTGGTACTCGTACGTTTTGGCTCCTGAACGCCGCAAACCCAGAAGTAAATGTTCCGGTTTGCAACCATTTTTCAGAAGCCAAACATCGTGGCTTCCGATTGACTGCAGGAAGCCCCTGAAGCCAATCGGAAGCCATGTCTTGGTTTTTGAACCGTTTCAGTTTTAGTAATCACAGTGAGGGAACAAAGAACACGTCTCCTAGAAATGGTGGTGCTCCCAATTAAGAGTTATTGACCCCCCTCCATCCCTATTCATCTACGTCACTTCTACATCTTGTAACCTGAGCTTGTACCCTCTGTGCTTTCTGTTCTAACACTTTCTGAGCTCTCCGTGTCCTTGGAGAAGGGGGTTGAATGCTGTCCAGAGACTGTGAATCTGTTAACTCACTCTCTCCCAGTGTTTCTTCTGCTAGCTGTTCCCCATCCAGTATTTCCCAGCTTCTGCCTTCTGAACTATGCCCCTCTGCAAACCCCTGTTCCAAATCCATACTGTCCTCCTCCTCCTCCTCCTGGAAAGATTTAGGATCCAGAGCAGGGGGAGGGGGTGGCTCCCACCATTCTTCCTCCTCAGTGCAGCCCTCCTCAGCACGGTCCCTGACACTCCTGCGTTTGAAGCAGTAACTGGTTGCTGGATAACTGGACTCCCTTTTCACTCCACTGACTCTTGGGTTATGGGGTTGGGTTGCGGTGCTCATCTTGCTTTCAGGCTGAGGGAGCCGGCATTTGTCTACGGACAGCCTTCCGGGTCATGTAGCCAGCATGACTAAATTGCACGAGACACAGTGATGGAAACCAGAATGCATGGAAACGCCGTTTACCTTCCCACCGCAGCAGTACCTATTTATCCACCTGCACTGGTGTGCTTTCGAACTGCTAGGTTGGCAGGAACTGGGACAGAGCAATGGGAGCTCAGCCCGTTGCAGGGATTCAAACTGCCAACCTTCCGATCGGCAAGCCCAGGAGGCTTGGTGTTTTAGACCACAGTGCCACCCACGTTCCTTTACCTTTACCTCCTTGGGCTATAGGTCATTTATGAGTGTGAACAAGTATCAGTCGTCCCAATCCACAGCTTTCTCACCCAGGTCTCCCCACTTCTCCTCTTGTTTTCCGATTGTCTTTTGGGCAGTGCTGGATCTCTCCGTTACCCAAGACGAACGGCTGCTCACGTGGGAGTCGGTGCAGAAAGAAAACTACTTGGTTGCTCAGGCCCGGCAGAAACGCGATTGTGACACAGAGAGGCTCCGGCGAACCTCCCAAAAGTAAGGCTGGTGGGGAGTTGAGGCAAGGAAGAAATGTGGGAGGGAACTGAAGAGAAAGGGGCAGTCGGGTTGTGATGGAGGGGTAATGCTCCAGGGAATGCCATAAGTCTGCTTGCGAAGGAGTTAGTTATACACACTGCTATTTTTCTAGAAAAAGAGGTGCCGTAACTCACCGCAAGCACCTCCCTCGTTCTCTTAGAACGACAATGGTGCCCACCTGAGATGTGCAGGAAATGAGTTCCAGTGAGTTCTCGCTCAAATAAAGCCCTGGTTACACATTCAGTTCGCCACACTGTTCAAGGACTGTTCATAGAATCATAGGAATGTTGGAAGGGACCGTTCCAACTGCTATTTTTCTTCCATGGTTGAATCTGTCCATTTTGGTTTCTCTTAGTTTCTCATTTTTCCAATCTTAAATTCAGTATGCATCAGTTTGCGGATATTTTTTTTTAAGTCCTCATGAAAATTCGTTAGTCCACATTTCTCCTAATGCTATCCTTTTTTAATGCAATTTTCCGAAGGTGTGTTTGCATGTTACTTTCACTGATATAAGCATTTTAAGGCACAGTTCCCCACGGTGTGTACACACACACACACGACACATTTCTGTGCATATTGTTTCTTTGGAGAACTGCACTGCAAAATTCAGAGAAGGGCGGATTTTGAAAGATTTTAGTTCATGAATTGTTGTAGGAATCGTGAAGTGGGTAAGTTTGCATTTAAGATACGAAGCGAAACCAAATTTCTCCTCCAACCCTGTTCCTCAATGCAGATAATGTCTTCCAGAATTGCAGCGGCACTATATATTCAAAGCACCTGACTTTCCCCCAAAGAATCCTGGGAAATATAGTTTCTTACAAGAGCTGGGAATTGTAGCTCTGTGAGGGAATAAACTACAGTTCCCAGGGTACTTGGGGAGAAGTCAGGGGTTTTAAATATATGTTAGTTAATTAAAATAACCGCATTGCTAACCTTTGACATATTGGCACACATAGACCTGCTCCCATGTCTGCTGAAAAAGAAGGCTCTAGTACAACTCCTGAGATATACTATTATTATTTATTATTGTGTATTACATTTATTTATTACAGTGGTACCTCGGGTTACATACGCTTCAGGTTACAGACTCCGCTAACCCAGAAATACTACCTCGGGTTAAGAACTTTGTTTTAGGATGAGAACAGAAATCGTGCTCTGGCAGCCCGGCAGCAGCAGGAGGCCCCACTAACTAAAGTGGTGCTTCAGGTTAAGAACAGTTTCAGGTTAAGAACAGACCTCCAGAACAAATTAAGTACTTAACCTGAGGTACCACTGTATTGTTTATTAAATTTATATACCACTCTTCATCCGAGGATCACAGGGCAATGTACAGTATACAAACAAAAAAATACATAACATAATAACAAACGAAACAATCGGACCAAAAATTATTAAAAGAATGGGGATGTGCTAAAGAGTATATGAAAAAACATTGTTCTGGAGTAAGCATATCGGTATGTAATGAATGAAGCTTTGCAGGATTAAAGAAAGAGAAAAATGGTGCAAAAAGTATAAAGATAGAGGTAATCTACATTAGACACAACAATTTAGAAAAAGTAAAAATTTCGAGGTCTTAGAACAAAGGAAGGAAGTCAATATGTATATATGTACGTAATGATTAGAATGATATGGTTTTATTTGTAGATGTATGTTTTTGTTTTTTGTTTGTTTGTGGGTTTTTTCTCTTGTGTTTTGTTTTGGATTCAATGTTTGTAATTTTTGTTGTAATTTTGCATTGAAAATAAAAAAAAAATTAAAAAGAGATTACTGCATTGCAGGGGTTGGACTAGATGACCCACGGGGTCCCTTCCCACTCTACAATTCTATGATTCTATGCTTGTTTAATTAGCCAAAGGCCTGCGTGAAGAGGAATGTTTATGCCTGGTGCCTAAATATATGTAACAAAGGCACCAGGCAGCCCTCCCTGGGAAGAGCATTCCGCAAATGGGGAGCCCCCACAGAAAAGACCCTGTTCTCATGTTGCCACCCTCAGGACCTTTTGCGATGGTGGGCACACAAGGAAGAGCCTCTGGTGGTGGCCGCAGGGTCCAGAAGGAACTCAGAAAGAATTCTGCCTGTCTTCTGGTGGAAGTGGGTTCCCATCAATAACTCCACTCCGTACATTCTGAACATGCAACTTTGTGCATGGATATTGAAGAGTTTTCATTATGAGTTTTTGGAGAGATGATCCAATGCACTTTGGGCATTCTTGTGCTGGCGAAGAGACCAGCACGGGAATTGGATCTAGGCAGCGGTCAGAGAAGGTGGGAGAGAGACGGTTAGAGAGGCTCTAGGCGGGCAGGCGAAAACACCCCTCTTGTAACTCCCTCCCTCCTCTAACCCTGCAGGGTGGATCAGGCTTTGAAGCAGCTTTCGGAGATCAAGGAATCGGAGCGGCGCCTAAGGACCCTCGAGACGCAGGTATGAAGAGTGGAGCTGAAAGGTTGGGAGGTGTCAGGCTTCAGGGGATCGGCTTCCTACCCCCGTGGCAGTAGATAAGCAGAAAAAGAGAAAGGGAGTCTTATTACCAGTTAAAAGGTAAAGGGACCCCTGACCATTAGGTCCAGTTGTGACCGATTCTGGGGTTGCGGCGCTCATCTCGCTTTATTGGCCGAGGGAGCCGGCGTACAGCTTCCAGGTCATGTGGCCAGCATGACTAAGCCACTTCTGGCGAACCAGAGCAGCACACGGAAACGCCGTTTACCTTCCCGCTGGAGCGGTACCTATTTATCTACTTGCACTTTGACGTGCTTTTGAGCTGCTAGGTTGGCAGGAGCAGGGACTGAGCAACGGGAGCTCACCCCGTCACGGGGATTCGAATCGCCGATCTTCTGATTGGCAAGTCCTAGGCTCTGTGGTTTAACCCACAGCGCCACCCGCGTCCCTCTTACCAATTAGAAACTTTAATAATCACAGCGAGAGAACAAAAAACACATCCCCTAGAAATGGTGGTGCTCCCAATTAAGGAATCCACCCCCTGTTATTCCTATTAATCTGTGTCCCTCCTACATCTTGTAATCTGAGCTTGTACCCTCTGTGCTTTCTGTTCTGGCATTTTCTGAGCTCTCCGTGACTTTCTAGATGGGGTGTGTGTGTGTGTGTGTGTGAATGCTGTCCAGAGACTGTGACTCTGTTAACCCTCTCCCTTCCAGTGTTTCTTCTTCTAGCTGCTCCCCATCCAGTATTTCCCAGCTTCTGCCTTCTGAACTATGCCCCTCTGCAAACCACTGTTCCAAATCTGTACTGTCCCTCCTGCTCCTGGGAAGATGCAGGAGCAAGGGGAGGAAGAGGCTCCCACCATTCCTCCTCAGTGCAGCCCTCCTCAGCACAGTCCCTGACAGGAGGAAGGAAATGGGAAGACACTGGGAGATGATGAGGTGCACAGACGTTCCAAATGGGAGTAGCCAAAAGATGGGGAGTTGAGGCAAAGGGAGGGGGGAGATTGGGCATGTCTGTATTTGTGTTGAGGGCCAAAGCAGCAGCTTTCCAACTTGTCCCACCCCCTGTGACATCATCTTCCTGCCATTTCTCCACTTGCTTCCACTAGATGGAGTACTGCACCAATGCTCTGTCGTGGATGGTGGATGTCTTGGCCCAGAGTGACATTGCGAAAGGGAAGCAGGCTCCTCCTACTCAGAAAAAGGGTAAGTAGAGGGAAAGTAATTGGTGCTTTAGTGCTGGATAACTCCCCCAAAGCTCCTTAAAACAGATGTACGTTTTTCTATCCTGGGGGGGAAATTCTCTGGGAAAGTTCTGCATATTTCAGGAAATGTTCAATGTGGTTTAGATTCAGTTGGGGAAAAGTAGACCTGTGCTTGGTGCCTATTGGCTAGCACTCGTGACATTACGAACACACCTCTCCAACAACTACCACTACCATCCCCCCAGCTGCCGTGGAGTTTTGCAGCTGGTTTAAAATGCTCTTAATACTCTTTGATGCAAGTGGAAGGATAACTACACATAGATGCATAGAAGCATCTTTCTGTCTCTTTCTTTCTTTTAAATATGGTCAGTCTTGGAGAGTTAAGACTTTCTGTACCAAAAGCCAAAGCAGACAGTTTGTCCAGCAGACACAGAAAGCAACTGCTGCTTAAATGTAAATTTGTATCCAGGCTGTGTACACTCAATCAGCAGTTGCTGTGCCCTGGAAGCACATCAACTACGTTCTAGTCAGACTATCGTATTGTTCTTCAGAAGGGAGCTCAGGGAAAAAGCCTAGTCCTGCTGTTTTGCAGCAAAATCCGGTTGTGCACAGCACTGATTGCCTGGCGGCTGTGACGTCACAGTCCCATCCATCCTTCCATCCTTTACAACATTTTAGGACTTGTTTGTGCATTTAGTTATTTTTTTAGATGCACCAAGGTGAACATGTCTGATGCTTAAAAAAGCAAAACAGAACAGCTTGCCGGACGGTGGCAAGACATAATAATGGAATCAGTGTTTAAACCACTATCTGCCATTTGAAACTGAAGACAGCTGGGAGCTATTCTAACCCTGCAGCAGCAGAAGAAAAAACTGCAGCTTCATCACAATTAGAAATTCACATGCTGCTTTCTTTCCTTGCAGCCTAAAATTCTCCATGGAACCTCCAAGAAGAATCAGCCCTTTTACCTGAAGAGAGGTGAATTGCTCAGAACACTTGTTACTCACAGAACTACAGGCATATTTGCCTGGGGCCTGGGTGAAGTGGGCAGAGCCTTGGCTACCAGAGGCTTTGCCACAGATGATGGAGAAACTTGAAATTTACCAGCGTCCCGGGCAGTCTACCTGTCAACGTTTACAGTGAAATAGAAGATAGCTCAGAACCAACACCCACTTTCACTTGAAAACATTGCTATAGACTATCTACACACCTGTAACCTCTCAGACATGCTAAGGTTCTTGAATCGACAATTCTTGTTTCTGTTGAACCATTCAGGACTTCTTCCACTCAGCTTGAAGAACTTAACTAGGAGACTGTGGAGAGAGAGAGAGAGATGGTTCAGATTTCAAGTTGGTCATGAACTTGGCCTGTTTCAGTCTTTAATTTCTATTTCTGCAAATGGGGAAAAGAATGACCTACCTCTCAGGGTTGCTGTGAGAATGAATGATACATGGACAGTAAAAAGAAACCTCTGCAAGATGAAAGTGCAATAGACTAGATTATAATTATATTTTACATGCAGGCCAGAACATCAATCAGCTGCTGACTCCCTTTTGTTAGATTTTTTTTTAATGACATGCTCTTTATCCTTGTGTGTAATTAACAAGGGTGGGTAGGACAATTGGATTGTTGTTTTCATTATTAAGAAATAAAATATTTGCATTATGCTTCTGGAAGACAAGTTCCCATTCGGAGACAATGATTATGGCAATGTGTCCTTCAGATTACAGAAAAAGAATGTTTTCCTGTATGTTTTGATTTTTGAATGGTCTTCCTCCATGAACGAAAACTGTTAAGAGAGCCAGATTCAGCCCCCCATCAAAAATGCAGTTTTCATTGTCCAAGAATTACTACTTTTTCTAGTTCTGCTAGAGAAGTATTGTGCAGCGGTGTTTGATCGTTCTCAGGACTGCAGCAAATAACAGAAGGAAACTGCTGTGCTCTTTCATAGATTTTGATATTTTGTAATAGATTTAAATGCATTTGATTAAAAAAAAAATAGTGTCAATAAAACATGTTCTAGAAGCCTATGTTAGAACCTGAGTTCTTGACAATCATCATGGTAAACTTCACCGAAGTCTAAAAAGAAAAGGCTTTCGCCTTCCCGAACATGGGGCAAAATCAGTGAAAAGAGAGAAATAAAGTCTGCTTCTACTGTCAGAATTCTCAGTTTGTGAACCGCACCCTCCTCTGCTGTTAGAGATTTCTGGTGTCTCTTTGCACCCTGTCATATGCTCTATTAATCTGTCGTTTTTCTTTTGTTAAAGAAAAATATGTCTGATCTACTGTAGGCAGCCTTAGGCGCCATATGCACTTCATGTTGGGTGCATGTTTACACAGCGTGCCCTAGAAACAAGATTCACTCACCCACTCAAGAAGATTCACTTCCAGAAATGCTGGAGAGGGAATTAAATCCCGAGGTATTACGATATTAGCACATTGGAGACTGTGTACATAGCCATGCACTTTAAGCACAACTCCCCTCCCTCTCCCCCAAACCATGACATGCTGGTAATCATATCACACTGGGGTAATTATATGGAAATACACTTTGGAAATGACTTTTGGAGGGTCCATGAACCTGAAAGGGAACTTTACCCTATGGCTGTCCCCGCCATTAGGCAGAGTGAAGCAGCAGCCCCAAAGCTGTGTCCCTGAAGCCCCTTGCCGACTTACATTCTCCTGCGCTCGTACCAGGGTAATGATGACTGGTTGTTGCTGTGCTGTCTTGCCTTGTTGCATCGACTCTCAGTACGTTTCCAAGCACAATTCAAAGTGTTGGTGCTAACCTTTAAAGCCCTAAACAGCCTTGGCCCAGTATACATGAAGGAGCATCTCCACCCCCATCGTTCAGCCCGGACACTGAGGTCCAGCTCCGAGGGCCTTCTGGTGGTTCCCTCCCTGTGAGAAGTGAGGTTACAGGGAACCAGGTAGAGGGCCTTCTCGGTAGTGGCACTCACCCTGTGGAATGCCCTCCCATCAGATGTGAAGGAAATAATCAACTCTCTGACTTTTAGAAGACATCTGAAGGCAGCCCTGTTTAGGGAAGTTTTTAATGTTTGGTGTTTTATTGTGTTTTTAATATTCTGTTGGGAGCCACCCAGGGTGGCTGGGGAAACCCAGCCAGATGGGCAGGGTATAAATAATAAATTATTATTATTATTATTATTATTATTATTATTATTATTCTCCCAACACATCACCGACAGCAATGCCATTAGGGTCAGGCCAGTCAGCCCAGCCCACGGACTCCAGCAGCCATCTTGCACACAAACACACATGTTGCTCTGCTCATGGGATGCTTGCCAGCCGCTGCCATATTATTACAGCATTTCCTTGAGCTGAGTAGGTGTCAGGCAGAGCAGCAGGTGAGCGTGACATCAAGGAGTTGGGAGGATGGAGCTGTGTGGGTTATGGGGCTTGATGGAGTCAGTGTGAATGTCAAATGCAGATAGCCCAGATGGGGGGGAGAGACCTGGTCCTGCTTTGCCCTGTGCTTTTGAAGCATCTTTGTTGGCTCCATACAGAATAACTCATTTTCTTGTTTCCCAGGGTTGCTTTCTTGGTCTCATAATATAGTTGTTTAGTCGTTTAGTAGTGTCCGACTCTTCGTGACCCCATGGACCAGAGCACGCCAGGCACTCCTGTCTTCCACTGCCTCCTGCAGTTTGGTCAAACTCATGCTGGTAGCTTCGAGAACACTGTCCAATCATCTCGTCCTCTGTCGTCCCCTTCTCCTTGTGCCCTCCATCTTTCCCAATATCAGCGTCTTTTCCAGGGAGTCTTCTCTTCTCATGAGGTGGCCAAAGTATTGGAGCCTCAGCTTCAGGATCTGTCCTTCTAGTGAGCACTCAGGGCTAATTTCCTTAAGAATGGATAGGTTTGATCTTCTTGCAGTCCATGGGACTCTCAAGAGTCTCCTCCAGCACCATAATTCAAAAGCATCAATTCTTCAGCAATCAGCCTTCTTTATGGTCCAGCTCTCACTTCCATACATCACTACTGGGAAACCATAGCTTTAACTATACGGACCTTTGTTGGCAAGGTGATGTCTCTGCTTTAGGGATCCTATTAAGAGGCTGCTTTTGCATTCTGACACTTCCATTTATCTTTCTGAGGAGTGTAGAGGAAGCAAGGCACAGCAAACTGGACTAAATAAGCATAATAACAGTAACAACCAACGGATGCTATTTTGCCAGTCAGCCCCTTCCACCGGAGCATATTCCACCTGGGCGCCCACTGGGGAGACGAGAGGAGAGAGGCTGCCCTAGACTCGACCTCGGAACGCGTTCGCAATGGTCAGCGCTCAGTGTCGGACCGCTTTCGGCAGAGCGCTCGCTTGGAAGCATCGTCTCTCGTTCCAAACCATAGAGATAGAAAAAGGGTAGAGTAATGTGCACCGCCAGAAAGTTGTCGGATTGGTTTGGAATATTTCCGCGTTGCCTCGCTAAGCTGAACTTTGCTGCTGGCTAACTTCAGCTGTGTTTCTTGACGGAAAAAAAGGAAACCAGCCAACCACAACGGTGCCAAGGAAGGATAGCCACCTCACGGAGCCATGTACGGCCGTTCTAGCGGTGAATATCATTCTCATTTCCAATTCCACCCTGAGAGATGACAAACGATAGAGCGGCGCCGCTCTGCGCCCAAGAGAGAGAATTCCGACCAATGGCGGCTTTTTTAAAAAAAACCAAAAACTCAAAACGAAACCCGAAAGTTCACGCTTCGTGTGACTCTTAACTTTCCTGTCTCTATGGCCCGGATCAGGGCAACGTCCTGCCTCGACTTCAGCTGCCCGGGCTTGGATACACTTCCGGTTAAGCCACCGGAAAAGGCGTCATAGCCCTCCTTCAGACTTCCTGCTTAGGGACGAGCTTGCTGAATGTGGGTCCTCGTTTCTTCTGCTGCGCGTAGCAACAGCAGTGGGGTGGTCTTGCTCTTTCAATGCAGGAGGGCCAGCTCCTCTGTCTGGACAGGAGGACCCCCTGAGAAATACAAACCTAAATTCTCCTTTCTTTCTTTTTTGTACCAGCTTATATTTGTGAAAGAGACAGGCATTTTGAGGTACCTGCTGTTTCAGATGCATTACAGCGGGGTGCAGTTTTGCTCCTTGTGAGAAATGGTCTCTTTCCTCAACAAACATCCCATACAGAAAGACACCCAGTAGAGATGATGTGGTTTATGTTCCTCTCCTCTAAACTCTGCCACTCCCCAAAGTTAAATATAGGTTTTCTCATGACTCTGGGATTCAAATATTCGATTTCCTCTCCTTATTGGCCCTTTTAGAGCAATTCTCACACGCCAACCCTTGTTTTCATTTCACCAATCTCTCACCTTCTCAAAACAATGTATGATTTCTAACATAGCCCTCCCATTCAGAGTTCAGGAGCCAGGTTTTCTCAGTGGAACACGTTTCTCTTATTTTCGGGTGGTATCTACTATCTCTTGGAAAATAGGAAACTTCTAGCACCCCCTCCCCCAATTATGGATAAACCATTCAGAATTGGGAAGATTTGAGAGTCTTCTAAGTTTTTTTAAAAAAACAAACCCCCAAACCATTCTTTTCCATCCACAGGCTGCCCAGTGCCATGCGGTGCCTCCTCGTCAGCCAAGACAAGCGACATGATCCAGTTCTTCTGCCTGATGGTGTGACTGTGGTTCTGGGCAGGGGACCTGAGACTCTCGTCACCGATAAAAAATGCTCCCGGACACAAGGTGAGTAATTTTTCTCTTGTTAGGAATTTTTCTTTTCCTGCTAGTACAATCCTCTCCAATCATTGTGCTTGGTCTAATGTTGAACTTTCTGAGATTCTTTGTACAGCATTTGACAGATTGTTCCTTCTTGTTCATCCCCTTGATTGGGTCACTCTCAGGGACACAACCTTCCAAGTTCCGTATGTCAGCAGTGGGCAGGGCCAGATGCGAAAGCAGCTGCAGCAACAAATATGAATTTTAACCAGGTATAATAGGCTGGTTTCCATGCAGGCTCACACTCCTCAATGCAGGCAAGCAAGAGGCCTTGTCGAGAGTCGAAGGACACATTCCAGCCAGGCAAACAGCAGTAGGCCTGGTGAGATGTGTGGCCTGAAGAGAGAGAGAGAAAATATTTAGGCTTCTGGTATATGACTAACTCAAGTGACCCTATAGCCTACACCAGACATGTTCAACTGGTCAACCACGATCGACAGGTAGATCCCCTGGTGATCCTGGTCGATCGCGGGATCCTTATCGATCACGAGCTTAGAAAAACTTCGGAATGAATGTTTCCACCCCTTGCCCCCCTCAGTCTGTTCCTCTATCACACCAAGTGGGCAGAGTTCGGTGTTTTATCATTGTGGTGTGGAATACAGTGATTGACTTTAGTGGTGTGTGCGTTTGTTATTGGTGGAGTGTGAGATGAGCGAAGTATTTCATTCTCCCTTAAAAAAAGTTCAACAACTGTGTTCTCCCCCCCCAAAGCTCAACAATTCTGGTCAATCCTCAGTGACAATTGGTAGATCACTGCCAGTTTTTTACACTGGGAGTAGATTGCAATCTCTTGGGACTTGGACGGGCCTGGCCTACGCTCCTTTATTAGTAATGCTCTACTTTCCTGGAACTCCTCCAAGTGAAGTTGTGTGGTTTTTTCCTTTTTGTTCTGCCTGACTGCACCCCATGGCTTTAATGTCTGCTGCTCTGCGGGAGCCACAGAACGAAAACAGAACTAAGTGCAGATATGGATGACAAATCTGAGCACTTCCTGGGGGGAGAAGTAGTTGCAAGAGTTTCCAGGCATCAGGAACTACAGAGAGCTAGTGCAGTGTAAATGTCCACCATGCTGGACAGGTCAAGGAGACCTGGGCACAATCCCTGTTGGGCCAGTCATTAACTTTCCTGCCTAGAACTTGCCTTACTTGGTTGTGAGATTAAAATGGAGGTGGTGGAGATGTGAAATCCACAAACAGTCATACCTCAGGTTGTGTCCGCTTCAGGTTGCGTTTTTTTGGGTTGCGGACTGCCAAAACCTGGAAGTACCGGCATGGGTTACTTCCGGGTTTCGGCAGCTGCGCATGTGCAGAAGTGCTAAATTGCGCTTTGCGCATGTGCAGAAACGCCGAATTGCAACCCGCACATGCGCAGACGCGGGTCGCGAACGCTGTGGGTTGCGAACGTGCATCCCACACGGATCACGTTTGCAACCCGAGCGTCCACTGTAATCTACATTGAGCACCCTCAAGGGAAAAGCTGGATGCAAGTGAGATCAACATCTGCCCCTTCCTTTGCAGCTTCTAGAAATGCTACCTTCCCTGATGCCTGTTCATGCCTTTCCAGCCACTGGGGCCGGCCCCGTCATTGGGCAAAGCGAGCCAGAAGGGGGAGCAGCAATAGCACTTTTCCCACCACCACCACCCTGTCAACATACACACACATGCACACTTCACCACCTTATTGCCTCTGAGCTGGTAATCCCAATTCTTAGCTGGTCCACCCTGACAACACACGCTGTAGGAAATGGAGTGATTGCCACGATGGGATGGAAAGCAGGCAGTACCTTTGCCAGTGGAACTCTGCATGCAGTGCAGTAGAATGACTTCGTTTTTTGTGCCTTCCTTTCGCCTGCTTTGCCAGTGGGAGGCTTTCTTCTTTCTTTCTTATTTTACCTTTCCATTGCTTTCTACCCATTTTCCATTTTGTAGATAATATGTTTTATTAAATTTCCACAAATTTCACATAAAATTCCAGTACATAATATTTTTTTCTTTTGTCGACTTCCCATCCCATCATCCATGGTGTTTTTTTAATAATTTCCGTGGTACTTATTTCTGTTGAATAATTAGAGATTATTGTATTATGGTTATTGTTATGTACTGAAGTTCTCACCCTGGGCCAGCAGGGGGATACTATAGATAGTTATGCAAATGAAGGATCGAAAGTGACGTTCAGTGATTGGATAGTTTTAGAAAGTTGACTGAACCCTTCAGTTCAGTTCTGTTCTGTGAATAAACAAGAGCTGTTTGAAGAATCGCTGTGTCGTCTGATACGTTCACCCACAACTTAACACTGGCGACGAGGGTAGGATTGATGGACATCAGAGCACAGCCAGATGCGGCCACCCTGATATAAAAGAGTGAATATAGAATTCAGCAGATAGATAGAATACAATAATCTTGAATTATTTCTGCTTTCTACCTATTTTAATTTCCCTCTGGTTTCTTGATACAGTGGTACCTTGGTTCTCGAATGGCTTGGCTCCTGAATGCTGCAAACCCGGAAATATGTGTTCCAGTTTGTGAATGTTTTTTGGAAGCTGAACATCTGACGCAGCTTTCACTTGAGTGCAGGAAGCTCCTGCAGCCAATCGGAAGCCGCGCCTTAGTTTTCTTACTGTTTCGGGAGTCAAACTGACTCCTGGAATGGATTAAGTTTGACAACCAAGGTACCACTGTACTGCTTTTTATTATTATTATTTATTATTACTTCCTCCATTTTCTCTTTCCTCCTTTCGCCTTTCTTCCTCTCCCTCCCCACCCACCCATAACTCCTTAAAAAGAAAAAGCCCAGCACCACCAGTTCCAGTTCTGATTTAGTCTTGTGTTTTGATGAATATATGGCAAAATATTGCTCAAAAAAAGATATGCTAATATGCCTAGAGTAAAATGTGAAGTACTGGATGGAAGAAAAATTAGTAAGGAAAGATAATAAGAATATATAGGTGATTTGAGAAGGTTGTAGAATGCAAAGATTATTGTAAATTGTATAATGTGGAGGAAATCGAGTGGGGGCGGAGGGACGTGGGAGGAAGGAGAAAAGAATAATATGATGGATTGAGGAAACAGAAATGTAAATGTCTGGGGGGATGGGGAGGAAATGGTGTTGGCTTTGGTACATCTGTATTGTAAAGTAATATGTGCAAACCAATAATAATATTAATAATTTCTTTTTCAAAAAATAAAATAAAATGATTTAGTCTTGTGAATTAATGATTCCATTTGTGAAATCTGGGTCTTCTAGACATGCCTTGCGGGTGTAACCAGCCCTGTTTTCTCTTTCTGTTTCCTCGCAGTGGAGTTGCTGGCCAATTATGCCTATAGATCCGTCCGAGTCACGCAGGTAAGACAGGGAGAGTTCAGATCGTCCCAGTTCCGAGCCTTGTGTGTGTGGCTCTGCTCGTACGGGAGTCTTGTTTCCCTAGGAGGGTGAAGCAGCTGTTCTGGGTGTCTGGTCACACTTGGGCCCCCTAATGTATTTTGGTGTGTTGACAGCGAGGGGTGAACCCCACGTCGGTGGAGGAGATACACCTGCGTTGTGGGGACAGCACCACGCTCCAGGAGGGAGAGACTCTGTGCTTGGTGAATGGGCTGTATCCCTACCGCATCCGTTTCGAGGAAGATTCCCGCTCCCCGAAGAAAACCCTGCTGGAGTTCTTCAGTCCCCGGCGCCCCCTGAAAAAAGAGGAGGATGGCAAGGCCCAGCCTGCCAAGCGGCCCAAGACCTCCTCGCCTTCCGAGGACGAGGAAGACGACGACGTCGACCCCTCGGTGGCCGAGAAATTGAGGCAGCTGCAGGAGACGGCAGCGCAAGCCCAGCGGGCGCAGAGCCAGCCTCGCCGGCAGCTGCAACTCTCGCATCAGGCTCCCCAGCCGCACGACTCCTGGGAGGACCATGGCAAGCTCCTGGTCTTCACAAAGAAAGGGGTGCTGCCCAGCGCCAAAGTAAGGCCTACAGCTCTCAGCAGGAGCTGGCACTGCTTCTTGTGGGCTGTGTTAGAGTTGTTTAGGCCCATGTGCTAGCTGAGGCTGAATGGGAATTGTAGTCCAAAACACCAGGAGAACACAGGTGGCAGGAGGCTGCTTTGGGGAAAGGTTCTGGTTCCATCTTGCGCCCCACCCTGTCCCCTTCTTTAATGTAAGAAAGGCAAATTTTGGCATCACTTGCCTGGAACCGTAGGCCAAAAGTCAGCTTAAAATAATTAAAACATCAGAAAATGGTAAAACGGGATAAATAACCAGCGCTGAGTAAAACTCAACTCTCTGTCAAATTAACTTTCTAATTGTTAACATGGAGGTCTGTTTATTGTATTTTGTAGCTTATTCTTTTTGCCACAAGATTCTTTGGGTACTTTTTTTTTTTAGAAAGACGTGATACAAATGTCTAAAGTAAAACGTCTACAGGACATCATCTGGGCAGGTTGGGCAATACAGTGGTACCTCGGGTTAAGTACTTAATTCATTCTGGAGGTCTGTTCTTAACATGAAACTGTTCTTAACCTGAAGCACCACTTTAGCTAATGGGACCTCCTGCTGCTGCTGCGCCACCGGAGCACGATTTCTGTTCTCATCCTGAAGCAAAGTTCTTAACCCGAAGTACTATTTCTGGGTTAGCAGAGTCTGTAACCTGAAGCGTATGTAACCTGAAGCGTATGTAACCCGAGGTACCACTGTATACTCTTCAACCAGGCCTTTGTTTAATTAATATTCTCCAGCCTTTAAAACGTGGTGTCCTGTGCAGGCTCACCTGAGAGATCTCGGTAGGGCTACTCAAAACCAGGAAGTGGGGAAGCAATGTTGCTTTGGGGGATAGTTGGAAGTTGAGGCTTGACGCCAGCCTAGGTGATCCTTGGCCCTCTTTCTGCCTCTCTGCCCAGGTTGCAGGTTTCGATCTGGATGGGACCATAATCACCACGCAGTCTGGGAAGGTGTTTCCTACGAGCCCCGATGACTGGAGGTGAGTGTGGGGCGAGATACCAGGGAGGCGGGGGAGGGGAGGGAATTATGGGCAGCCAGCATGGTCCATGGCAAAACCTGTGTTGATCTAGGTGCAGAGAGGCCCGAGTTCAAATCCCCCACAACCATGAAGCTCATTCTGCCAGCCCAGTGCACCTCCCAACAATTAATGTGTGGGTCAGGCATTGGGTGGGGGGAAGTCACTACATATGCCACCATGGGCTGCTTGGAGGAAAGACAGGAGGGGGAGTAATAAAAGTGAGACTGTGACCTAGTGGTTAGAGCACCGGGTTCGGACAAGGGAGACCTGTGTTCGTTTCTTTATTTTATTCCATTGCACAACACGTATATACCACTTTATTGTACTAAAACCTCAAAGTGGTTTATGAAAAGAAGCCCAGACACACACACACACACACACACACACACACTCTTTGGCCTACTTTACAGGGTTGTTGTAAGAATAAAGGGTGGGGAGGAAAGCCGAGGACACTGCCTTAATTTCCTTGGAAGAAGGGCAAGCTAAGGAATGTAATAAATAGAAGGGAGAATATTCCTACTCATGGGGCAAAGTGAGAAGAGCTCCCTGGTTGTGGTTGTGATCCTGCATTGCAGGGGGTTGGACTGGATGATCCTTGGGGTTCCCTTCCAACTCTACATTCCTGTGATTCTATAAGAGTGACATCAGGTTCTTGTAGGACAAGGGCACTAAAACGGGAGCTTGTGCTGGTGTTTCCGCGTTGTACTTTGCACTCTAATGTCATCCATAGCAACATGCCATCAGCATTGGGGTCAAACTTGGGCCTCTGGCTGTTTTTTGAACTACAACTCCCATCATCCCTAGCTAGCAGGACTAGTGGTAAGGGATGATGGGAACTGTAGTCCAGAAACAGCTGGAGACCCAAGTTTGGGAAGCCCTGCTCTAGATGGAGTTGGACTACAATTCCCATCATCCCTGAATGGCCAGGCTGGCTGAGGCTGATGGGAGTTGGTATCCATCAATACAGAACAACAAACCCCTGTGTTGCAAACTTAACACAACAAACAATACAAGCAACACGAAGACCAGTATACTAGATAGCACTGCAGTTCCTACTGCGTGATATACATGATTTAGTACAACAAAAACAAAGCGTGTACACTTGTAAATTCTCTAATATATTTGAAATCAAATGAACACACGTCTGTCAATCTTGGAAAGTCGGTGAAAGTATAATAAGTCTATAGTTGAAACAAAGTAATAGATGCTATCCTGTGGGCTAATCGGTAAAACTTTTTTAGGCATTCATGGTGCCAAAGTGTTGTTGTTGTTGTTTAGTCGTTTAGTCATGTCCGACTCTTCGTGACCCCGTGGACCAGAGCACGCCAGGCACTTCTGTCTTCCACTGCCTCCTGCAGTTTGGTCAAACTCATGCTGGTAGCTTCAAGAACACTGTCCAACCATCTCATCCTCTGTCGTCCCCTTCTCCTTGTGCCCTCCATCTTTCCCAGCATCAGGGTCTTTTCCAGGGAGTCTTCTCTTCTCATGAGGTGGCCAAAGTCTTGGAGCCTCAGCTTCAGGATCTGTCCCTCCAGTGAGCACTCAGGGCTGATTTCCTTCAGAATGGAGAGGTTTGATCTTCTTGCAGTCCATGGGACTCTCAAGAGTCTCCTCCAGCACCATAATTCACTGTTCTGACTGGAATCTTCTTCAGTACAACCCATAGATTAGAAAAATGCACATGGAGCAGTCGTCACGAGGATATGCATCTATTACTTTGTTTTTGTTGTACTAAATCATGTATATCATGGAATAAGAATTGCAGTGCTATCTAGTATACTGGTCTTCGTGTTGCTTGTAATGTTTGTTGTGGGAGTTGGTACCCAGCAACCCCTGGCGCATCACAGGCTGCCTGGGTTAGGTGACGCATTCTCAAAGTAAAGGAAGGATTGAACTCTGATTAATAAGAATACACACAGAGGCTTGAACCAGCAAGACTCTGGGAAGGGTGCGTATAATAATCTCTGTCTCCAGCCCCTGGCCCAGGTCGTTTTATTCACAAAAGAGCTTCTTACAGAGTGTTCGTAAGAACCAATCAGATTTCTTCTGAGCATTTCAACAAACCCCACGTGGGGACAAAGTTCACCTACAAACACTAGTTAAGCATGCATACTTTTGGAGTAAATGAATGAAAACTACAAAGGAGTGCATTCAGCAATCCTGGAGGTCATAAACAAGCAATACACATGATAAGAAGGACAGCGATCATTATCACCTTCATGTGAAACTTACAGTGGTGCCTCGCAAGACGAAATTAATCCGTTCCGCGAGAGTCTTCGTCTAGCGGTTTTTTCGTCTTGCGAAGCAAGCCCATTGACGGATTAGCGCTATTAGCGCTATTAGCGGTTTAGCGGCTATTAAAGGCTTAAAGGCTTAGGGATTAGCTGCTAAAAGGCTATTAAAGGCTATTAAAGGCTTAGCAGATTAGATAAAGGGGGAAGCGAAAAAAATCTCAAGACTCGCAAGGTATTTTCGTCTTGCGAAGCAAGCCCATAGGGGAATTCGTCCTGCGAAGCAACTTCAAAACGGAAAACCCTTTCGTCTAGCGGTTTTTCCGTCTTGCGAGGCATTCGTCTTGCGGGGCACCACTGTATTTCCTGGCCCTAAGATTAACATATCAGAAAAGCTACAGCAAAGAAACTGCCCACTGTCTTTGATGACCCAGGACGCCTACCTGTCTGTGTACGTGACTTGTCAAGAAAGAGAAATGGAACAGGAATGCAGAGGTGTGGACTGATTAAGAATCATATGAAAATAGTTTAAACCCAGTCAATGCAATGCTTTCATAGCTGACACAGATGGCTTACTCTATATTTGTTATAATTCCTCATAGCAATCCCACCTGATCACTACAGTTAGGGAGATCAGCACTCAGTCATTGCCCTTCACCCCTTTCTGTTTTGCAGAATCCTGTACCCCGAGGTTCCCCGCAAGCTGAAGCAGCTTCAGAGCGAGGGGTACAAGGTAATGCACCTTCCCCAAACCATGTTACTCGCTCCAGCTTCTCCTCTCCTCTTCTCACCTCTGTGTTCTTCTCTCCTGCATCTCTGCCCTCTCTTCCCCACCCCACCCCAACCCGGCAGGTTGTGATCTTTACCAACCAGATGGGCATCAGTCGCGGGCGCCTCAGGCCCGAAGTTTTCAAAGCCAAGGTGGAAGCAGTGGTGGATCGGCTTGGCATCCCCTTGCAGGTGAGTCGGGGCAGGGAGGACAGTGTATCTCCCAGAATGCTTTGCAAAAGGGAAGTTGCCCATTGAGCAGGGAAAGTGGAGTGGGCTTTGGAAGCAAACATTTTATGGTATAAGTGCCACCTGCAGAATAGAAGAGGGTGGCTTTGTTTGTGTATGTGTGTGAGAGAGAAAGAGGAAGAATGGAAATGGTTTATTGAATATTTACAGATAAATTGAAAACAGACAGAAACATTAGCAGGATTATTGTAATAACCGGCAGTTTCATAAGAGTGTATATTTATGGTAGATAATTAAATGAGCAAATTAAATGAATTTGGATATGGAGAAGATATTAAAAAAAATAAGGAACCGTAGAAAGGGGGAAGGAAGTCAAATTTTGAAATGTTAAATTGATTGTAAAACTAATGAAACGTATAAACTCGAAAAGTATAAATAAAAACTTTTAAGAGAGAGAGAGAAAGAGGAAATGAAGCTGAAAGAGTTAAAAACAGGTAGAGGGCTTTGGGGGCTCCAAGGGCCTTGTGGGTAATTGCCCAGGGGCCACGTCCTAGCAGTGGACAGGAAGTGACATAAACAGGAAGTGACATAAACAGTTAATCCACACACATACATGCATCCACATGCTCTCCCCAACATTCACAGAGCAGCCATAGAATCGTAGAATTGTAGAGTTGGCAGAGACCACGAGGGTCATCTAGTCCAACTCCCTGCGATGCAGGAATCTTTTCCCATGGTGGGGCTCGAACCCACAACCCACAACAATTAAGAGTCTCATGCTCTACCAGCTGAGCTATCTATTTAAACCTCCTCTCGCCCAGCACACTCTCTCTCTCTCTCTTTCTTTCTCTCTCGCTCTCTCCTCCCTAATCTCTCTTTCTCTTCTCTCCCCACCCCAGCCCCCACAAATTTACAATTAGGGGAGAAAATATCTCATTCCCAAGCCTAAGTCCCTCAGTTGCTGTTCTGCTGTAGTTTCCAGGGATTTGCAGCCATGCGCAAAGATCAAGGCGATGCAGAATTCGAAACGGTGAACTGTTCCCATTTCCTGTTCTCCAGCCAGTTTAATATATCTCGCCTCGTCCCCCATTGGGCGTGGGCTGGGGCTCAGCCAAAGTTGCTGGTTGTCAGTAGAGACACCCCAGACTTTGGCCCAGAGATGTTTGATCAAGGAAGGGAAGGAGAGATTGAAAACACTATGAAAATAAAACGCCAGGATGTTTTTTATCTGGACAAGGCTGGGACAATCTCACCCTGCTGCCATCCTTCCCCTCCCAGGTCTTCGTGGCGACTGCTTCTGGCGTTTACCGCAAACCTGTCCTCGGCATGTGGGAGCACCTGTGCAAGAAGGTGACTTGAGACTTCACGTATTGTGACTTTGCTGTTAGTTTTATTTTCCGTACTCTGGTCATTTTGCATTGTAATTGGTTGGGAGCGAATTTTCCGTCATCCGCTTATTTTGATTCCACCGTGCCTCATATTTCAAATACAGTGGTACCTCGGGTTAAGAACTTAATTCGTTCCGGAGGTCTGTTCTTAACCTGAAATTGTTCTTAACCTGAAGCACCACTTTAGCTAATGGGGCCTCCTGCTGCCGCTGTGCCGCCGCTGCCCAATTTCTGTTCTCATCCTGAAGCAAAGTTCTTAACCCAAGGTAATATTTCTGGGTCAGCGGAGTCTGTAACCTGAAGCATATGTAACCTGAAGCATATGTAACCCGAGGTACCACTGTACAGTGGTACATTGGTGATCGAACGGCTTGGCTCCTGAACAAATCAGCTCCCAAACGCCACAAACCCGGAAGTAAGTGTTCCGGTTTGTGAACGTTTTTTGGAAGCCGAACATCCGACGGGGATTCCATGGCTTCCGATTGAGCGCAGGGAACTCCTGCAGCCAATCGGAAGCCACGCCTTGGTTTGTGAACGGTCTCCCAGAACGGATTAAGTTCGACAACCAAGGTACCACTGTGGGTTGCTGAAGGTTACTTTAATCGGTTTAAGTTTGAAAGGTCGCATTTTTTCCATTGTGGCTGGATCAGATTGTTACGGCGGGGTAGGGGGTGGTCTTTGTTGTGAATTTTGTCATCCGCCTTGTATATCATAAAGGTAGCATACAAATTTGAAAGGAAAGGAAGAAGGTACAAGGGTGCAGAGGGCTGGGAAGGAGAGAGAGAGAGAGAGAGAGAGAGAGAGAGAGATATCTGTATCACTACAAGCCTTGACTTCCCACCCCTCTTTCCCAAACTCTCTTCCAAGGCAAATGGTGGCCTAGAAGTCTCTTTGCAGCAAAGCGTCTACGTTGGAGGTGAGTAAAACACTCAGGCTGAGCCGGGAATCCTAAGAGCTGGTGGCACTCACGGGGAAATAAGAGCGCAGAGGCTGCAGTGTTGCGCAGTTCCTTTTCTCACTCTCTGCACAAGCCCATCCTTTCTCTACCTCTTGTGCTCGTTTTATTTATTACATTATATACTGTCTTCATCTTGCAAGATCTCACGGTGGTGTGCCTGGTCCCCCTCCTCCTCCTCCCCATCACAACAAACAACCCTGCGAGGTAAAAGGTAAAGGGTCCCCTGATTGTTAGGTCCAGTCGTGACCGACTCTGGGGTTGCGGTGCTCATCTCGCTTTATTGGCTGAGGGAGCCGGCGTACAGCTTCCGGGCCATGTGGCCAGCATGACTAAGCTGCTTCTAGCGAACCAGAGCAGCGCATGGAAACGCTGTTTACCTTCCCGCCAGAACGGTACCTATTTATCTACTTGCACTTTGACGTGCTTTCGAACTACTAGGTTGGCAGGAGCAGGGACCGAGCAACGGGAGCTCACACTGTCACAGGGATTCGAACCGCCAACCTTCTGATCGGCAAGCCCTAGGCTCTGTGGTTTAACCCACAGCGCCACCCGCATCCCACCCTGCGAGGTGGGTTAGGCTAAGAGACGGTGGCTGCCCTGAGGTCACCCATGGCGGAGCAAGGATTCGAACCCTGGTCTCCCAGGCCCTAGTCCAACGCTCTTAACCGTTTCGCCACACTGGCGATTCGTAGGCAGCTCAGAGAGCAAGAACACGCAGAGGGCCGCATGAAATTAGAGCCAAGGGCCACACTCCTCATTCCAGCACTGTGGAATGCCATTCAGAGTATAATGAGAGGATGGGTGCAATTTGCTTAGTACCTTCATTTGGTGGGAGCGAGGAACAATTTCAGGTTTGTGCATCTTCACTGCAGGCAGAGAAGTTGTTTCTGTGCTTCCCCTACTCCAAATTTACATGCCCCAGTTGTGAGCGTTAGCAATGATCTGTTGAGTTTTCCACCTTGTGCTGCTGGATGTGTTTTCATAGCTCCTTTCTGTCCATAGATGCAGCTGGGCGACCACCAAACTGGGCCCCGGGACACAAGAAGAAGGATTTCTCATGCAGCGACCGCTTGGTATGCGATCAATTCTTCTCTTTCCTGTCTTCTCCTTCAGTTTCCCTTAACCACAAAACAGAAAATTTGGCCACCCTGGATTAAAGAACAACTGCTCTGGTTTAGCACCCACTATTCCCCCTCTTCTCTTCCGCCAGGTTTTTTTTTTTTAATTTCAAAAATAATTTACATACTTCCATTGATATGCTGCAATATCAGGGCGGCGTGCAGAAAACATCATTGAAATAAGTGTGTAATCATTAAACAATGCAAAACAGTCATTGTCATCAACCTGGTTGTCAACATTGACCGAAGGGTCCCTCCTGTTTTTACTTAGGCAAGATGTGATTGCTGTCATGGAAATGCTGTTCAGGACTGTATTTTGTACCCAGGTAAATACTAGATACACAGAACTTGCCCTCTAGCATCCTTAGAATATCAGCATTCAGTCAAAAGCCAAGTTTCTAGCACTCATGGGATTCCTCTTTATTTACAGTCATACCTCGGGTTGAAGTAGCTTCAGGATAAGTATTTTGGGTTGCACGCTGCGCACCCGGAAGTACGGAGCGCGTTACTTCCAGTTTCGTCACTCGCGCATGCGCAGACGGTCAAAATGACGTCATGCGCATGCGCGGGCTGGCGGAGTCTGCAACATGATGCGGATGCGGGTTGCGGTACGCTTCTGGATGCAAGCGGGACTCAGAACGGATCCCTTTCAGCATCCAGAGGTACTCACTGTATTTTTAAAAATTAAAAAGCAAACTTTTTGTGTATTTAAAACATTTCTATCCCATCTTTCCTTCAAAAGTTCAAGGTGGCAGGTTTTAATAGTCCTCCACTGAAATCTAGGGAGGGGGGATGAAACCATGGCCTTTCACCTCATTTTCTCCCTCTACCACCTTTCTTGATGTCCTCAAATCCCACAGATAATTTGGAAACCTCACATCACTAGTCTTAGGAATGTTTTGGCCATGGGTAGGCAAACTTAGGCTCGGGGGCCGGATCCTGCCCAATCGCCTTCTAAATCCGGCCAGCGGACGGTCCAGGAATCAACGTGTTTTTACATGAGTAGAATGTGTCCTTTTATTTAAAATGCATCTCTGGGTTATTTGTGGGGCCTGCCTGGTGTTTTTACATGAGTAAAATGTGTGCTTTTATTTAAAATGCATCTCTGGGTTATTTGTGGGGCATAGGAATTCGCTCATTCCCCCCCCCCATATAGTCCGGCCTGCCCCAAGGTCTGAGGGACAGTGGACTGGCCCCCAGCTGGAAAAGTTTGCTGACCCCTGGTTTTGGCTATTTGAGGAAGTGGTGCCTTGCAGTGAAGCGTTTGAGCTGGAAAAAGGGAAAAAGTTGTACTGATGTGCTTTCTACACAAAAATCTGGGCTGGTATCGGCAGCCCACATCGAGCACCTAGCAGCCAGCTACTAGCCAACAGGCATACATGCGCTACTGCTGCCTTCGGTAACCAGTTGTGCACCAGATGTTTTAGAAACGAGAATACGAGCCCGAGAATACAGTGGTACCTTGGATTAAGTACTTAATTCGTTCCGGATGTCCGTTCTTAACCTGAAACTGTTCTTAACCTGAAGCTCCACTTTAGCTAATGGGGCCTTCTGCTGCCGCTGTGCCGCTGGAGCCCAATTTCTGTTCTTATCCTGAAGCAAAGTTCTTAACCTGAAGCACTATTTCTGGCTTAGTGGAGTGTGTAACCTGAAGCGTATGTAACCTGAAGCGTATGTAACCTGAGGTACCACTGTATCTGCTTTCTCTTTTTGAAACGAGTTGCTAGCCCTCATGGTGCAGAGTGGGGTGGGGCGGACCTGAAAATGTGTAGGCAGCGAAATCTTAGAAGTCAGCAGGGGACTAAGAAGGGAAGCGAAGGCAGAGCTTCAGTGCCCCTTATCCCTTCCTGGTGGTACACCTATCGGGAATATTTTCTTATCATTCTCCTCGTTCTCTCAATCCTAGACAGAGGATTTCAAAGCCTTAGGCGAATTTGGAAGCAAATGACACAAGATGAACAGGCCGAGAAGCAAATTGCACGTACTGGGTGTACTTTTGTTGTGGCCACGGAGTGTGTGCGTTCTGGCTGCCAAGAGTACAAGTCGTTCTCATCAGCTCACACTTTTTCTTGGCTCCTTTCCCCACATTAACAGCTCTCCCTTCTGCCCGTCCTCACAGTTCGCTCTGAATGCTGGGCTTCCCTTCCGCACCCCCGAAGTGTATTTCCTGGGCTGGAAAGAGCCACCGTTTGCACTCCCCAACTTTGATCCGGTGAATGATTTCTCTTTCTTTTAGAGCTGAGCTCGCTTTTGCTTTCTGTTCATATAGAACCGGGTTTTGCCTTTTTGCATGCCATTAATTTGACTCTGAGAGGGACGCGGGTGGCGCTGTGGGTTAAACCACAGAGCCTAGGACTTGCCGCTCAGAAGGTCGGCGGTTCGAATCCCCGTGATGGGGTGAGCTCCTGTTGCTCGGTCCCTGCTCCTGCCAACCTAGCAGTTCGAAAGCACGTCAAAGTGCAAGTAGATAAATAGGTACCGCTCCTGCGGGAAGGTAAAGGGCATTTCCGTGCGCTGCTCTGGTTCGCCAGAAGCGGCTTAGTCATGCTGGCCACATGACCCGGAAGCTGTACGCCGGCTCCCTTGGCCAATAAAGCGAGATGAGCGCCGCAACCCCAGAGTTGGTCACGACTGGACCTAATGGTCAGGGGTCCCTTTACCTTTAATTTGAGTCTGAATTGATTTTAGAATGAATTGATTTTAGAATGTATTTCAATTAAATGATTATGATTTTATGTAAACTGTGTTATTTTTACTGTTGTTAGCTGCTCTGAGCCCGGCTTTGGCTGGGGAGGGCAGGATATAAATAAATTATTATTATTATTATTATTATTATTATTATTATTTTGTGATCTGCAAAACGATCTTTGCAGGTTGGTATTTGGAGGAGGAGAGGGGGCTTTTGAGTCTGTCAGAGAATGGGCTTCCCAGGGACCACCTAATGAGCTCATGGCAGAGGGTGAGATTCAAATTGGGGGATTTTGGATTTTCGCCAGCAGTCTCTGGGATGGGGAAACCTCTGGCCCTCTGCATATTATTGGACTCCAACTCCCATCATCCCCATCTAGCAGGGCCAGTCAATGGTCAGGGACGATAGCAGTTTAGTTCATCAACATCTAGAGGGCTACGGGTTCCTGCTCTAGGGCATCTTTGCTCAAAAATATGACTGAACCCAGGTCCTCTTTACGGCTGACAAGTGGCAGGAGCAGTGGGAATGATTGCTGAACAAAAGATCGCCTTTAATAAACCTCCAAAGAAAGTTACTGGAAAGGTTTGCCTGTTGCCGCTTGTGGTTCCCCACTTCCAAGATTTGTGGGAAGCTGAAGGCAAAAAAAGTGTTGCGTGCCAGCATGTTCTCTGCCTACTCAGAAGGCCGTTTAAAAAAGGAAAGCCATGTGGGTGGCAGGACCAGAACTTTATCCTAAACTGTGGCTGAGCAGTGGGCTTGCCTGCTAGTCAGTTAAGCAGCTTTTGAGTCAGCAACTGTGATTTATTTATTCTTTGCTGAGAAAACCTGCACGTAGTCACCTGGCTATTCTTGCAAAGTTTTACATTCGCATTATTTTAGCACCTTATTCCAATTTAGAGTGTGCATTTCCCCCCTTTTCTCTGCCCCCACTGAAATTGGGCCTGGCGAGATCTGCAAAAGCAGAGGGTTTATTAGGCACAGCTGACAGACTTGCCTAACACTATTACATACAATGTCTGAGTCTCTGTTACCGTATTTTTCGCTCTATAAGACGCACTTTTTCCCTCCTAAAAAGTAAGGGGAAATGTGTGTGCATCTTATAGAGTGAATGCAGTCTGCGCGGCTATCCCAGAAGCGAGAACAGCGAGAGGGATCGCTGCGCAGCGCTCCCTCTTGCTGTTCTAGCTTCTGGCTTAGCTGCGTGAAGCCTCTTCAGGGCACGGGGAGCCTTCATCCCGCTGCCCTGAGGAGGCTTCGCGCTCCCTTTAAAGAGCGCACGGCTCTTGCTGGCTTTTGCGGGAGGTGGGGGAAGGGACAGAGGGCAACCCCTCAGTCCTTTCCCCCACCTCCTGGAAAAGCCCGCAAGAGCCGCGCGGAGCGTGTGTGCGGTTCTTGGGGGCTTTTCCCTGAAGAGGGAGAAGGGCAGCCCGTCAGTGATGGACTGCCCTTCTCCGTCCTTGGGGAAAGGCCTGCAAGCACCGCAGACACACTCCACAAGACTTGTGAAAGGGAGCGCTGAGCAGAGCCTGGGACGCATACAGGCTCTGCTCAGCGTTCCCTTTAAAGAATATTTTTTTTCTTGCATTCCCCCTCTAAAAACTAGGTGCGTCTTATGGTCAGGTGCGTCTTAAATATGGTATATTCATACATTTGCCATTATTGTCTCCTCTTACACAGCGAACACTGGACCCCAAGGCACAGCTGTACGATCCTCCAGACGCTTGCCTGACCTCTTCCTTCCCAGAAGTGGTTGTAGCTGTTGGCTTCCCTGCTGGTGAGTGGCCATTCGCACCTTCTTTATCCAAGCTTTGTTTTCCAAAACTTTGTGCAAAAGGTTCCTCCAGTCTCAACAAGTGTTCATGGGCAACAGATGCCCTTCCCTGGGGAGTTTCCATGCGCTTCAATTCCCAACTGGAGTTTAGCTTTTTTGCTAAACCCAGAACTGTTTGTCAGGCTTTTTCCTCCCTTGGTTAGTCAAAAGCAGGGGTCAGCAACATTTTTCAGCCGTCGGCCGGTCCACCGTCCCTCAGACCTTGTGGGAGGCCGGACTATATTTTGAAAAAAAATATAAATGAATTCCTATGCCCCACAAATAACCCAGAGATGCATTTTATATAAAAGCACACATTCTATTCATGTGAAAACGTCAGGCAGGCCCCACAAATAACCCAGAGATGCATTTTAAATAAAAGGACACACAAAACGAATATAGAAGGTGAGAGATGGACCTATGAAGACCTCCTGGAAAGATCTGAAAAAGGATGGAAAATCAGACCCTATGAAGAGCTAAAAGACAAACTAACAGGCTGGCTGCAGTACCATCAAATTAATGCCTTATGGAAAGAAGACAAAAAAACTGGGATGAATGAGAAAAAATCTAGGTTCCAGGTAGAGATTATAGAAAGTAAAACCAAACTTCTATCCAAAATGTATAACCTGTTACTAGAATGGGATACTAAGGATAAGGAGGTCAAGGAAGTTATGATAAAATGGGCAATAGACTTTGGATATAATTTGGATTATGATAATTGGACGAGGCTATGGAATAAAGGTATGAAATTTACTGCCTGCACCACCCTTAGAGAAAATATGGAAAAGATGATGTACCGTTGGTACATCACCCCCGTGAAATTAGAAAAAATGTATAAGACCGGGGATAATAGGTGTTGGAAGTGTAAATCCAAAGAAGGCAGTTTCTATCATATGTGGTGGAAGTGTGAAGAAATAAAAATTTTTTGGGAAGCCATATACAATGAATTGAAAAAGATACTTAAATACACCTTTGTTAAAAAACTCGAAGCCTTCCTCCTAGGTATGATCGGAGATGAGATTAAAAAAGAAGACTACATAATGTTTCAATATGCAACTGTAGCTGCTAGGATTCTACTAGCACAAAATTGGAAAACCCCTAATATCCCGACTGTTAAAGATTGGCAAATTAAACTATTTGAATACTTAGAATTGGCAAAAATGACGCAGAATATCAGACAGCAAAAAGATACAAAGTTTAATGACGATTGGACCAAATTTATAACATATATGGAAACAAATTCTAGAAATCTAAAAATCACAATAGGTTTAACATAATTCTTGCGATGCATAGATGATATAAAATGAAAACTGCAGAATGCAATTACAATCTTATATAATCCAAAACCGAGATGGAGGGAAGTCAATTTGTGTGTTTCTTTTTTGGTCCGTTTAGGTTTTCTGTTGTTTGTTCTTGTTTTTGTTTTCTCTTTTTTTTATGTACGGTTGTTTTGTTTTTCTGTTTGCTTATGAAAATTAATAAAAAGAATTTTAAAAATAAATAAATAAATAAATAAAAGGACACATTCTACCCGTGTACAAACACGCTGATTCCCGGGCCGTCCGTGGGCCGGATTTAGAAGGTGTTTGATCCGCATCCGGCCCCCAGACCTTAGGTTGTCTACCCCTGGTCAAAAGGCTGGGGGGAATTGGGCTCGGAATGATGGGGCTGTGCTTTCGCTAGAGAGGCTTATGCTACAGAGCAGTAGAATTGTGGAATAAGGCACCTTTACTAACAGCCCAATTGGATGTCAGGCTTCAGGGAACCAGCTTCCTCCCCCGTGGCAATAGATAAGCAGAACAAAGGAAAAGGAGTCTTCTTACCAGTTAGAAACACAGCGAGAGAACAAAGAACACATCTCCTAGTAATGGCGGTGCTCCCAATTAAAGAGCTAGTTCAGAAAGAAAAGGAGGGCCTTGTGATAGTCAGGGATGCTGCGAGGACAATGTTGCAGAGTATCAAAGCTATGTCTGCAGCAGGGACCTTTGAGATGGATGTAAATATTTCTAGCAAAGTGTACGGTGCCACAACTGATGTTGGGTCAAAAAGCCCTGGGAAACGCTGCTCTACCATTTTATCTTTTAACCAGAGTTCAAAACTCCGATTGCTCTCGGCGCATTTTTCGACAGGGAATTTCAGTAGCGCGAGCAGTTTCTGAGCTCTGGGAGCAGTACTGCGCCTACGATTTCAGATTAAAACTGCAGAGTGGAAGGAAAGGAGGACCTTTTTCTGCCTCCCCACTTCAAGCCACTCTCTGAAGACTGGAGAAGAGACCCTCTTAAGAATATTAGGGGGGTGGGCAGGGGAAGGAGGACTAGACCATGTGAAAAAATGAACATAATATTTTAGCTGCAGTTCATTCATTTTCAGCTATGTATTCTTGTTATTAAAAAAAAGTGTGCCTGGACATTACGCTGTTGCAGCCACAACCTGGGCTTAAGGTGCCATTTAGCTCCTTGCTTTCATATCTCAGATTCTAACACTGCTTTTAACACCACCGTCTTCTTCTCTCGCTCCAGCTGGCAAGTCAACTTTTTTGAAGCGACATTTGGCCTCTGCTGGTTACGCCTATGCCAACCGGGTAAGTAGGAGACGTCGGCTGCCTGGGAGTAAGTCCTGCTGAATTCAAGAGGATGGTCCTGCCTGTCTTCTTCCTCCTCCTCTCCTCTCTTCTAACCCATCTTCTCCCACTCCCCCTTACAGGACACACTTGGCTCATGGCAGAAGTGTGTGGCCACATGCCAAGCAGCACTGCAGGCAGGGAAGAGCGTAATAGTGGACAACACCAATCCGGACTTGGAATCAAGATCCAGGTGAGGCTTCTCTGGTCACCAGATGTGGTGATGTTGCTCATCCAGCAGGCAGGAGGCTTCCAAAGTTCTCTAAAAAACCATTGTGCCCTTTCCCCCCCACCAGGTATATTGAGTGCGCCAAGGAAGCCGGCGTTCCCTGCCGCTGTTTCCTGTTCACTGCTTCATTGGAACAAGCCAAGCACAACAACAGAGTGAGTAGTTTGTTAGGAAAGTTATCAAAAAGCTTCTGCCTCTTTTTCTCCAGAGGAGGGACCAGATCACCTGTTTGAACTCGTGTTCCCCACTCTTCTGCTTTCACCCCGGTTCTGGAGAAATAAATCAAGACTGCAAAAGGATTTCTCTCTCTCCATCTCTCTCTCGTATAGTCAGCCTTATCATTAGCCAAACTGTCAGGCTGCCCCTTCCCAGAGCTGGAGATGCCTATTTATCGGAGAGCTGTACCACAAAGTGACTCATGGGAGACCTTGGTTTGTTAGGGAGCCACCTGTCTTTGGAGAAGTGCCCTGATGGACAGTGTCAATAGTTTAGTAAATGAGAGCCCTGGGATTTAGGAGAGATGGCTGGATTTGAGCCCCTGCTTTTCCAAATTGTTAAGGGTTGAGGCATCTGCGACCCTCAACCTAATGTCATGTGACATGGAGGGAGCACCCATTTCTGGCACATCACTGGCATGTGGTCCACCGCCAAAAAAGTTACTTCATTCCTGCTTTAACTCAGCAACCTAAGACTGTGACGTGTACCTCTTCTGTTTATGAATAGCCTCTCTCAGAAGTGATGTACAGCATTCTTAACCCGCCGTATCTTATACAGTTGTACCTTGGTTCACGAACGGAACCCGTTCTGGAAGTCCGTCTGACTTTTGAAAACAAAGACGCGGCTTCCGATTGGCTGCAGGAGCTTCCTGGACTCAATTGGAAGCTGTGTTGGACGTTCAGCTTCTGAAAAACGTTCGCAAACTGGAACACTCACTTCCGGGTTTGCAGCACCCGGGAGCCAAAACATTCCGAGTCATAAGGCGTTTGAGAACCAAGGTACAACTGTAGCCGAAACTACTCTGAAAGTGAAGTCTGGATTTCTGTTTACTCTGATGTGTTGTGGGAGGGACGGGACACGTTTTAAATAGATTGCTACTTGACATGTGCCCCCAAGCTCCTGGAGTTTCCCTTTGTCTCTTTCCAGTTAGTGCTGCCCCCCCGTGTTTTGTTTTGTTTCCTTCTGTCTTTCTGTTGTGTCTAATCAAAGCACATCCTTCATGAACTTACCCAGTCCTCTTTGCTAGCTGTGTAGGCTATTGGCCAGTGCAGATTAACTGTGTGCTGTGGGAAGCACTTCTGAAGTGGATCCTCCTCGTTTCTTCATGCTCTGACACCAGCCAGCTTGCCCCCAAGGGGAACATCCCCATGTCTTGTTCAAATAAGCAGCCCCCAGAATGACTAGAGAGCAACCTCTTTTTCTTCTTCATTTCAGTTCCGGGAAATGACGGAAAAGGGGCATGTGCCCGTGAATGATATCGTCCTGAACAGTTATAAGTGAGTTTCTGAATTACTTATAGGAGGGAGGGAAGCTTGTAGTGGCATGAGGAGGGGAAAAGGGTGCAGCTCCTATGAAACTAATGAATCTTAAGCTTTGGGGGCCCTAATCCCAATGGCCCCAGAAGCGACTTTAGGCCATGTTGCTTAACATTTCTAGTAGACCCAATCTGAGTCGCACAACTCAAATTGATTTTTTGTTGTATATTCTTCAGCAGTCCCAAAGTTTTGAGAGTCAGTAGCACAGATATTGTAAAGGTGTGACGATCTGTCGTAGAACAACCCCATTGAAGAAGATAGCAGTGGTGGTTGCCCAGACCTCGTTGCTGGTTGCGAGGCCCCCCCCCCCCCAGTAACAGTTCAAGCTTCAGGGCCCCCCAAATGTAGGTCCGGCCACTGATGGGGAAGGCTGTTTCTGTACCGCCACCCTGATTTCTTTGGCAGCTAGCCGTCACCCGCTAAAGAATGAAGAAAGCAGAATTGTACACTTGCGTTGAACAAACTATATTTTGTTGTGTTTGTTATGCACAAATATTGCATGTTCCCATCACCCAGCTCTCACTTGATAAAAACAAACTACTAGCTCTCAAGGTGGTTTGTGTAGAAACAAAGGGGAAATGGCCTGTTTTGAACTTCAACCCTGAGATGTACTGTGGGGGATTAGACACTTCTCCCCATGTCCATTTTCATTTTTAAGTTTCGCCATGAAACACCCAAGTAAAAATATATGCACTTAACACTAACTTAGTTCCAAAAAATAGGCTGAGGACTGAATAGGCTGCATCTCTGAAACATCACTTAAAACTCTCTCTCTCTCTCTCTCTCTCTCTCTCTCTCTTTCTGCTAGGAATAAGTTTGTGGAACCATCGTTGGACGAGGGTTTCTCTGAAATCCTCAAGATTCACTTTGTGCCTCAGTTTGCAGATTCTCAACTAGAGTCACTTTACCGGCAATTTTCTGAGGGATGACACTGTCCTGCTATTTGCACCCATCTGACAGAGCCTTTTTTTCGAAATGTACCTCTCTGTTGCCAAAGAAAGGTATACTTATGAAGTGTGATGGCTCCCCCTGCTGGTCAAAGGGGACCCTCGCTTTGGGCTATAGAACGTCCTCAGGCTGTTTGAAAATGGGAGTGGAGACTATATAATAGGATTCCCTTTTCCCCTGTGAAAAGGCATTTTAGAAACCATGAGAAATAAAAGTTTTGGAACCCAAACAATTGTCCTCTTATTTTTCAGGTGAGAGCTATAGATCTCTTTGTCACCCAAATAAAGCCAGAACGGGGAATTTACATTAAGACTTGTTTTTGGAAACAATTCTGCTCTTGGGCTAGCATGCCTAGAACTATAGGGAACAGTTGGAGAAGGATAAAAGACTGGTGACAAATTAGCTCTTGCTTTAGAAAAGCTCTAGTCTGGTTATACTTATTCCCTGCCCCTCAGCAGAGCCAACGTTCCGCACCAGATTAAGAAAGGGTGACAAAATTAAATGTGAAGTTGAGCACTGAAATGTACTTGAAAGCATCACATTCTTTTGTATGAGCCACAGAGTACGCAGCTCCAAAGAGGCCCTTTCCATTTACTGCACAAGGCAAAGAAGGCTAAAACGTTTGCTGAAACACCAGACTGCCCCTCATTCTGCTGCTGCTTGCCTTACCACTGTAATCACAGCAGGAATTCTCCAAAAGGTTTATTTTACAAAATAATAATACAAGAACATCCATTCACACACACAACCTGAGGCAGGTATGACGAGGACGCCCATCAAGACGTGTCCATGGTCTCTCCCTCTGGAAAACAAAAAGCGGGTGCAAGAGTTCAAGATGGAAGAACACACTCCCCGCCTCCCCAAAAAAGAGGATCTCAAAGAGGTCTTCCTCCGTAAAACAAAGAACATCATCCCTGCCACTTGTGAATTTTAAGAGTCCCCAGTTGTAAGCTTTCAAGCTGACAGAGACCCCACACAGAAGAGGTACCAGAGGACTTGAAACAATCTCTCTGCATGCCCGTGATGTAGGTTGAACTGCCTTCCTGGCAAAGGCAGCTAATAGCATTGATCACAAGGTGGTCAACACGTGAGTGGGATGGTTAACTCCTCCCCAGTAGCTGACTGTGTGCTGCTAGCTTGGCACTCCACTCTGGCCTAGAAAGCCGTAGGGCACAAATGGGGGACCTCTGGGCAAGGAGAGGGAGCAGAAAGCTCTCAAGGGCAAGTACAACTGCAAAGCTGCCAGAGCAGGTGGGAAGTCTACTGAAATGCAGGGGGGAGGGAATGCACCACCACAATTTTTGGAAGTTCCTGCTATCTCTCTGCCACCCCCTGCCCAAATTGGGTTACTCGCTAGGCTACCGGGGGAGCAACTGCTGCACTGCGACCTCCGTGCTTTCAAACTAAAAGCAAACGCTGCTTTACTCACACTTTCATTATTTTCCTACTTGCATGCGTCTCTTGCAGGTACTGAGGACAGAGGATTGGGAGGAATAGGAGGGGATTAAGAGCAGGAAGGCCTACCCTATGCAGTGCACAACAATCAAACAGTTGAGGATTATCTTCTACCCGCCCCACAGGTACTTCGTAATTCTGATCCTATGAAAGTCGCCCAGTGTCATCACCACTCATCCCCAGAAGAACCAACTTTCTGGGTCCCAAGCCATTAGCATACGTTGGTCAATGAACACTGCACCAATAACCGCGGAACAAAAAGCAAAAACCAGGCTTATTCTTGCCCCCTGTCAATTATGAGAAGCATCATTACTGTTGTGCAACTTGACTTTTCAGTGGATTTGCAGATGCAGTACTGAACCCGTCCTGTGAATTGACATCGTACTCTGCAACTGGGGCTCGACGTCCTTTGAAGATTTTTCAGCGTGGATTGAAGGCAGAATCATATGCTCAGTGCTACCCATTGCCAAGAACAGCATTCCCACGTCAAGTATCCTTCCTCGCCTGCTTTTTCAAGTCAGACTTGCCTGGGAAGTTTTCTCCACTCTGCACTGCGTTATTGGCTGACCGAGAGGCAGCAACACTAAAAAGTCTGCCCAAACATTTTGGGAAGGGGGTGGGGGAAGAAGAGGACTCAACCCATGCCTGTCATTTTTGACAGAAGCGCTGCAGTAGGCATTTTGAAGTTACATCTTAACAAACCGGAATGTGCATTTGAGGATCGCCTCAAAACAAGGATCTAAATCAGGGGGCGGCAGTGCTTTTCTGCCTGAGAAGCACAACCTTATGGGGGCCACATACCACTTGGTGGTCAAAGCCAGAGGGGAAATTGGTCAGGCAAGAGGCAATATCACAGTTGCAGAATGTATTCAAGTGAAGCAAAAAAAAACACAGTTCAAAGTGTTGGTGCTGACCTTTAAAGCCCGAAACGGCCTCGGTCCTGTATACCTGAAGGAGCGTCTCCACCCCCATCGTTCAGCCTGGACACTGAGATCCAGCGCTGAGGGCCTTCTGACAGTTCCCTCATTGCGAGAAGTGAGGTTACAGGGAACCAGGCAGAGGGCCTTCTCGGTAGTGGTGCCCACCCTGTGAAACGCCCTCCCATCAGATGTCAAGGAAATAAGCAGTTATCTTATTTTTAAAAGACATCTGAAGGCATCCCTGTTTAGGGAAGTTTTTAATGTCTGATGCTGTATTGTTTTTAACACTCGATTAGGAGCCGCCCAGAGTGGCTGGGGAAACTCAGCCAGATGGGCAGGGTATAAATAGCAAATTGTTGTTATTATTATTATTATTATTATTATTACTGGATGAAGGTGATCACAAGCAGGGCTTGTGAAGGACCTGGCCCTGGGAGACTCCTGAGGGTCAGTGTCATAGAGTGGCTGGGTGCAGAGGAGTGGTGGAAGGCACCAGCTGGGGAACCCCTAAGGGAAGTAGGCTCAGAGCCCAGGGACTGGTGGTGAGACAATGATGAGTGGTTGGAGAAGACTGGGAAGAGGAGGCGTTGGAAGCTGAAGAGGTAACCCGGCTTAGTGAGTAGGGAGAGTCTGTGGCAGAGAGCAGTCCAGAAGCAGCAAGTGGAGGCAGGAGAGGATGGGGAGCCAAGAAGCAGATATATGGCAGGCTGGTGAAGAAGCCAAGGTGTCTCCCCCTCGTGCTGCGACAAGCTCCCCTCCACCTGGTCTCCTAGAACCTGAAGAGGGATGAAGAGGATGGAGCAGAGACAGAGAAGGCGGAGAAGTCTCAGGTTGCTTGGGAAGGACCCAGGAGGAGGAAGAGACTTAGGGAGCTGTGGGAAGGCAGGGACCTTTGAATCTCTACAGCTGCCTCGTTGGGGAAAGGCCTACTGGGAAGAGTTGCTGTTAACTTCACTGACACCTTGTGAGTTCTTGCTGACCTTCTCCCGACTCCCGTCAGATAGAGAGGGCTTCTTTATTTGGCCCTGGGCTTGAAGTTCCCCAAACGGATCTAAAGGAATTCAACTGCTCTGTTCTTGTCCTTTACTGGCCTTGACGAAAGCAGAGCTCTCCATTTTTTCCAAGTGCCTCCTGCGTTTTTCTGCTGCAAAAGTCCTACATACACTTCAAAAGCTCTAGCGAGGATGACCAGGTCCTAGCTCCCGACTGGAGGAGGTTTTCAACCCACACATCCCTTTGCCTCAAATTGTTACTCACTGAGTTCATTGAACATGAAGGCATCCTGGTACTCTTTCATGTACTGAGTGGAGCGTGACTCGTCCAGGAACAGCGAGTACACGCGCTTGATGTCGTCCACCTGAACCTCTGTGCCCTGTGAATGGGGAGGGAGAGAGGTCAGGGCTCCCAGCAGGAGAAGAGCACAACACAAACTCCAGCAAAGTTTCACCACTCCAGACAACTCCCTCCAACTAGTCCTGGAAATGAAAACTGAGGACTACTCTGGGCTTCCAAACGCTTCTAGTTTTATGCCTCCCCCCCTCAACTCTTCTCCAAGAGCTTAGGGATCTTGATAAAGAGATCCCACTGACTCTCTAAGCCAGGCATAGGCAAACTTCGGCCCTCCAGATGTTTGGGACTACAATTCCCATCATCCCTAGCTAACAGGACCAGTGGACAGGGATTATGGGAATTGTAGTCCCAAAAAATCTGGAGGGCCGAAGTTTGCCTATGCCTGCTCTAAGCTCCCAACACACCTCCCATCATGGGAGTTGGCAGTCCAAGACATCAGGAGGGAGCCACGTTGGCAAATGCTGCCCTAACGGCACCAAAACATTCTTGCTTCCATCTCCAATCCAGGAGCAGATGCAGTTGGTAATCTGTGCCCCTCTGCTTCTGATCGCTTTTTAAGACAGTGGGGATTTTAAATGGTTGTAAGCATAGCACACAGGCACTAGAAGGATGGGATAGACCTTTTTAGAACAATGGGATAGACGCTTGAAGGAGAGTCTCCACCCCCATCATTCTGACCGGACACTGAGGTCCAGCTCAGAGGGCCTTCCGGCGGTCCCCTCACTGTGAGAAGTGAAGCTACAGGGAACCAGGCAGAGGGCCTTCTTGGTAGTGGCACCCGCCCTGTGGAACGCCCTCCCATCAGATGTCAAGGAAATAATCAACTCTCTGACTTTTAGAAGACATCTGAAGGCAGCCCTGTTTAGGGAAGTTTTTAATGTTTGGTGTTTTATTGTGTTTTTAATATTCTGTTGGGAGCCACCCAGGGTGGCTGGGGAAACCCAGCCAGATGGGTGGAGTATAAGTAATAAATAATAATAATTATTATTTATGGAAAATGAAGCTCATGATATGCACACACACACACGGGCACAAGTAGGGTGTTCTTGCAAGCTGTGGGTCATGCTGAGAAGAGAGGGAGAAAAAGTAAGGATTTATTGGCCTTTTGAAGAATGGCAGCACTGGAATGGTGCTGCCCTGTTGGAAGTCCCCGGACTCTACATAGTGCCAGAGCTCACCTTCCGCTTGCGACACACCAAGCTGGCGGCTGTGATGAGCTGGATGGCATAGCGCAGGGAGGTCTCCAAGCCGATGCGCGTCAGCACAGTGTAGGCGTCTTCGTTCATCTCGACATCCTCCTCCTCACACCTGCAAGAGATATTCCAGCTCAGAATAAGGAAAGCTTCCACAGCGCAGGGCGAGACGCCGGAACAGCAAAACTGTGATGCGGTAAGACGGGCAGGGTGGAAGCATCCCTCCGAGGCAGGAACTGCTGCGCCCTCAAGCTCCCTCTGGCTCACCGGATTTTAAGGATCTGCTTGGTCTCCTTGTCACTGTAAGGGGAGGTCGAGATGATGAGCATGCGGTCCAGGAGGTCAATGGGGATGCCGTGGGGGCTCTGGTAGTTGGTGCCACGAATCCTGCATCGGAGAGGACAGACCCAGAATGAGAGGCGGCTGAAGGACCTCCGTTCCTGCCAGCCTGGTGTCAGGCGTGGAGAGTACTCCCCTCCCTTCGGTAACTTCACAGACAAGAATTAACGAGCAGTTTATATTTTATAGTCCTTTTTATTCCGTCATCTGGCTGTTTGGATTTGATATCCCACCTTTCACTCCCCTTCAGGAGTCTCAAAGCGGCTAACAATCTCCTTTCCCTTCCTCCCCCACAACAAACACTCTGTGAGGTGAGTGGGGCTGAGAGACTTCAAAGAAGTGTGGCTGGCCCAAGGTCACCCAGCAGCTGCATGTGGAGGAGCGGAGAGGTGACTGTGAGCAAAAATCCACATCTCTCCACAAGGAGAGCAGTTGGCTACTCTAAATCCTCCCCCTTCCATCTCCCGCAACATCCTGGGTGCCAACAGAAAGTTCCTCCTCTGCATTCTTTGTTCTCTAATATGGACGGACTTCCTAGTTCTTGGGGAGGGAGGGTCCCCCACCATAGCTGTCAAAGTTTCCCTTTTTAAAAGGGAAATTCCCTTATTCCGAATAGGATTCCTCGAAGAAAAGGGAAAAGTTGACAGCTATGTCCCCCACACCCTCTAATGACGTCTCTGCTGGCTGTTCCCTCCCTCCTGTTTCTCTCCCCGTTATCTCATAACTAGGCAACTCCTGTTGAAGCTGCTCAGTGTCTGTGTCTCTCTCTGCTCCTGAAACCACTGGAAACAAGGGGGGCAAATCTTCCCTCTCCCCCTCCTCCTCTTCAAAGAGGAGCTTATCTGCCCGAGAATGCATTCCCCAATCTCTGATTCAGACCATTCCCTGACACCTGGGGGCAAGGAATCTCCTCTAGGCAGCAGGCATATTCCTCCCAGCCTCTCCCTGTATGCAGGACAGGTCCTCCATATCGCTGCTGCATTCAGTCCAGTGACATAGAGCCATGCCTTCAAAAACCACTTACTTAAATACCAACAGCTTTCCAGCAATCTAGCTGTGACTTCATCAGCGATGGCTGGCATCTCCATCACCTCCCCTCTAGAAGTGGGGTGCCGGTGCCTCTGCAGATGTCGCTCACAGTCTCCCCATCCCAACCACAAGGCATCCTCCCACTGTGCCCTTGTCTAACAACACCCTGCCTGCCTTCTTGACTGCAGAGGAAAAGCCCATCTCTAGCCCGGCTTAGGGGCCTCTGCCAGTGAATAAGGCCCTGGCTAGGATTTTCAGAAGCAAAAAAAGAGGTTTCGGTGTTCTGCCCAGCTTGTGTGCTCTGCCTCATGGCAGGTGCAGAGTTAGCTACAGGAGGCATGGAAGAATTACGTCATTGCCTGGGTCACTGAGAAATGGGATTCTGATCAGCAACTAGTCAGCTGCCAAAACGCCACCATGGCCAGTGCCCGACTGCCCGGTGATATGGTGCCATGCCCCACCCCATGGTGAACTCTGCCAACCTGGTGATGCCTCGATTGGTAGCCATGATGAGGACAGGTGCCATGTCACTCTCCAGGGCCCGGTTCAGGAAGGAGAAGCACTCAATGTCCAGCATGTGGACCTCGTCAATGAACAATACCTGGAAGGGAAATGGGGGAAAAAGGAGGAGAATGGCATTGCCCACCCAGCAAAACACTCAAACCAGAGGAAAGCATGGAAGAGAGCAGCGGAGGGTGCAACACGCGCTCTAAAACAGGACTCACCCCTGGGATCACCTCGGCCTTGCCCTCCTCTCGCCACTCGGCGACCTTGGCGTTGATCTGCTCTCGTACCTCGGATTTTATCTCCCCTGTGTCACCTGGGAACATACACAAGATGAGGGAGGGGAAGGAAGAGACATGAAGAGCTGCTTCTTCAAAAACAGGGCTGCCTTCAGATGTCTTCTAAAAGTCAGAGAGTTGTTTATTTCCTTGACATCTGATGGGAGGGCATTCCACAGGGTGTGAGCCACTACCAAGAAGGTCCTCCGCCTGGTTCCCTGTAACCTCACTTCTCGCAGGGAGGGAACCGCCAGAAGGCCCTCGGAACTGGACCTCAGTGTCTGGGCTGAACAATGGGGGTGAAGATGCTCCTTTAGGTATACAGGACCGAGGCTGTTTAGGGCTTTAAAGGTCAGCACCAGCACTTTGAATTATGCTCGGAAACGTACTTGGAGCCAATGTAGGTCTTTCAGGACTGGTGTTATGTGGTCTTGGCGGCCACTCCCAGTCCAGATACAATGATGCAGCAGCCTAAATTTCTGCAAAACCCTCCAAGTAAGGGGTCAGCAAATGTTTCCAGCAGGGGGCCAGTCCACTGTCCGTCAGAACTTGTGGGGGGCCAGACTATATTTTTTTGGGGGGAAATGAATGAATTCCTATGCCCCACAAATAACCCAGAGATGCATTTTAAATAAAAGGACACATTCTACTCATGTAAAAACACCCTGATTCCCGGACCGTCCGTGGACCGTATTTAGAAGGCAATTGGGGGGCCACTAGGGGGCGCATTGGAAGATGGCCGACAATACCATCTCTCCGACCCACACGGGGTAATTAAGAGGCTGTTATGGGAGTAGGCAGCCTCCCTTGTTGCCCCAAGGAAATGGGGAACACTGCCCTTGCCTGCTGTGCCCATAAATCACCCCCTAATTCGAAAGAAGGGGTGAGGGCCCTAGGCAGAATGCCCCCATGTGGACCTTGGCTCTCCTGGACGCTGTCTCTGATCGTGCACTAGTTGCAGCAATTTGGAATAATTAATTACAAAAGAAGCAAATGCACATATTTCAAGTGAAGAAGGGGAGTGAAGTCTGCTAATTTAAGTGACCTCTGCGAAAGAAGACGACGGGTTGGAGAAACAGGAATATTTTACGATGAAGATACACCAAAGGCTGGGTATATTGACAACGGGACTGAATGGGGGGGGGGACCTTTTTTACTTTCCTTCTATGTGATTTACAAGAACCCCTCCTCATTAGAATCGTCGGTTGAACTGACCCAAGCAGGATGATTAAGGTCTGTGTGGAGATAAACTTTAACCAAAAGTATGCTTTATGGAGATCAAGAAGCAATAAGAGCTTTTGGGAATGGCACAGCAATTAATTCGGAGTTGCCATCTTGCCAAAGGATTTATAGCCGGGAGGAAAAACGGACTTGTTTTCAGACTGCATTCCTAGTGAATCTCCTCAGAGGTTTTGAGAAAGGAGGCAGATTGGTGAAGATTAATGACGCTAAGACTGTTTTGATGTTATATGGAAAACGTCTGGATATGGTTACTGGATAAAAATAATAATATCCACGCAGGATTACAAACTGTTCTAACCAGCTTGTGGAGACTATCAGAGGTCACAAAGAGAAAGGAAAAATATATGAAAATAACAACAAGAGATGTGGAAAAACAATAAGAAAGGACTGGATAGTACTGTGAACATCATAAGGTTAGATTTGTGGACATTAAAACAGCAGCAAGAAGCAAGAAGTTGATTGGATCCCCTTCGGAACTTGAAATATGGGTACGCCCAACAAAAATTTAAAATTTGGCTGTGTAATTTGGAATTTATGTAATTTGGTTTGATTTGATGTGATTGGTCGGTTAATAAAAAATTATTCTTAGTATTTAGAAGGCGATTGGACCGGATCTGGCCCCCGGGCCTTAGTTTGCCTACCCATGCTCCAACTCCAGGTTTCCAATGAACGACTTCCACCCCACTCCCTCCAGTTCATCCATATCGTCATACCAGAGAAGAGTGCGAGGAATCCCTGTGTGCGGCTGTTGATGACATCAATTTCGTGCAGCGAGACTGTGTGCACCACTTCCTTGCGCTTCTGCAGCTCCCCGTCAGGGCACTGGACAAACTTGGTCTAGGACAGAGAATAATATAGGCAGTTGGAAGACCTGAATGCTTCTCGTGCCTGGCACCCAAGCCCATTCATGCTCAAGCCCAGGGGCAGGAAACTCTTGCAAGACAAAGACATACAAAGCTAACTTACGTGAAATTAAACTGTGGGTCCATCTATCTGCTCTAACAGCCAGCAACTCTCTTAAGGCAGGGATGGGTAACCTGTGGGCCTCGGGATGTTACTGGACTACAACTTGCATTGGCCCTAGCCAGCATGGCAGATGGTAAAGGATGATGGGAGTTGTAGTCTAAGAACATCTGGAGGACCACAGGTTCCTCATCCCTGCCCTAGGGTTTCAGGCCCATCTCCCCGAGATCCTTTGACCTGGAGATGTTGGGGAATGAGCTGGGCACTTTCTGTGTGCGAAGCAGGTGCTCCACTGAGCTATGGCATCTAACTACAGCATGCAAAGGTCACCCCTCACAGGCAGCCACCATCAACGGAGCCTTGGGATCTCCCATCACCTCACATCAATTTGCACTTCTCACCCCCCACTGCAAATACCTGCGAACCCATAGCATCGTAGTCCCTTGCCCGGGTAAAGGAGCGTCCTAGTTTGGTGATCTTCCCCGTGGCTTTGTCAATGGTAATGACATCCCTGCGGACACAAAAAGAAGGAGGAAATATGAGGACTGAGCCCCGCCTTTTGGCTCTGGGTGGAAGACACCTCGCAAAGGACACACCTGCCATCGCCTCAGGAGGGCAAGTTAATTTATCTTCTCTCCTCAAAACTGATGCACGAGTTGAAGAGCGCTTAGTAGGGTAGGCTGTATTTCTTTCCATTCATGGTTATGGGTGGCAAGAAGCCTAACCTACACTAACCTTCAATAACTAACCTTCAATTTCTCTGGGGAGAAAATGCAGCGCTAAGGAGGATCCTCAGTTAGGGGAAATTCAAAAGGTGTGGAGCCATAGGAAGCTGAGCTAGTCACTCTGTTCAAGCCTGAGCTGCAGAACTTCATCAGACAATATCCTTCTTGCTAAATTCATGTAACGTTGCTGCACTATCAGGGTGGGATCGGACATTGCAGCCGGCAAGTGTAAATGAACGCTTGGCTGCCAAACCTAGCTGTAATTTGTGGACCTCTGACATTAATGATTCTGAGTCAATCTTCTCATGTAAGGAGGGATACACATACTGTCTGTTTGTTCTGTAAGAGTCAGCAGCTTTAGAAGACATTTAGAAGCAGCCCTGTATACGGAAGCCTTTTAATGTGTAATGTTTTATGTTTTTATATATGTTGGAAGCCACCCAGAGTGGCTGGGGCAACCAAGTCAGATGGGCAGGATATTATTATTATTATTATTATTAGACGCAGGCCGCACTGTGGTCTAAACCATTAAGCCATTTGGGCTTGCCGATCGGAAGGTCGGCAGTTCGAATCCCTGTGACGGGTTGAGCTCCCGTTGCTCTGTCCCAGCTCCTGCCAACCTAGCAGTTCAAAAGCACACCTATACAAGTAGATAATTAGATACCACTGTGGCGGGAAGGTAAACGGCGTTTCCGTGCGCTCTGGTTTCCATCACGGTGTCCCGTTGTGCCAGAAGCGGTTTAGTCATGCTGGCCACATGACCCGGAAAGCTGAATGTTGGATAAACGCCGGCTCCCTCGGCCTGAAAGCGAGATGAGCGCCGCAATCCCACAGTCGCCTTTGACTGTCCTTTACCTTTTTACCTTACTATTATTATTAATTTATGTGGGCCTGTAGGGGCAAAGTATAAAGATGGCTGAACTTCAGGCCTTCCCAAGCCATGTCCTCTCATTTCCAGGTAATGTATTAAATACTCCTCTGTGCTATTCACGAACTGTGTTCACCTTTATCACTCCTTCAATATTAGACATTCCCCACCCCATCCTTTCCTGCTTCGATTTGTCACTCAAGTGTGCTTCCTGTTGTCCACAGAAACCAGCAATCCTGACTTCCTTCACAGATACCAGACAGCTCAGGAACCCTAACTCTCTGTGCCCTTCCCCACTGGCTCTCCCTTCGCACCTGTGCCCCACCTCCATGCCCGGCCCTGGCTCACCCAGCCTGTACTTTCTCCTTGGTCAGGGACTCAATCATCTTGGTGCCCAAGTCATAGATGGTCTCCATTTCGGTTGTCTTCAGTGTCAGCTTCCCCACCTTAGCACCCTGCAATGAGAAGGAGACAGTCAACATCCCTCCAGCGCTTGTTACCTTGATAAATGGGCTGCTGTGTGCAGTGCTGCCATTACTGGGTAATAGCTAGCCTGCCATCCCTGTATTATACTCCAGCCTCAACTCACAGTGCCAGTCGCTGGGCGATCTATTTGGATCTCAACCACTTCACCTTCAATGATTTCTGTTTCCTCCCTGCAAGAATAAGGGGATAAAACTGATCTCAGCAGGCAAAGAGGGTGGACTGCAGAGTACCACACTTTCATCAAAAAGAAGAGCTGGAAATATAATTTCAGAGGCAGCTGAGGAATCCAACAGGCCTTGCTTTGCTGTGTGCGCCACTCTCCAGCCAGAGAATTTAAGACACTGGCTTCTAGTTTATTTTCTGAAGACCTATTTTATCCCATTAGCAGCTAAGGTGGCATTAAATGAACCGTGCAGAATGCTACAAAAGCCAAAACCAACCACCAAACATGTTGCTGCCCAGCTCTCATGCTCAACAAGTTTTTTCAAAGCTTCCTAGAATCCTCCTTGTTGATTCCCCTCACTTCTGTTTGAATCCTCCAGTGCCCAGCCTCAATGTCCTGTTTTAAATTCCCAAGCCACCCCCAGAGAACAAAAGACCTCCCAGCTGCTCCTCACTTGATACGGACGCCAATGGAGCGCCGGAAGGCTTGAGTCAGCGCCTCAGTCTTGCTCATCTCCAAGGAGAAGATCTCGCTGCCAGCAATGGCTGTGAAAGGGGTGTCAAGGCCCAGGGCCTGCGCCATTCCTGAGAGAAGAAATGGCAGCTTGGTTTTACAACACACGACTTCTTTCTCTTTTTTTCATTCTTTTATTTATATTTTATACATTTATTTACATTTTATACGTTCTTTTACACGTTAAAAAATATTTTGACAAAGTAGGATTCATAAATAAATAAGAATAAAAATATGCACCCCACCCCCGAGACCATTCCATTGTAACTATCCAACCTCCCAAAATTTCAACACCTCTTGCGATGATTTGACCCCTTTCCGTTTTTAATAGTACAAATTCTACAAACGCCTTCCATATATCCTCAAAATCATTTCTGCATATTCCCTGTCTTAACTTAATGGCACATGTTAATTTATCATTAATAGCTATATCCCACACCTCTTTATACCATTCTTCCATTTTATATTCTGCTTGCCCCTTCCACTTCCTGGCTACAGTCGTACCTTGTTACATCAGTCTCTGGTTGTGTTTTTTCAGGATACAAACGCAGCAAATCCGGAAGTGTATACTCCTGGGTTTCACCATACGTGCATGCGCAGAAGCGCTCTGAGCGTCTCGCACACGTGCAAAGCACTCTATTGCACCATGCGCATGCGCAGAAGTGGTACTCTACTTGCGGACTTTTCGGGATGCGAACAGCACCCCGGAACACATCGAGTCTGTAACTAGAGGTACCACTGTATAATAATTTGTGCAGCTGTCAATAAATTTGTGAACAAGTCCTTCATAGCCTGTGAACCTTCCACTCCATTGTAAATAGATAATAATGCTGCCTCTGGCACTATCCCTACTTCAAGTGTCAGCAGAAGTGTCTGGACCTTACCCATAGCAATGGCGGTCTTTCCCGTGCCTGGTTGGCCAGCGATCAGGACGGCCCGACCAGCAATCTTCCCCTCCTTGATCATCTCCAAGATCACACCAGCAGCTCGACGGGCAGCTAGTTGTCCTACCATGCCCTGGGACACCTAGCCAGGTGGTGGGGAGAGGGAGAGAAAACAGTGAAGGAACAGGAAAACCAAAAGGCCCCACACTTCATTTATTCCCTTGTTTGCACAATCACAGATCCGTATTCCTCTCAAACACATACACAGCACCCTACCTTCCTCCTCATTCCCACTCTGTACTATCCCTTATTTATTCCTTTTTATTTCACCCTGCCCCCTGTAAATCCATGAATGCACCCACAAACATTAAAAAGCTACATAAAGGCTTATGATCCCAATGCCAACACCTATAGCTTTCATTCAAATCACTTGCATTCACCGTTTCATTACCCTCCAGCAACCCACTCCCATCCCCCTCTTGCATGGAAAATGGTGGGAAAGGGGCTAATCTATATTTTTTATGATGTTGGCAAATCCCTTACTTTCCACTGCAATTGGCTGGACAAAGATAACCAGAGGCAGAGCAAGGTGAGCGCGTCAGCGTTAAAACCCAGGAAGCTTTAGCACTTTCAAAGTTATGTGCATAGAAAAAACATGATCATACTACATATGTGGCCCCAGAAACAAGTGCCTCTACATCCACAATGCATAGCAACAACCTCTGTACCACTCATCTGTTATTATATATTCTGAAAGCTCCTAGTATTCCACTTTCTATTTGATTAGATTTTACCAATCACCCACCCACCCACCCACACCAATCTAGCAACTCTCTGAAAGCTCTTTTTCCAGGTACCTGTCTGGGTTCCAACGTATCATCTAAGCCAAGTCCTCTAATGTGGGAGTGGGCACCTGTGTGAGAGACATGTAGACTATTATTAGATGGTCAGTGACCCACAAACCCATCTGTCCTTGTCCTGCCCCTTGATCAAATATGCTTTTTTAAAGCATTTACTTCCATGGAGAAAGCAACATAATCTTCACTGAAGAACTTGACAAGTCCTATTCAGGCATTTGCTTCAACTCTTTCGGTTGTCATCTGTCTGTCTCAAGAGATAATGGAGTGTGTCTCCAGGGGGTGAAGTCAAACCACTGTAGAATCACAGCGCCTGCTGTGACTGCAGAGACTGGTAACTCGTATTGCTGCCTCCCGCATTGTTTTTGCTGCGTTAACAGCACCAGAGTGACCTCTCCAGGGCGCAAACAGTGTGCATGGAGGTCCTGGGCTGCCCAGATGACATGACCCCTTTCTCAGCCTCACTGATGTGGTCCAAAAGCAAGCAGAGCAATACATTTGGCACCAGCTTGGCTGCCAGTTGGCTGCCGGAAGGAGGTGTACAAGATGCCATCCAAAGGTTAAAAGTGTACAGTGATGGAAGACCTGCCCCAATGTCCATTGGCATGGCAGTGCCTGTCCACTGAGCCCAGGAGCACCTATGCACATTCAACTGAACATGCATCCTTGTGCAATTTAGAATTCAAATAACACAGAGTTCCCAAATGCACAAAGGCTCCTCAGCATGTTTGGTCAGGCATGCAAAGTCCCTTTCATGTGCATGCCCCCAGTTCTTTATACACTTTTAACCCCCATGTGTTTAGACAAATACCTGAAGAGAGATATAATAAATTGGAACGCCAGGCAAAAATGGGAGACAATCCCAGGTCAAGGAGCAATGGAAACTCACCAATCCGTTCAATCCGGGTGACATCCCGAACTTCAGGGACCTTGGTAGCCTGAAAGAGAAAATGATTTAATGAGGCCTGCCAAAATCCAGGTATCAGTGGACACGTTTCGGAGGAAGAGTTACACTACATTTCATACCTCATCACCACAAAGCATTCTAAACACAAGCATTCTAAATCCTTTCATGTATTTGGATGTGACTTTCCACAACTACTGAATACCCAGTTTCTGAAACAATCAAGTGATGGATATAGAAAGGGCAAAGAAGGATGACAAAGATGGAGGAGAGAAAACCTTGCCTTTTTCCTTGACTGGGCCCTCAAGGTTTACAAGGTAAAACCACAAAACGTAAATGTTTGCAGGCTATATCTGCAAAGCTTATATGAGAGCCCATGTGGTGTCCTTAAGAGGGGTGCAGTGGTTGACGTGACAGAAAACCCCTTACTCAGCCATTCAATGACCATCACCATCCAGCTCAGCCTTGAAATTCACTAACGACAACCAGTCTCAAATTAACTGATGCAGGGAAATGAAAGTTAACCATGGATAAGAGGAGACTGAAGGGAGATATTATAACCATCTTCCAATATCTAAAGGGCTGTCACATAGAAGGTGGAACAAGCTTGTTTCCTCCTGCTCTTGAGGGCAAGACCCAAATCAATGGCTTCAAGTCACAAGAAAGGAGATTCTGACTATACTGTACACCAGGAAGAATTTTCTGAGAATCACTGAACTGTAGAGTTGGATGGGATCCCCAACCACTTGAAAGGCAGGAATCCCAACAGGCAGGCCCCAATCCAATTTGAAGCCATACTAGATCTTGCTTAGCTTTGCACTTTTATCGCTACACTACACAGGGAGCTTTCTTGACAGCAAAGACTATCCCACAGTGGAACAGGTTCCCTCCGCCGAATGACATGGACGCTTTAGTTGAAATTCCTGCATTGCCAGGGGTTGGTCTAGGTGACCATTTGGGGTGGCTTTCAACTCTAGAATTTTATCCCAGCTGGAGCTCGTTGGAGAAAAATCCTGATTTGAAAACACATGAGATGGATGTATTTGTCTTCAGTAAGCGGTGGGGGTGAAACCTGTGGCCCTCCGGTTCTCGCTGGACTATGCCCATCATAGAATTGTAGATTTAGAAGGGACCCCAGGGGTCATCCAGTCCACCCCCCCTGCAATGCAGGAATCTCAGCTAAAGCATTCATGACAGGCGGCCATCCAACCTCTGCTTAAAAACCTCCAAGGAAGGAGAGCCCATGACCTCCCAAGGCAGACTCCATTCCACTGTCGGAAAGTTCTTCCTCATGTTTAGTCGGTATCTCCTTTCTTGCAACTTGAATAATCCCTGACTGCTGGCCATGGGGGGCCGGGGCTGATGGGAATCACCACAGCATTGTAGGGGTTGGGAGGGACCACGAAGGTCATCTGGCCCGACCCCCTGCAAAGCCAGGACCATTTTTTGCCCCCCACGTGGGACTCGAACTCGCGACCCTGAAATTCAGAGTCTCCTGTTCTGACAAACTGAGCTGTCCCACGTTGCGGTCGGGAGTCGCACAAACTTCTGAGGAGATTCCCCACCCCCACTCCCCTCAGATGGGGCCGGTGAGGCTCCGGGGGCAGCCCTAGGGCGACGCACGGAGGCAAACGGAGGGCAGGGGGACGCCCCGGACCCCCTTTCCTCCCCACCCAAAAAAGTTGCGATTAATCCGGGTCTCTTTCCTGGAAGGGAAAGAGGCTTGTCGCTCACCGCGGCGGTTGCCATGCTGCTGCTGCTGCTGCTGCTCCTGCTTCAGTCTCGCGCCGTCTCTAAGCACCAGCCCGCTCCGCCCGCCCCAACAGCTTCAGCAGCCCGGGAGCAGAAGCCGGAAACAGGAAGCGGTCCTTACGGAGGGTGCCGCTCTAGCTGATCTCTATTGTCGCCCCGGTCCTCCAGCTCATTCCTCCCTATAGAGGGGCCCTTAACGACAGCCTTCCCGACGGATTATGAGGCTCCCGCAGCCGCGCTGGGGCTGATGGGAGTTGTAGTCCGAAACTTGGGAGAGGGGGAAGGTTTTGAAGGAAGATTTTAAACGTTCTCGCCATCACCTCATACTGGTTCACAGATCACTGTTTATTTTTATTTTTTTTTTGCTTGGCGTCCGCCTGTCTCTAGAGACTAATGTTGTAATTTAATACTAATGTTGTATTTTAATCTTGTTTTTAAGTTGTATTCATTCAACTTGTTTTTATTATTGCTTGTTAGCCGCCCTGAGCCCGGCCTTGGCTGGGGAGGGCGGGGTATAAATAAAAATTATTATTATTACTATTATTATCATTACTGTTATGTGTTAAGTCACTTCACTTTATCTTGCCCAAAGCATCCTGTCGTAGAAAAATTATGGGTTGGCTTTTGCTGCCCACCTCCCTGATGTAAACGAGACGGCATCCCCAAGGGACTTAGTGTCCCCTAAGCCCATTATAAGCCATAGAAAAATGGATGAAGATAGGATCCAGTGAAAGCAAGACATATCTTTATTTTTCTTTTGCAACTAGATCCGCCGACTCCCCCGCCACACACACACCTCCTTGTGAGGAAGTGAGAGACCACAAAGAAAGTGTGCAGGAACCTTTAAAGACTTGAGACATCACCCAATCCCTAAGCCAAAGGCCACCCTAAAAGCATCATGCATACAAAATCGGCCTTATATGCCCAAATCGTCTTGCCCCAGCAAGCAACCTGTACCAGCTGAAGTTTCCAAAGCGACTTCAGAGGTAGCCCCACATATAACATATTGCAGTAATCTAACCTAGAAGTTACCTAGAACTCCTGCCATGTATATCCTGTGCCAGGGACACAGTTCATTCTTCCAGGCCTCAGAAAGTTTTAGCCACACTGCCCATAAGAACATCACACTATTAATTCAGGGCTCAAACTGGTTTTATTGAACACAACAACGAAACAAAAACTTGGAGTAGGGGGTGATTTATTTTAGGTAGTTTGGTTCCCAGCTCAAAAACATGGGTCCTCTTAGAATAGCTGTGATGCAGCTGCTAACTGCTCCCTGCCTGCCCTCCCTACCTCCACTGTAAGCTATCTTATCCGCCCCCCCCTCACCTTTGTGTGTGTTCATATATACCATACATAATCTATATTAACGTAGTGGCTTTAGCATGGGATGGGGTTTAATCAACATAAACAGTATTGTGTAGTGATGTGAGAGACTAGGGTTCAAATCCACTCTCGGACATGAACTTCACTGGGTGACCTTGGGCCAGTCACCAACTGCCTCAGTCAAACCTCACAAGGTTGATGTGATGATAATATTGGGAGGGGGGAAAGGATGTAGGCCCCTTTGAGCTCCTTGAGTGAAAGGTGGCATGTAAAATGTAATACAGTGGTATCTCGGGTTACATACGCTTCAGGTTACATATGCTTCAGGTTACAGACTCCGCTAACCCAGAAATAGTACCTCGGGTTAAGAACTTTGCTTCAGGATGAGAACAGAAATCATGCTCCGGCGGCGTGGCGGCCGCAGGCCACCACTAAAGTGGTGCTTCAGGTTAAGAACAGTTTCAGGTTACGTACAGGCCTCCGGAACGAATTAAGTACTTAACCTCAGGTACCACTGTAAATAGACAAGCTACACGTGGTC